CTACGACTATCTATACCTACGACTATCTACAAACCCTTATCGTAAAGATTACGATAGAAAAGCCTGCTTAGCGAGCCTATAAGGACATAATAGAAGAGCCTACTTAGCGAGCCTATAAGGACATAATAGAAGAGCCTGCTTAGCGAGCCTATAAGGATATAATAGAAGAACCTGCTTAGCGAGCTTATAAGGATATAATAGAAGGGTAGTAAGGAAGGACCTTATTAAATGCTAATTCTAGCGCTAATTCTAGCGCTAGCTCTCGCAGAAGCAGCTGAACTAGGCACTATACGCTAGCTCTCGCAGAAGCAGCTTAACTAGTACTCGCAGAAGTAGCTCAACTAGCATTCGTAGAAGCAACTTAACTAGGCATCCTATATTATACGCCGGCTCTCGCAGGAGCAGCTTAACTAGGCATCCTATATTATACGCCGGCTCTCGCAGAAGTAGCTAAACTAGGCATTACACGCCTGCTCTCGTAGAAGCAGCTGAACTAGGCATTATACGCCTACTCTCGTAGAAGTAGCTGAACTAGGCCTGCTCTCGTAGAAGCAACGCGATCGAGCGTAGTATTACGGCTCACTTTTCCGGGGATAGGACAAGGACTTAGCGAGCTTACAAGGATATAATAGAAGGGTAGCTATAACGGATATTGTTAATACCATTTCTAGCGCCATTTCTACTGCCTATTCTACTGCTATTTCTAGCGCTATTCTACTGCTATTTCTAGCGCCATTCTACTACTATTTCTAGCGCTAATTTACCGCTAATTCTAGTGCTATTTCTAGCGCTATTTTCAGCGCCATTTCCAGTGCTATTTCTAGCGCTATTTCTAGTGCTAATTCTAGCGCCAATTCTAGCGCTAGCTCTCGCAGAAGCAGCTGAACTAGGTAGGGTTAGCGGCGACGGCTTAGTAATCCTGTCGGCGAGCTACCTAGTAACTAGCCTATAAGACGGAGACTAGCTTCTAATAGCGTACGGTTCCTACGTAGCTTACGGCTACCTCTCTCCTTAGTAGTGCGAGTAACTATACTTAATAACTACTCGGCTCTCTTAGCTCGCTCCGATTTAACTTAATTAATCCGGCGCGCTCTATATCGAGGTACCTAGCTTGTTGCTAGGCTTGTAGAGGTAGGACGCTTATTACGCGGATTATCCGGACTACGAGCGATAGTAGTATCTATAGCAACAGCCGAAGCGGATAGAAAGGCAGAGGCTAGATTGCCTAGAAGCACTATATTAAGCGTAACTATCCGACTAGGTAGCCTAGGGCTAGTACTAGGACTAGAAGCAGTAGTAGCGGTAGTCGCTCTCTCGATCTAATTCGTGCGAAGACCTATCCTAGCTGCCTCGCTACGGGAGGACTCTGTAATACCGGCCTAGACGGCATTTCGCGCAGCGTTCTATACGGTAAGGCGCTATGCTAGAGACACTATCGAAGTATTTAGCAATACGGGTCGGCCGGCCGTAGATTGAGAACTAGAAGCGAGTCTAGCAGCAGTAGTAGTAGTAGTAGCTTTCTTCTCTTCCTCTACTACGCGTTGCTTGTCTACGCGCTTCTTAGCTTTCGCATTAAGACTAGCCTTCTACTTAGCAAAGATACTTATACCGATTCGCTTAATCTTATTAATTAGCTCGTATAACGTAAATAGGCGCTAGTCGATGTCCTAAGCTTTGAACTAGTCGATAAAATCGACCGACTTCTGCTTAAATAGCCGCTAATTAACGATAATATCCTCCTATTGCTCGAGCTAGCTCGTAGTAGTAAACACATTGCAGATACTCTATAGCCTACGGTCTTCTAGTATAGTCTTTAACGGTAGGTCGAATATATAGCGATAAGTCTATTCTAGGTACTTGTTGTTCTTAGAAGACAACTAGGCCTATAGCTTCTAGAAGGCAATAGCCGGACGTGTCCTATTTCCTAGCTTATAGAAGATTGGACCTATAGCTTCTACCGGTAGCCTGCTATTATAAAGGAGATCGAGGGCAGGGTTACAGGCATTACAGCAGTGCTCGCTCGGTAGTAGGTCTTATAGATATATTACCTTATCCTCGCTAAGGTACTAGAGGATTACCTTACGAAGGTAGATACTATAGTCTCGATATCGATCGTTCTAGAAATGTATCTAGATCTTTGGAATCTTCTCGCGGGCAGCTATCTCTACCTTAGTTTAATACTTCGGATCCGTGCTAGCATCTGTATCTACATCTGTATCTATATCGCTAGCAGTACTCGCATCGCCGTAGTCTCCCTTAGCATCCTCTCCGGGAATTTGTAACTGCGATAGGCTTAAGGAACGGCCTAGCGTATAGCGATGCTAGTATAATCTTCGGACTCTTATCGCTAAATAATAAGAATTAGGACGAGGCTACTTCTTACTGTTATTAATTAGGTATAGCAAGAAGACTAAGGCTATACTCCGCTTGCCCTACTATAGAAGGGCACGACTAATACGACTAAGTCGCTATATTAAATCTTCAATATCTCGAGTTATCGGATACTTAATCTAGGCGACAATCTCGATATCTAGGATATTTAGACCGACACTAAACGTAGTCGTAGCGATTATAATGCGAATGTTCGATAGGCTATCGGGGCCCTCTATAGTACGACTGTATTGCTTGTATCGACGAGTCTAGTCGCGCTTAGCTACGCTACTAGTATAGAACGAGACGGTAGTATAAACATTTACACTAGTATTGCTCTATATATATCGCTTTTTTGGATCGCTATAGGTGGATGTTATAGCAACTAGCTATGTTCGAATAACACTAGCTAGCTCTTATACGGACTTCCGACTATTAATAAATAGCAGAGCCTTCTTAATGCCTTAAGGTATAGCTTCCTTGCTTTCTAGATCGAAGGCTCTATCGATTGCGAAGTATAGGTAGTTATACCCTCTAAGCTAGTCTTTGTCGATAGTCCGCAAGATGTATATAGTATCTAGTCGATTAATACTGCTACGGAGAACCTTAGTCTTATACGGTTTATTTCTAAGAGGTCGGAAGCTACCGTTCTTAGCTACAAAGTCCTCTGTTTCCTTAGACACTAGCGATAGTTAGCTCGGTTTAGTTTAGCTTAGCTCGATCTACTTACTAGTAGCAGAACAGCCCAACTATACCGTATCGGTACGTAGCAGCTTCCGTAGCGAGAAGATCTAGGTATATTCCTTACGAAACTCCTTCTACTTCGCTACTAGGTGCATCTCGTCGATTACAACTAAACTAATCCGAGCCCGGGCCTTTAAGTCTCGAATAATAGCTCGGAAATCCTCGCTAGCTACAGTTTCTAGACTGAGGATGATATAGTAGACCTTGCTATCTATAATCTTCTAAAATAGGTTACGATCTATACTCTTATTCTCTGCGGTAATATTAACTATATTAATTAGATAGTTAGCTTGTCGGGCAGTCTCGCGCACATCCTCTATATACTCCTTACTAAGACGATTTAATAGAGTAATTTCAATAACTACTATGCCTATTAATAGGCTAAAGGCCTGAAAAGGCAAACTCTTACCTTCGCTAGTCTTAGCTACTATTATTATATTAGAGTAGGCAAATACGAGAGCCTAGACACTATAGATCTAGGATTCCTTTAGTATAAAGCCCTTGCCTAGATGCATCTTATCGAGAATCTTTCGCAGTCCTTAAGTAATAATATCGCGATGTACGTTAACAGCTTCTAGGGTACGTATCGCATCGTAGACTAACTACTATACTTGCTCGAGTAATGTATTAGTATTAAAGATCTTGTCGTAGCGCTGCTAAAACTAGGCTTTATAGTTACTCTTTCTAGCTAGCTACTCGACTAGTAGTAGATAGCTAAAGTCTAGCGACTCTCGACTAATAGTAGCACGACCTAGTAGTTTAGGTCCGATAGGCTAGTCGCCTTTCTTCTTCTTCTAAGATCCGGTCTTAGCTGCCTTATCTTTCTTTGCCTAGGCGCGGCGCTGCTTCTCGCTGCTACCTGATTTTAGTAGCATTATTGTCGGCAGTAGATACGGCGGCGGCGGCGGCGGCGGCGGCGGCGGCGGCGGCGGCGATAGTAGGATCGACCTTTGAATGCACGCGAGGCGGCTAGATATATATACGTATACGTATAAGTACTAGAGAGGTCGATATAATAGCGCGTTAGTATTAAAGGTAGACGGTACCTTATTAGCCCTAGATAGCAATATTAAGACAAGGGCGGTAGTTTTAAGGCATTCTAAAGCGCGGAGATTAGAGAGGTAGTTAATGCGACGGGCCGTACGTGCTTCGCTTAGCGTTGTATATACTGTTTATAGGTAAGTAATATATAGTAGGTAGATATAAACGGAGTGTTCGGGCAAGTCGTCTTAGAAGACTAAAAATTAATCTCTTAATTAACGTTTTCGCGACTACTTTATATAGACAATCTAAGAGATCATTTTATAACGTACAACTATACTACTAACAACTTTTTACTATTTTGCGTAGTTGTTAGGCTATATAGATTTATAACTACTTTCGTGTTCGGGGACTTATATAGAGGAGGAACGGTTTAACTTTAGGCGCTCCGCTATAGCTTTCTCTATACCCAATGTAGTTAGTGTCGATGCCTAAGGATACAGAATTACGTAGAAGAATCTACAACACTCGGAGCGCCTGAGAGGAGGTAGCAGTTGAGCAACTTCAGTGTTCCACTCCAATCTCGCTTCTGTGCACGCTTGCCAGACCTCTCTTCTCGTCAATCTCATCTCACCTCTCTCCTTCTTCCTTCACCCTCCCTGTCAGGCTTTGGTGCTCCTGACTGCACCTTCTGACCTATTTGAAGTGCTGGAAGCGCGAGCTGTCGATGGCGTCACGAGGCCTTTCGAAGGACCCGCCGCGGTCCAAGTACCGCTCGGTAGCTTGATTGATATGTATATTGTTTCCTATCCAGACTACTTTCCCAAGTTTCGGTCGCATTATTCTCTTTTGGCTTGTCATTGGCAGTCTTGGAATTTTCTCATCTCGCACCCTCTCTTTTCCGTATGGCTTGGCCTAACCCTTTCCGACGCAAGACGGCCAATACGCGCGAGTAGGTACTTTCACATGCCAACTGCTGAAGTACCTGTAGCTGACATCCTTCGTAGTTGCTGGGGATACACTTTCGAATTGACTGACAAACACCTCACGCCCGAGCAATGCGACCCGTTAAAACACTCCTACGACCTCCTTGGCGAACAAGTACTTGATCGATTGAACGAGATCTCGCCACCGCAAGACAAACAGTTACCGCGCGGTAATAGCCACTTCACAACGACTCCGAACAACGACACAGACCAGAAAGAGGTGCCAGATGATGCGCCCAGGGTACCACAAAGAGATCTGTATGCGATTTTGAAAGACCATGCAGACTCTGATAAGCTCCTTCAACGCTTTTGGAACGATGTCAACACTGTTCCCTCGTGGGTCGATTGGGCTCAAATACAGCGAGGGCAAGATGTGTTCTACAGATATGGCGGGGCTATGTTGACTGGCCTAGCATACCAGAGTCTGTTGGGCGGGATGGGAGCAGCACGGGTCGTTGAGACGCTCGCAAGGACAGGAGGCTTTTCGACTAAGGTGGCAAGACGAAGGCTCTTCGAGACGACACAGCACATCTTACAGTGTACGAAGAGTCTGGAGAGCATGCAGCCGGGTGGTGATGGATTCGCGTCAACGATCAGAGTGCGCTTGCTTCATGCTGCTGTGCGACAACGTATCATGAAGCTTCGGGCCGGAAGACCCGAATATTACGACGTAGAAGCTTGGGGCATACCTATCAATGACCTTGATAACCTGGCTACAATCACCACGTTCTCCGCATCACTGATCTGGGTGAGCTTACCTAGACAAGGAATATTTTTACGAAAGCAAGAAACGATCGATTACATCGCTCTGTGGCGTTATATCGGTTACGTGATAGGCTGTCCTCCCGGGTATTTCGAGACTCCTGCACAAGCAAAACAATTGATGGAGGCTCTATTGCTCTATGAAATCGATCCGACTCCGACATCGAAGATCATGGCCAATAACATCATCAAATCCTTGGAAAGCCAACCGCCAGGGTACACTTCTGCGGACTTCCTCGTGGCTTCAGCCCGATGGCTAAATGGGAATGATTTATGTGACGCACTTGGCTTGAGTCGGCCATCTGTATACTATCAAGCATTGGTGATCGGCCAGTGTTTGTACGACTCTCGTCAGAAAACTTCCAGATCGATCGCGCACGTGCTAACCTGCGGCTCACAGCTTCTTCTGCATTTTGAGTTACACGTATCGGGCGATCCCTTTCCTGGACAAACGAAAAATCGAGACACTGAAGTCTATCTTCTACGCAATCATCGTGCACTCGAAGTACGGGTTGAAGGGCGAGGAGAGCACTTTCTCCTTTAAATATGTTCCAGAATACTGTAAGTCTAATAAGCACAAGTGCAGACGTGATAGCTCATGGTTGCAAGAGACGCCGGCTGACATGACGGTCACATCAGCGACGATAACGGAGATGGGGGAGTGCGAGGAAGAGAAAGCTTGTTTTTCGCCTGTAGAGAGCAGAAACCTCAAGAGCTTTGTGATCGGAGTCAGTGTGCTTGCAGTCGGTGGATCGGCAGCGGCATGGTTTGCGTATGAACTAGCGAGTCGTTTGCTGTGGTAGATGTATTGGTAGTACGACTTCAAGCATCTGCTGCAATCGCGAGGCTAACAAAATTAACACCATCAACATCAAAACCCAGCAACAACTTTCTTTTAAACCTTCCGTCTCTTGGCCTCTCTCCCTACCGCCGTGCCCTACAAATTAACTACATATATATGTGGAGCTGTCGATAGCCTCGAGACAGCTGGATAAGGTTTGCTTCCGACACTAGGAGTCCCCTACATATGTGCTGAGCCTGCACGTCGAATGCTTGGCACTCTGCAGCCTCGTTCACGCATGAACCCGCATTGCATATGGGACGGATCGCTGGCCATTGAGGCACGACGAGAGCTGTTCAAGCTGTTCAAGCAGTTCCCCTTCTCCATCCCGACCCTCACCCACCCAGTCATCGACGCAGCGTGCACGACGCGAAGGTCATGGGCGCTTCGCTACCTCTCCAACCCCATCCCCATCGGACCCTTTCAGGAATCGCGTGCAATATCGGGGTGTCGCACAGCATACAGCGTCGTGCAGCGAGTGGGCACGAGCAGTGAGCGGCGTCGGCATTTACCAGGCGCATGCGCCGCGAAATGCCTGAGCCACGAAGAAAGGGAAGTGCTGCTGCTTTCGATTCGCAGCGCTTCGAGAGACAGGCCAAAGCCAAGAGCAGCGAGTCGTACGCGCAGCACTACGCGGCTGGCGGAGGGAGAAACAAGCACATCCTCAACGCCAACAACAGCAGCAATAGCGGAGGCGCTGGTCCGCTGCGTGGCAGCAAATCCACGTTGTTGACGGCGTCTGCGTCTTCTGCTGCCATCGCTGGCGCTGCAAACGAGCATGCTCGCCCGCTGCTCACGAGCCGTGCCCAGTCCGCATCCCTGCTCGAGCTAACGCGACCAGGGCGGCCTGCTGGGGGCGCGGCCGGAGGCGACGATGACACGGCACAGCAGGAGAGGAGTTGCGTGCGCGCGAACGCCAGTGCCAACAGCAGCAGTGACGCCGTGCAAGACGACGACGAGGTTGCTGGCGCGACTGGTGCAATCCGGAACCTTCGCCCGTTTCAGAATCCAGAGGTACGCATGTCCTCCTCCCAGTGCGCGTGTCGTTAAGGTTCAACTCAGAGGGTGGGCATCAGGTGCCATTGGGTCAGGTACGCGACAAGAATAGCAGCTAATTAAGGGCCTCGTTACAACAGCTGTCGCAGCCGCTGCCAGAAATCAACATCGCCATTGTGGGCAGCTCGTCCGTGGGAAAGTCCACCTTCGTGCAGCGTGCACTCGAGCTGCCCGCCCTACCCGAGTCGCAGACCACCGAACGCAGAATTCCCATCGTCGACGACGACAGCATCTACCTGGTGCGCCTGCTCGAGGTTCCGCTCAACAAAGTCGACATCGACGACGACAACGATGACACGATCAATTGGCCGGACACGATTGAGGATAAGATGATGCCGCACGTGGACGGCGTTGTGGCACTGTACGACATCCAGGACAAGAGCTCCGTCGAAGACTTGCCCGAGACTTTGAGTGAGTGATGCCTCGTGCTGTATTCGTGCCGTTGGAACCGGATCTACAGCGATATACGAAGTGCGGTGGGACAAAAGCACTGACTGTGTGGCGACCAGATGCGATCACAAAAACTTCCATACCGACCGTTCTCATCGCCAACAAGTGCGATACACCTCTAGCACAACGCGAAATCGACCCGACGTCATTCGAACAAGCTGCGAAACGCAATCTGGGCCGTGTACCATCATTTCAGATATCTGATTCTAACCCTGAAGGTCACAAACGTGGGCTGGTCACCCTCCTGAACGCGATCGTGCAGGTTTCCCAAGCATCTCCAGGTCTGCCAGACCCTCGCACATGGTCGGAAATTAAGGACCGCTGCTGACATGACCCCAGAAGAACATCAACGCAGCTCTTCGGCACATCGACGAAGAGCACATTCGAACGCTGTGCGATCACTGTCGCCGCGCATACCATCAGCGGGACATTCACGGGCCAGTTCGGAGCATACCGGCTTCGTGGACCTGAGGCACGCCCGTGTTGACTCCAGTTTCCCCGCCTACAACCAAGGCGATCGTCTCAAGGTGGCTGACGACCAAATGGTTAGCTCATTCCTGCTCGAGGAGTCGGGGAGTGAGCCAGCCACATTATCGTCTCGCTCATCATTCAGCGGCGATCAGGATCGAGTGCCGGGCAGCTCGCCCTCCTCTATACTTGCAGAGAGTGGAGCCACATTCGATGAGCTTGTGGATCGCTTGCTCGATCAACCTACTTCGAAAGCAGATTTGAAATACACTGACATCTTCCTGGCGCTATATCGCAACTTCGCTGCCCCTGGCAAGCTTCTGGAGGCTATTGTGCAACGCTTTGACGCATTAGAACAGAATGCCTCGCCCATGATCGCCAAGTCTGCATCGCAACTTCGATACCTCCATGTTCTGCAGAAATGGGTCAGCGGATATCCTGGAGACTTTGCCTTTCCTAAGACGAAACGCAGACTACAGACCTTTGCTACTAAGCTGAGTGATAGCCGTATCTTCGCTGCTGCTTCGCGAGAGATTGGTCTCGCCATTGACATGATAGCGGCCGATGATGACACAGACTGGGCGTGCAACGACAAGGACAGATATGCTTCGGGAGAATTCTCTCGAAGCTCAATGTCCTCAACAGCTAGCACACTCCTCGATGACCCCGAGTTCAACTTCGACTCAGCGCTGAGCGGCAGCACACTCTACGACGATATTCCCATGGACAACCTCCCAAAGCTTGCCAACCAACAGCTCTTGTATGTTGAGCAAGCGCAAAGAGTTGCATCAGGTCTGCACCCGATACCGAGGAATCCGCTCACCAAAATCGAGTGGCGCAATCTTATGGAGAAGCCCGATGACCTTATAGTGAGAGAGCTGACACGAATGGACTGGATCATGTTCTCATCAATACGACCTCGAGATCTGGTCCGGCATGTGTCGTTAAGCAGAGAGCAAAAGAATGGTTGCAGAAACCTTGCCCACGTTAACCGAATGATCGAGCACTTCAACCAATTAGCTTGCTGGGTGGCGAATTACGTGCTTCTTCGCGACAAGCCCAAGCATCGCGCGTTGATGCTCGAAAAGTTCATGCGGATCGCACGGAAGCTTCGGGAGCTCAATAATTACAATGCCTTGGGCGCGATCATTGCTGGAGTTAAATCGACATCGGTACACCGACTTGCGCAGACACGAGAACTCCTTCCACCACACGTTGGCAAAGACTGGCTCAAACTTGAAATTCTGATGGCACCTGCACGATCGCATTTTGCGTACCGCCTTGCGTGGGAGAATAGCTCCACCGAGCGCATACCTTACCTACCACTTCACCGGAGAGATCTGGCTACTGCAGAAGAAGGCAACAAGACATTCATTGGTGACGAGAAGGGTGTAAGGATCAATTGGAGGAAATTTGAGATCATGGGAGACGTCATCGTTTCTCTGCAGAGAGCCCAAGGAGTTCCCTACAAGAATTTGGGAGGTCTTGCCGGCAATAAAGAGATCAAAGAACTGATCTTGGATGTGAAGCTGATAAAAGACGAAGAGGTAGGATTTGGATTTGAACGGGGCAGAACATGAGAGTCAAGCTAACTTTTGATCGTAGGAGCTTTACGAGCGCAGTGTGGCTTGCGAGCCTACAGCAAACGCAGCCTCAGGATCAGCGGCAAAATTCAAGGAGTTTTTCAGGCGATGAGAAGAATCAAGAGCAAATCTCGAGAAATATGGGCGCCGGATCTAGGCAGGAAAGCAATTATGCGCGACACTTTTGGTGACGAATAGAGGGTGATGATTTCGACGACCAACGACATTTGAGCACATATCCGTCATGTGATGAAGCAGAAAATATTTTGGGCGCCTCTTGGGAGGATCTGGGCAAAGAACGAGAAAGAGTCTTGACAAGCAGATCTCGATGCTGTTCGAGAGGATATGGAGGAACGCGGAAACACAGCGCGCATGAGAAGAGGAAGCTGTCTACTACAGCTGTGCAAAGAGCGTACGTAACTCTACGTTGTTTGCAGCAAAATTGGTCTTGTCATAGATTACTGCAGCCTCACGGCCGCAAGAGCTACCATTTGTAATAGTTTGACGACGAGAGTAGCGTACTCGGAAGCGTTTCGGTGTGTATGTCAAGCCATACATTGTGAATAATCAGAGAAAGCCTTGTATCTCTATCATATGCACAGCATGTTCTTAGCGCGCAACGTTCAACTACTATGATACCGACAGACTGCATGATGGTGTTCGTTCACTGCCCAAACTTGATCCCGCACAATTTGATGAACTCCACCATGCCTTCAGAAACCTCTTCATCATCCACGTTCCTCAGCCGATGCATAACATCTTGCGCTTGCCTATCTCCCTTTTCCCGCGTCCATGGACCTCGCAATTTCTCATCATGCTCTCCTTGCTGATGGTGGTGAGCACCTCGATTTCGAGACCGTCCGCCTCGACCACCTCTGAAAAAGGAGCTTCGACGGTCGTCGCGATGTTCCGAGAATAACCCTGATTCCCTCCAAGTCCGCTGGTCTTCTGGGCCGGGTTCAAGCGTCATTGCAAAGACGGCGGAAAGTTCGTGATGCAGTTTTGGATATCTTTGCATCAGGAGCTTGAAGTCTTGATCATTCTCGAAATTGGCGTAAGGTGATTTTTTCTGTGGAGTTTGGCTCGGCTTGTGGGTTTCTGTGGTGCGAGCTTCTGGGAGAGATGTTGAGGTAGAGCGTGGAGCATTTTCTTCGCTTGAGTGAGTGGTCTTGTGAGATTTGTAGCAAGGGATAGAGCAGCTGCAAACAATTTAGCAGTCTGTTGAGCAAACACTTAGCAGTGACGAAGGACGTACTATCTGATCTCGCAGGTCTTGCATTTGTACTTGGATTCTTGTTCGTGGCACACGCCGCATTGTTGTGCCATTTGATTGCGCTCATAGCTGTGTTGTGCGGCTCACTGAAAGATTATCTTCAGTCTCATGGGAGAGACGTCGATCGATCGTCGGCGGCTCTTTCTCGTCACATGTTGAACATTGAAGTGAAGAAGGAACTGCCTTCTACTCGTGCTCAGGCCCGAGCCGTCTGGGGCTTCTGAGACAGGCGAACTCTACTCTTAATTGCGTTTAGGTTGAGAATGCCAAGAACCTCGTGACCGCGATGCCTGTCTATACTGTTTCTTAGTAATTTGGTCGATAGAGTGCAGTTATCCTTACACTGCCTCGAAAATAGCCCTTATAAGCGGTCTACTACTAGAGATAGTATATATTGTCGCTACGGTCTACGTTGCTAGTAACCTCTTGCTACTATATTACCTTATAATAGCGCTAAAGCCGAAGAAAGCACCGTCGGCGGCTCGAGCGAGTTAATTACGTAAACCAGTCGAGAAGGAGCTTCTAGCTTATAAGGAGGCTATTAAAAGGCGCGAGTCGCCGAAGAAGAAAAAGGCGAAGGTAGTAAAGAGGTTAGCGGCGGCGGAGGCGGCTTTAAAGAAGTTTAGTTAGGCGCGCGTATTTAATGCTTAGGCGTATAGAGAATTCTCGGACCTCTTATTAGAGCGCGCGTCGATAGTAGTTAGTAATAATAATAGTAACGGCGGTAGTAACGGCAGTAGTAAGAAGGATATAGAAGGTGAAGTCGCGCCTAGCGAGTTAACGACTATAGGCGAGGCGCCTAGCAATTAGCTAGCGCAACGGCTTATAAACTAGAGGTTAATAGATAAAGGAGATATTAAGACTGCCTCGTACGACTCTCGTAACGACCTTTACTATAAGCAGTGTTAGCGCCTTCTTAGCGGCAACTAGGTCCTTAGAACTAAGAATAAGGAATAGCATAGTGCCGCTACTTAGCCTGCTAAAGATGCTTTCTACTAGGCAGTTAATAAGGCTAAGAAGCAAGGTCTCTTTATTAGAAGCTGTATACTAGTCGTGTCCGCTGCGAGTATAAAGAAGGCGGATTAGTTCTACCAAAGTTAGAAGCAAAGTAGTAAGTTAAACGGCTATTCGAAGAGCGTTTCTATACTAATCTCTCCTAGCTAAGGATTATAGCAAAGCACTTAATGCCGCTCTTAAATTTAAATACGAAGGTCGAGACAAGGTCCGTATTGATATTAAGTTTAAAACAGTAGCGAAGGACGCCCTCGTTAGCGCTGTTCTTAAAGTTAGTAAACTAAAGCTAAACGACTAATAAGCTGTAGACGGTCTTGCCTATATTATAGAAGAACGAAGGTCTAGTAACTATAAGACTAAGCTCTAAGCTAACTATATATATACTCTTAGCACCTATAAGAACTATAGCGGCTACTGCTATTATCCTAAGAATACGCTAAATACGGAGATTTATTATTACTAGTTCTATACCGAGGCTTTAAACCTATAGTCTTACGCTCTTGCTATATAGCAAGAAGGAGTTAGTCTTAAGAAGCCGCCGGAGTTGGCTTTTATAAAGATAAAGGATTACAAGGACAAGATATTAAGTAGCAAGCTAAAGGGCTCTACTAGTATGCTTGCTAATTTAAAGATAGTAGAGCTTCCTTAAACACTAGCCGTTTAACGAGGCCGTAATAACATTAATCCTAGTACTATTATCCGAGAGACTATATCGAGTCTGCTTCCGGTCCTTCGTAGACAACTAGCCGCCGCCGAGCCTGCCGTTATACTACCTCCGGCTGTTATAGAAGAGTCTCCTATTCTAGTCTGTATTATAGCACAGATTAGAACGCCTATCTTAAGCCTTACTCGATAGTTCTTTAAGTATGCTATATAGCAACACGAATGGTCTAATCTAGAAGAAGTTAGAGACTTTAAGAAGATTGAGTTACACTTCCTTGCTAAGAAATAGGACTATAATTAAATAATGCGTGTCTCTAAGAAGTACTAGAAGGAAGAACTTAGCTTCTTTAAAGGCTATAGACGACGGTTGCTTAATATATTAAAGCGCTTTTAGAAGATTAAGTTATCTAAGAGGTTAGAGAAGTGATAGGTTTGAATAATAATAACGATATTAATAACGGAGCAACGGCTGTTTTCTTTAGTTTAGATTAGTATAGAGTTTATATAGGAAAGGGAAACAAAGTGGCTTATTAATTGCTCCGTTGCGTATGTCTTAATTATCGTTGCCGCCCTTCGAGTCCTCCGCTGAAAAGTGAAGTTTGTAAGCGGAGCGCTTAGCGCGGGGCTTAGCATTCCGCACTACCCCTTCGAAATTCGAAAACATCCGCTATACTGCTCCGACTATTATAAAATTAATAGCAGAGCTTCTATTAGACATTATCTTAATATTGCGCATTTTTAATAGTATAATTTGGTCGTATAGTAGTAGTATTCTGCCGCTTAGAGGTGTAGGTTGTTAAGCTCGAAGCCTAACTTAGTTGCTTCGTCGTTAAACACGCTATTAACGTTATAACCGCTATGTCTAAAGAGTCCGGTTATATTAAGGCTAGCTATATGCTTAAGAGCCTATCTAAGGAAGTCGGCAAAGCACTTAAAGTCCTTCTATAGGTGCTTGTTCTTCTTAAGCTATCTTTTAAGCATTGCGAAGGTCTGTTCTATTAGGTTAAGGTCTAGCGAGTATAGCGGCAAGTACTCTAATCTATAGCCGGCTAACCGTATTATCTCTTCTACCCTATCGCTATAGTAGATTGAGGCGTTGTCTATTATAAAGATTATCTCCTAGCCCTTAACGAGAGGTAGTACTTTATTTTCTAGCTAGTCGTTAAAGGTAACTTAATCTACGGCGCCTTCTATACAAAGAGTGCAGTTGAGATAGCTATTAATCGTTAAAGCCGGCAATACTAAGGTACGTCGTTGCCTTTGCGCGTACTAGAAATCGTAGCAATCTATACCTCTTAGAGACTAACTATATTTCCGGTAAGCAGTCTTCTTATTAGAGGCCGTCTCGTTAATAAAGACTAACTTATTAACAGGCCATTTCTAGCTCCTAGTATGCTATACGGCTCTTGCTATCGGATTGCGCTCCTTCGCGATATGCTTTAACTGTTTCCGAGTCCATTTAAGCCGATTAGTAAGCGTACGCTAAACACTCGAAGGATATAGTTCTACGCTAAATTCATTATACAACGCTATATACATCTCTTTAAGGAATGAGTCTAGTCGATTAGATAGGTATTCCTTTAACTATGCGTCTATCTCCTTCGTTATCTTCCTTATACGGCGCTTCTTCTTCTTCTTACTAGGCGACGGTAGTAGGTCCGGATCTGGCATATACACCTTACTAAACAGCTCCTAACACTTCCGCTATCGATATATCGTCGCCGTACTCGCTCTAGTCTTCGAAACAATAGTTGGAACGTTAGAATTAGCTTTAAAATAGAGCACCGCGAGTCTAGTAGTCTTAGAGGGTAGGCGGCGAGGCATAGCGGCGCAGGAAGGCGTAGAACATATACAACAACACCTCAACGTCCGTATTCAACGGCTATACTATCAATATAGTCAAAAATTCAGTATTAGGGTGAGTGTACTTGGAAATGGGACAAAATGGCTGATTTACTAGCAAAATCTTGGTAGGGTTTCCCAGGTCTTGGCATTCTCAACCTAAACGCAATTAAGAGTATTTCCATTACATCTTCGCCTCGTAATACATTTGCCTTGAGTCGACAGGTTTGAGAAAAAACAACTGCGTCTGATCGTTACCTGATTCTCGAGCGATCCATAAAAAATGCCGGCTACAGACTCGCCGGCAGTCATTGTAGCGCGATACTTGAAGTCCAACAACTACACAGAAGTGGGACACCAGACTTCGATAGCTGACATCTTGCTAAGAACTTGTAGACATATGAAGCATTCATCAATGAAGTCGGCCTGCCTTACGATGCCGGTAATGTCTCAAAAGGCGATCTCACGATCGAAACTTTGCTCGAAGAGAAAAAGACATTCGACGTCTCGATCAGGTTCGAAAAGTTAGGTGTCGAAGATGCGAATGTAGGATGGAGTCGGCCAGGTATGATTGATTCCTTCCACACAATTTGTTATATTGTTCTGCTGAGAATCTCCGAAAGCACCGTCTACTGCTACACAGATTGATGTTCTGCCTACTGCATCCAATATTCTCAGCACTCAAGTCGAGAATGTCGCGGAACAGGGCCAGAAGGCAGCTCCTGTCTTGCTGGTCTCGACTGCTGATCGTAAAGTGCACATTCTTGATGCTTGGTCGAATGCTCTTCAGAGGACTCTGGCAAACCTACACGACTCGCCAGTCTTGTCTTGCTCCACGGTAAAAGGCCAGCATCTGCTTACATCATCGATGTCGGGATCCTTGCATCTGAACGATACGAACGGAAGCTCAATTTCCAAGAGGCGAGATCATTCCAAGTATGTTGTCAAAGTGGCTGTACTGGAAGATAGTACGACTGGAACCATTGTTGCCACAGCAGGGTGGGATAATGCTATTTTCATCTACAAGCCCCAAGACACCAATGGTGCAATCGAGCTAGGCGAACCCAAAGCCACGATACCGTTACAGACGAAGCCTGAAGCGATGATCTGGCTTCGACATCCAGAAAATCAGCAACCAGTTCTCCTCGTGAGTAGGACAGATTCCAACAACATTTTCTTCTATACAGCTGAGGACCCACCACGTCTTTTGGGGAAACAGAACCTCGCACCACACTCAAATGCCTGGGTGGCATTCACTCCCTCTTCGTTGGAGCTGTGTCCAACAGACCCTACTTTGCTTGCGGTCGGCACGTCTTCGGTGCCGCACATGAAGCTTTTGATCGTACGACTGTTGTTCCCGCCCTGGGAGCCCGAACCTGCGCGTCGACCGCCTCAAGCTCTCCGAAGCTCCCTTCTAGACGACAATCCTGTCCAAGAAACACAAGCATCGCAAGCCCGCGCTGCACTTGCAGTAGCGGATCGCGAGCATGCTGCGATTCAGATCCACTGTACAACCATGGCTCCACAGACGGCATATTCCACGCCGGCTGTCATGTGGAGACCGGATGGCAGCGGAGTGTGGGTCAACGGCGACGATGGTGCTGTGAGAGGAATCGAGGCATGTTCTGGGAAAGTCGTGGCAACGCTGCTTGGGCATGAACCGGGAAGTAAAGTAAGATGTCTTTGGGCGGGAATGGTGAAGAGTGAAGAAGGACAGAAAGAAATTCTCGTCAGTGGAGGCTTCGACCAGAAGCTGATCGTTTGGAACGTTTGAAGTCAAGACACATATGCTACTTTCCTGAACATTTGCGAATTCTGGTTTGGTGTGTCTCATTGGGCTGCTCTCGTTATTGCCGTCTTGTTCGGCTTCTTGCGGACTTGCTTCCCAGCTTGAGCCTTTTTTTTCTACTGGGGTCAGAGGAGAGGCGGTGCTCTTTACAGTGCCGATTCTAGCTTTCGTAGAAGCTCCGTCTGTCGTCGAGGGAGACGAGTCGCACTCAACCGGCACCGAACACTCTAGTAACTCCATTGCTACCGTACCGACGTCGTTGCTCTTGTCCACAGCAGCCCTCAAATCAGCGGTCGGGGACAATAGGACAGTGTCATATGCTGATGCCATTGCCCGTGTCGAGCCAAACGGTTTCCCGCAAGTACCATACGAGTACCAGGGGATTTTGGCAACAAGTCTGTTGTTATCTTGCCATTAGAAATTGAAGTCTTCGAAGACAAGCTCCTTCCCGGTGATCCACTCCATCAGCTGCATCCTGAGCGGTACAGCCGTGCAGAGATACACTCTCTCCACTTGCTCGTCGAAAACAACATCTCCCTGCTCGATGCGTCTAAATTCCATCCTAATGGCTCTCCTCTGTAATTCCGCAACGCCCTCGTCTTCCTGCGTGCCGTTGGTCACAAACACAGTCAATGCTTTTTCCAGTCCTTCATGCCGAGCTATTGTGTCCGTCACCAAACTCGTGTCTTCCTTCCTCAGCGTCCAGAGCACTTTCAGCCTTTCGAGATCAAGCGTGCCCAGGCTCGGTAGAAGGGGCGTTATGCCTACACCAGCCGCCACAAACCCAATGGTCTCCTTTGCATCTTTTTGTGCTATCTCAAATTCGCCGCCGAATCCTTTGATGCCTACTTCAATGGGGCGATTCATTGTGGAGCCTTTCTGTCTAAAGAACCACTCTGTCGCAACCCCGACCTTCCGAATAGTAATCTCAAACTCGTCATCCTTCAAATTTCTCGTTGGATTAGGCGGATTTCGTGGAGGACTGGAGACAGTAAATGTGCGGACGAAGTCATCGTTCAAGCTACGAGGATCATCATCCCGCATATGTGAGTATCCAAGGTCGAGTTCAGACGATAAATCGAAAGTTACGTATTGTCCAGCAGTGTAGTTGGCTGCATTTCCGAGGCTGAATTTGAAGCGGGAGATGGTTGGTGTTATGGCTTCTTGAGAGAGAAGATTTGCTTGCTGAAGACCAGTGCCAGCAGATGCGGTCCCTGGCGGCTTTTCAGAAGTCAGGTATCTTACAGATGGGTTGTAGGGAGAAGCATCTCCGGGAACACCTCGGAACGGAAGAGCTTGTGAGACGAAGCGAGCAGATTCTACGGTCACTTTGACTGCCAAGTTAGAACGTGGCAGAAAGCTAGAAGCATCTTGTCCAACTAGGATGTCGGTAGTGCCTGTAAGATACAACATATCTCCCGTATCGAAGTCTGGCACGCAAAGACCAGCTCTGGGCGTGACCAAAAGGTTGCCAAGCGTCTGATATAATCTGTTTCCAGAGTACTCCGGCCAGCAGAGTACTGCTCCTGAAGCTTCATTCGATGCCACACGAAGGAATCCTGCGGGCCCACCTCGATGGTTTGTATCCATATCCAGCTCTTTTTGGGACGAGGAGACGAAGAACAGGTCAGATTTTTTGATCAGCTCGAGCGCTTGCTGCGACAACTGTGGCGAATCCGACATGAGTTCTGGGTTTGACCTAGCGGGAACGATGTGCTTGCGGTTCAGATATTTGGGGCAGTTTCCCAAGCTCTGCTCTATCTTCAGCACGAGCTGTGTTTCGACGATGTGCTCCTGTTGTTCGGTAATTTCGTCGTGTCTGGAGAGAAGGGCGCCAGCGATCATTCGACCATACATTTTGGTTCGTTTCCTTGTCTCCAAGTCGATCGCGAGACCACTCACCATTCGTCCTGGGTCCTCCTGACGAAGAACTTCCCCATTTGCTTCTTTGCCGACCAAGAGCTCCACGACTGGATCGTATTTCGCAGGCACAGGTGTCTTGATGCCGACAATGCTTCCTCCCAGTGGCTGTGAGAGGCCTTTCTGGCCAGATCCCCAGAGCGTGGTCCATGGTCGTCGTTCGGCATCCAAAGTTCCTATGGCTATTAGCGGTGCTATTCGCAAGTGATTGGAGAGCTGGGGCGAGAGGGCAGGAAGTGTGGGGTTGTCCACGTCTGGCACGCGCATGAGCTTTTGCATCTCAGACTCGCCGTCATGCCACGGCAAGTCTTGCACGAATATAGCGGCCATTGCTTTCGTCTCTCAGCAAGCGAGATGGCAGCGGTGAAGTTAGAGGAGTGTGGACATGAGCAGATGATGTCGTTCGCACTAGTGGGTATTCTAGCTGACAGATCTCGTGACTACTGTGCTATGTATGTAGCTCATAGCGCGTCATTTCTCGCCTTCCTGCTGTTCAATCACCTGTCATTCACCTATCCTTCTCTACATCTACTGTCCGGCCAGAATTGGTCAATCGGCGAGGAAACAATCAAACCAGGAAGCAGGTAGCTTTCACAAGACAGGAAGCTTGATGCGAAGTCTGATTGAAGAACAGGCAATCAACAAATCCCCCTCTTGTCGGCCGGCCGCAGCACCAAAATGCAATCATTTCGCCAACTCGCATCTCGTCAATCGACACGCGTAGTCCGTCTTCAGCACACCCGGCCATTGAGCTTCACGCGAACGCTACGATTGAAAGAGGACAAACCGCAGGATGGCCACGAGCTGGAGAAAGCAAAGCAGCAACAGCATACGAGCGAGCAGCAGCGGGATGAGCTGGCGTCGTCCTCCGAAAGCGCGGTCAAGGCAGATCAGAACAAGCAAGATGTGGAGAGCTTGCAGAAGGAGACGGCGAAACAGTCACAGAAAGAGCATGCTCACGGAAAATCGTAGAATGTAGCGAGCGAGGCATTGAAGCATCGTCCCATGCGAAAGGGAATGCAATGTACAGTGTATATATTGCGGGCAAAGTCTAGCTCGATAAAGCAGATGCTCGTCATCTCAACCTTGCCCTTCATCTATTGACGCAGATTCAGTGGCCTTGATGCAATTCTTGATCCCATTGACCACCTGGAGCCATCTTGGCAAATGTATCCGCACTGGTACACTAGATAGATAAGCTGGATAGACAACTGAGCTCAGCCAGAGCATGCTACTGCGTTCTCCAATTTTACAGGACCGTCATCCGCATACTACCCAGCTCCGCTTTGCCATCTTCCACAAACACGGCATATTGTTCTTCGTCCACTGCCGGATCTTGTCGCACTGGAGAAGGCTTCAACCTAAATGTCATACTCCTTCCGCCAAGGAATACCTGAGCACTATCATTCGCGACATATATCGTCACCGGTCCTTCGAGACGCAGATGATCGTGGCGAACTATTTCTGGCCCATCGACTTGCCGAGGAAGGTAAAGCTTGTATTGATCGGCCCAGAAGTCGTCCAAGGGCGGATTTGAAGTCTCGATCGTAGCAGTGAAGAAGCCCACACTCGGAGAAGGTGTAAAGCGAAGTTTGAAGCCGGTTTGGTCCTTGTCTGGACGGAATATGAGTCCGAAAGATGCGCAATCATGATTGACGACGGTAAACTCGAAGGCGTGGGTAGAGTTTCCTGAGATGAATGTTCCTGCAAGGCGCTGAACCATTGTGCACCCAATGGCTTCAAGCGCCAAAGATTCGACGATTTTCAAACTCTTGGCTTCCACATCAAGTTGCAACAATGCATCCTGATTCAGGTCCACTGCAGGCCTTATCTTCAACGTGCCATCTTTGTTAGCACAAACTTCTCGAGGAAATGCGCAGTCACCACCCCACAACCATTTCCCGTCGTCTGCGTTCCAATCGGCGGTCCAGCCAAAGAAGATCCTCCTGTCTGGATATCCAGATTTGCCACAAGACTTCGCTGCATACCATCGTCTCCCGTCCAGTCTTCCGCGGCTTCCATCCTTCGGCAATCGAAACGGGCCAGACGGCGAATCAGCTATGCGGTAAACAGTGCCGGCGTCTGGAGCATGGAAACGAGAATATATAAGATACCACTTTCCGCTTATGCTGAAGAGCTCAGGGCACTCGGGACAAATCATATCATGTGGTGCGTAGAGTGGTTTTGGAGAGAGATGCCAGATGTCGAGGTCGGGTGAGGTAAGGAGCGCAACGCAGCCTCTAGTTGGAGAAGGTCCATGGGAAAGACGGGTCGCAACTAGCATCCAATATACTTGGTCTTGCTCGTTGAAGAAGACGTAAGGATCTCGGAAATCCACATCTTCAAACGCACTTCTGTCCGAGTCTAATGTGATCTTTATTTCTCTTTCTGCTTTTGTAAAATTCGAACCCTGGCGATCAGGAGATGTCGCAGTCAGAATGACTTGCTTGCCACCTTTGGCGAGATTGTAGCCAGTGTAGAATATGCGAACATATCCGCGTGGATCTAGCACTGCAGATCCCGTCCAAGCACCGTCTGCATCTTGACAGGAATGGTCATTATTAACTCCAAATGCAGTAGGTGTAATCACTGGATTTTGGTCTCGAGTCCAGTGCACTAGGTCTTTCGACCTGAGTCTGCTCCAAGAAGATCGCAATCGTTTTGGGTGGTGGACAGTGTTCGGAGGTGTTGTTAGGTGAAATATCTGGTACTCATTATCCACGAGCAAAGGAATGGCATCTGCTGCGGCCTGAGTGATGCTGGGTCTCCTGTAGAAGCCCGAGAAGACCGATAGACGTTGCTCGTCGGGAAGAGACATGATGGAGAGGGTACGCTTGTTGGAGGCCGCTCCCTTCTCGATGGTCACCGGTGCAAGCGAACCAGGTATTGTTGAATCGTCAAAAGGCCGCGGTTGCTGTGCAACGCTCAACTCTGGCTCATAAATTGCCTGGATTGGTAATTTTCGGGGACGTGTATCCTGAAAGGACATCGGCATTTCTGTGTGGATTGCTGGAATCCACCAAAGTTCATTATTAGAAAAATGCGGAGAAAGCAGGTCAGCAGGGGCTGGTGCCAGGGGGCTCCCGGGAGGCCATGAGGTCCTTTTCAAACGTTGACATGCCGTGATGAAATACGAACACTGCAATTCCTCGCTGCTCTCTTCGTGTCTCATCAGTCCAAAGATTTCAGGAAATGCAGCTCAAGTATCGAAACGCCTGGCTTTTCAGCGCTTTTGCCGCTCTCGGAGCATGTATCTATGGTTATGATGGGGTGTACTTCAATGGAGTTACTGCGCTGGTCAGTCTCCAAGGGCTGCTGCAAAGACAATGCTCATTCATTTCAGGATGTCTTCATTCGCCATTTCGGCTCCCATAGGAGGGATGGTTCTTACGCGATATCACCATCGCAACTCTCGACCATGACTTCGATGATCAACCTCGGCGAGCTCGTTGGCTCGCTAATGGCAGCACCGCTCAACGAGCGATTCGGCAGGAGGCCTGTATTCGTGATTGCGGCAGTTGTACTCGTAATCGGGATAGTGATGCAGCTGGCTGCAACTTCTAGTGTCGCACTGATTACATCTGGTCGAGCTGTTATGGGGTGGGGTGTTGGAGCCTTCTCTGCGACATCTCCGATGTATATGGCTGTTCGTCCACCTCTAGCTGTATTTGCGAGCATTTGCTGATGTCATATAGGAAGTGGCGCCGACTGCGATACGTGGCCCTCTGCTCATGTGTTGGCAGCTGACCTTGTCAGTCTCACAGATTCTCGCCGCCGTGATTAACAAAGGCGTTGCGGATAATAGCACAACGCTGGCCTACCGGTTACCGATTGGGTTCCAATTGATCTTTCCAGCACTCGTACTCGCTCTCGTCTGGTTTGTGCCAGAGTCTCCACGATGGCTCTTGCGAATTGGTCGTGACCAGAAAGCCGAAGGAGCACTGGTTCACATACACGGCGAGGACAGATCGTATAGTCCGCAAAGCGATTTGACGCAGATACAAGAAGTTCTTCGAGAGGAGGCCGAGTTGTCCGCAGAGTCATCTTGGATATCCTTGATTACCGATCCGATCGAAAGGCGCAAACTCATTTTTTCAGCCGGTGCTTTGGTGGCCCAGCAGATCAATGGCATTCAATGTATGACCGAGACATGGCCACATCATTTTGCCCCCGTGATAGTTATGCTGATCACTTCTTTTTTTCAGGGTTCTACTATTTTGGCACGGTGTTCTCCAAGGCCATCGGACTAAAAGATCCATTCTTGATGACAATAATTGTCTTCACTATCCAAGTCGTCACAGTGTTTGCAGCCGTTTTGTGCGCCAACAGGATTCCAAGGAGGCCTTTGTTGCTCTCGACCACTATAATGATGACCATTTCCATCTTCATAGTCGGCGGACTCGGAATACCGGGTGGAGAGGTCAGCCGAACATTCGGCAAGGTGATTATTTCTTTTGTGATTATCGAGATCACAGCTTTCAATTTCGCCTGGGGACCTTTGGGATGGACAATCGCTTCTGAAATGGCCGTTGGTCGTAATCGAGCCAAGATTTACGCCGTTGCCGTGGGCGCATTCTGGGTGACGGTGTGGGCAACTGTGTTCACCCTGCCGTATTTGTACTACTCGGCTGATCTTGGACCCAAGACTGGTTTTGTGTACACTGGACTTTGCTTCATCACGCTGGCATACGTCTATTTTTGCGTTGGTGAAGTTACCGGGCGGAGCATGGAAGATATCGAGTACTTTTTCGCACAAGTATGTTGCAGTCGCCCAGTTCCAGTATGGAGTGCGCTAACAGACGACCAGAACATTCCTGCGAAACGATGGAAAGATCAACCAAGGAATGAATGGGTCGAGCCGACAGTAGAGCTCAAAATCGTCGAAACAGGCAAGCAATGATGCGCGAGCGTGAACAGGCACCCGGGAAAGCAGCGCTGTTCCGAGCCGCATAAGTTCCTTATTGCACGGACAGAACTTACCAACAAGAAGCGGCGTCTACACGCCCTGAGTCTGATTATAGTCCTGGATCAAATTTTCCCAAAAGTTCCAATCGGCATCGTCGAGATTAAAGTCGTTACCGAGGGCCATGTTCATATCCCCAGATAGGTTGGTGAAGATATCGGCATCATTGACGGGAGAGGGGTCGACGCCGCCGAATGGCATACCATCTGCGTCCTGCGTCGTGATATCTCGCTTCTCCTTCTCCGCTCGAGCTCTTCGCAGTGAACGCAATGTCGTTATGAAACCCGGCTCAGGGATCTTGTTGCTAGGAGGGTTGATTTCCCACGCCTTTAGCAAGATGCGCCTGATAGCAGTATGAAGGGCTTGCTTAGACTCCATAACCTCAGGGTGGTTCTTGGCCGCCATTTCGAGCCGCCTCCAAGCTGCGTCTGTTTCGTCTGCAGACAGTAAGTCGGCTTTGCGCAGAGTGGTAACCAGGAATATCACGGAGTCCCAACTGCCCCACACGAAGAACGTGTGCACATGCCATGAATATATTTTCAAACTTCCTTGGGCGCAAGCTGCTGCGTCTGTGTCCATGATTCTCAGTGCGAGTCTGAACAAGTCCCTCCTTTCCGCATCGGTGACAGTCTGTTTCCTCAGTTTCGGAAGCCGTGTCCGCAGACGCATGGCGGTAATTGCCGATCTGGCCAGACTAATGGTTATGAAGTGGAGTGGATTCACAATATCGCAGTAGCGAATGTAGTTTTCCTCCACTTTGCTTTCTGCTTCCTTGATGATAGGTTCCACATCTAAGTCGCTCTTAGAACCTGAGCCGTATATTGATTCGCCCATGCGCACAAATGCATGGCCCACAGTCGCACGTGTGAGGCAGAAGATCATGTCAGTCGCACCTTGCTGCGGCTCCGGCTTCTCGGTCATTCCAGGCCAGATTTGGTTGTCATTGATGTTGAGAGGCGGTTTGACATCCCATGTATGAGGCATAATCGCGATGGCTATCCCGCTCATGTGACTTGCAGCTCCGTCAAGAGGCATTACTTGGTAGAACAAACGCCGCCTCATTTGCACGTCGAAGGGCGGAAGACCTAATGACTCGCCATCTCGGTGTAGGCCCATCTAAAGGTTCAGAAAGTCAGTGTTGCTGTCAATCTCCCTCTCTCGTTCGTCGGAAGAAAGTTCACGGTCAGTTGGAGCCATGATCTCCCAAGAAGCCTTTCCATTTGGTCATTCTGCAGGAAAGCATTCAAGTAGTTTACTGTGTCCCAAACATTTGGTCTTGTGCTGAGAGACAACTTCGATAACGATGCCAAACACCCAATGAAAATGACTTACTCGTTGAGAAATTCTCATGGCAACTCCAGTGAGGATCCAGAGAGTGTGTGGATCGTATATGGTTCTGCAAGACATGAGGAGTAATGTGAATGCTTGCCTAAATCGCGATTAAGTAGCAGATTAGCAGCGTGGTGGCAGACTGTGGTGAATTTTCTTACAGAATATTCATTTCAGTTGTTTTTAGAAAACCGGCGTTGACCAGAGCTTGTCTCGCAGCAAAATTGTATCGTTGCCGCAAAGCTGCCCTCGATTCCCGAAAGTTCGTTATACACTCCTCATCTGACGCAGCCACGACTCCAAAGTGATAGATGGCGAAGAGCACTGCCTCCTCTGATTTGGACGCTGAAGCAGGATCTTGCGACACCCGTTCTACCATTTCACTTGTCGACGGAATGTGCAGGATCTTGCAAAGGGGTTCCACACGTTCGCGATGCATGTTCCACAGGATCAAGGCCTCGGCGTGAGTTGGATGGCATTGAGCAAGGCTATACTGGTAGCCCAGAAATGCTCTAGTGAGAGGATCAGAGGCATAATCCTCAGTGGTTGCACGTAGGGTCTGATCGTCGTCCTCGTCTTCAACATCAAGCATGCGCTGGATTTCGTCCTCGCCCAGACTCCGCCAGATGTTGCTGTCGATATAGCGCGACTTGCCTTGAGCGGCCACGATCTTTCCAGTCCGAGACGTCTCGGGATTGTTGTGTGAGGTAGACATGGGCTCGTCAGTCCTGGGGTTTGCCGCGGCACTTTGTGAGTTGCTCTCAGACTCCGGAGAGACATAGTTGTCCTGTGGCAGCAAACCATGGCGCTGCAGGATTCGCTCGTAGCTCGCCAGCTTGTCGTGTACGTCGTCGACGCCAGCACCGCTGAGCTTGCGTTTGCGTCGTCGGGGCGGAGGCGCCTGGTATGTACATTCCAGCCTGCGATCCCGACAGCTGGTGCATGCTGGGGCAATTTTGTCGCATTTCACCTTTCGGCGGGTGCATGTCTGGCAAGCATATGCCATCAGGTTGGACTCGGAACTGTTCTCGCCGCTGCCATTGCCAAGAGCGGCGGAACCAGCCTTCGACGGCGCAGGAGCAGGGGTGATGGGGTGATAGTGGCGCTGCTGATGAGTATGGGTCGATGCCATGACGGCGGCTCATGTATACGTATCGCAGCATGTCGTGTGCCCAGAGAAGACCGTCGAGCGAGCGACGGAATCGTGCATTCACTCACCCAGCGCGTCGGTCTCGCGTCTTCCCCGCGTCGTCCCCGCGTCTTCTGCCTCCACGTCCTTCGGTCCCACAGAACCGCAAGCGTAAGTAGAACTACATAAACGCTGCCGACAGCTGACAGACATTTCCGCTCAGCCTGAGCCGCCAACTGCATCATTCGCCATGTGGCTCGTGTCGTGCGACGACGACGGCGACTGGCTTCGTGGCAAGCGAGTCTGGCTGCGACCAGGCGCCACATACTTGTTCGGACGCACGACCGGCAATGCGAAAGGGCCCGACGGCGAGCAGATCGCCTACATCAATCACAACGCCGTTTCGCGAAAGCACCTGCTTGTTCACATTGGACACGTCGCGCCTGGTGCCAGCGCTCGAGTAGACGTCCGATCCTCAGTCACGCTCACCGACGCCTCCAAATCAGGCACCGACATCAATGGTGCAAGTCTCGTCGGCCAGTCGATGACCCTGGACGGCACCGATTTCCGCATCACGCTGGGAAAGAGTCCTGTGAAGCTCAGGCTGCAATGGCATCCAGTCGTGCTGACCTTCACCGGTGGCCTTTCGAAAGCGGCTAATAAGGCCGACGGCACAGCGCTCGCCGAAGCGCGGCAGAAGCTGGAGGCACTGGACGTCAAGCTTGTCACGGAATACATTGCGAACCAGACCACACATGTAGTGACTAAGAAGCGCAATACTGCCATCGCGCTCCGAGCATTCCTCGAGCGCAAGTGGGTAGTTGCATATAGCTATGTGGATGCTTTGGCCGCGGTAGCTGAGAAGGATGACCTCGAGCAAGACTATGATGGGAAGTGGCCGCAAGAGGCAGAGCACATCGTTCCAGCAGGCAGTGAGCCGGACCCGTGTCCAGATGACACGTTGAGACCAAGGCCCGAGCGGGCAACGATGTTTGAAGGGTACAGCTTTGTGACCTTAGAAGACGGCCAGTATTCAACACTGTCGCCCGTAATTGCCGCCGGAGGAGGTAAGATATTTCACTACGAGTACAACGCAGGAAAGACCGCAACTCAAGAATTCATTGACTATCTCAAGAAGCTGGCCGGGAAAAGCGAGTCGAGCGGCTTCCTCTTGAGTCAAGAGCCCGCGCCGGGAGGCATCGTCATCATTCGGCCATCCAACGCGTCTTCTGGTAGAGACCAGCAATTTATGAGCGAGGTCGATACTACCCTGAACCAGCGCTCCATTGAGCAGAGCGAGCTCTTAAGTGTGATCCTGCGGCTGGATGCGAGCATCCTACGCAAGCCACTGCGCAACGCCAATACGGCCACTGCAACTGGACAGACTGCTCACGGACTGCCATCAACATCTATTACTGATTCATCACCATTGGGGCTGCCTCCTCGGTCCACTCGGGGCAATCCTATCCCACAGCCTGGCCCCGAAGAGCAGCGCCAAGCAGAGGAGCGACCTGCACCTGCAACAAAGCCTCCGCGGAGGACCATCACGCAAAGGCAGTTCAAAGGCTTCGCAGACTTTGATGACGAACCCACCTCGCAACCTCCGTCGCAGCAAGCACCCCCTTCACATCAGCCCAATCAACCTGAGGGTACATCACGATCGCAACCGAACGAGCGTTCACAACGTGAGGCCAGCCTTCAGCAAGGGGCCCAGAAGCGGCCTGCACCTGTCGAAGATGAAAAGGACAATGAGACGGAACAACAGCTGCTTGACCGTCTCTTGCCAGGTCAGGCTCTCTACAAGCGTCAGAAAACTGAAGCTGCGGCAAAAGCCAATAAAGCACCCCCAAAGACAACCAAGGTGTCAGAAGAAGGTCCCGTGAAGAAGACCGAGAAGCCAAAGGGCAAAGGCAAGGCGGAAACCGACCCTGACGCGCAGCTCAAAGCCAGAATGATTGCCAACCGTGAGGCTGAGGAGGAAGCCTACCGAAGGGACGACGATGTCCTCGATATGAGCGAAGAGGCTTTGGAGAAAATCAAAGCTGAAGTCGTGTCATTCGACCTCCCCGAACGTCCAGCACTACCAGTTCCCACCGAGACTGGGGAAGGTAAGGGCAAAAATTGGGACCCGCGCTGGGAGGGTCGACCCAACTACAAAAGGTTCCGGCGGAGAGGCACTGAAAAGCCGCGAGAGACAGACTCGCAAGACTCGCAGTCCAAAATCGTCGTCACCTTGACCGAATACCGACCCAGGGGACATGGCGTGGGTGGCGACTACTGGCTTCTCAACGATGATGTGGATTCGCAATCTCAGTCGCAGTCTCAGTCAAGATCTGCCAATGGAGGAGCTGTTAACACTAGCTTCGCTCGTGGTGACAACGACGGAGAGGAGGAAACAGCTTTCCGGCGACGAATCCGAGTCAGTCGGGAGCAAGACGCCGATGCGGCTGCAGCGGATGCAGCATTCGACTCAAATGCTCGAGGGGGCGGAACACAGTCGACGCTTGCTACAGAGACACAGCGGCGAGCTGCAGGCAAAAGGCCAGCCACAACGCCGCTTGGTGGAACCGTGAAGAAGGCCAGGCAAGCCGCAGCGACCTCGTCGAGATTTGCAAATGTTAGCGAAGATGACGACCCAAGCGCATTCAAGAGGAAGCGGCGTTAGAACCAGTCTCATCATTGAGACCGCTCAAGCGGGGAGATTGGCTGAATGCCATCGAGAGCGTGTTGTAGCCGCTGATGAATGTGCCTCTGAGAGCTTCGCTTTATAACTATCAAGAAGCTCTCAATGCAGATCTATGCCGACGCATTCCTCTATCTGAAGTTGGGTTCGCCAATGGTATATCCTTCCAAAACGCCTTCCATTTGCCAAACGGTTGTCTGACTGTGCGTCAAGGCACGACAGTCGATAACATGCAGTTTTCTCGCCTCCATCCATGATCTGATTGACTCCCGTGCACCTCTGATCGTGATCAAGTGTTCAGGCCAGCAGGCCCTGGAAGGACTGGACGTGAGTATTGCCAGATAAAGCTATCAAGGCTGTGCCAGTGGTTCGAGTTGGCAAAGCTGTGAAAACAGGCGCTTCCGTCAGCAGATACCCAAAAGAAGCAAACTCGCGCAAGAGGGAGCAAAACAGCAGAACAATGTTCATCGTGTCGGTCTGGTATCCAGGAGATCCGTCTAAACATCATATGTACAACCCCAAGTATGCAGGGAAGCGCCTCGCTATGCATCATCATGTCGTCTACAAATAAAGTGCAATCATTGATTGTGCCAAAGGAAGTTCTTCGTGCTGTCCCACTTTTCCGCGTTCGCATATCTACGGAGAGGGAAGATGTCTCGTCAGCAACCTGTGTCAGTAGCGAATTGGAATAATGCAACGCTTCATCGTCCTGCTGCGCAACATCAAACGTGGCAAAAGAAATTACAACGTACATGTATGTCATGCTGCTCCTCAAACTGGGCTGCAGCGTATCCGGGTATCCCTCGAACAACCACATCACGCCTGCCCAAGACAGCGACGCGAAGACAGGCCAGCTGTATTTCTGCACCGTCTTGTTTTGTTCAGGCGTGAGGCCCAAGACCCCAGCTCCGCCGTGTCCGCCGTAATGCGAGCCGATGAGCGCATTGTCTCCTCTAGGCTGGACGGCCAATTTTGCGAGAGCAAGCATCACTCTTGCGAAGACGTAGATGACGATTTGTTGGTTTACGCTGCTCCTCGCTCCTCTGCCATGACCAAATACCCAGTATCCGCCATGTAAGCCGGAGAGGAAGGGATGAATGGAGGCTGCTTTGCCATTGTTGAGCTTTCGGAGGAGGAGCATGCCGGACTTGTAGAGCAGAGCGAAACGAGCGAGGTTTGAGGCGTGTTGCCGTGTGGCTTTGAATATGTGTGCAAGCTTCTCGCGTACTGTGCCCGATCTGAATAGGAAGATCATTACCAGGGCGTGAGGAAAGCGGACTTTCGTGCCGTAGACTGCGCCATTGCGGACGGCTTTGACGAGAGTCAGAGGGTCTTTGAAGCGTGGATCGAGGATAATCTTCTCCAGCGAGTCCTGAGAAGTGGTGAGTGTGGGAGACGGAGGGCTGCATTACAGCGATGGTTACCTGTAAGGACTGGATTGTGGACATGCTGAGCGCCGAGCGGGTGTGTGGGGTGAAGCTGAGCGACAGCGAGGTCTTGCGCTACTGTATCTCAAACCGTGGTTCATAAGACTGTCACTGATGAGAAGAGGAGGAGTAGTGAAAGGCGCATGTGACAGTGCGCACATGCAGACGCATCGCCGTGTTGCTCTCCTGTCAAGCCCAGCCCGCGACTGACCGAGGTCTACCGTATGTCATGGCGGGCGCGGACGGCCAGACGGCATGAAGGAATTCTGCTGACGGAGACGGAGCAATGGTTCGGGCCGAGAAGCGCGCCTGTCAGCGAGCAGACACAGCGCTTGCGACTGCCACCACAGTGCTTTCCACCTGTCCTCCATCCTCGTTGCCAGACGCTCTCGGCCGGTTTGCAGACACGGCCAGTGCGACGGTGCACTTGAGTAGGTACGATTGTGGTTCTAACTTCTCCTCACAAATATGGCCTTCTTCCCGTTCGTCAGTCGTCTCCAACAATCCCACTTTCCCCCGCCACCATGAGAGCGAATCTGTTGACGTGGACAGCTATACCATTGATACCACACGCATGGGCTCGCATTCTCTCCGAGGAAGCATTGCTCGGGCCGATCGAAGGGCTCAACATTACATACAGCCCCGCTCGACCGCCTTCGATTCCTCTTGCGGTGCGCTCGCCATATGCGTCCATCTGGTCCTCGACTGCCGAAGGAAACTCAATCAACAGCAAGCCGGTCACATTCTGGAACGGCGAAGAAGTCGGCTGGGAAGGCGTCATCGTAGTCGACGGAATCAGCTACGAATATCTGGGTGCGGGCTTCAGAGATCTGCCGGCACATCTCCGAAGGTTGGTGAGCGATGGTCATTCTGAGACTCCTCATCTGATCCTTCCAGAAACCTTCAGTCAGCCATACCGTCTTCAGTGGTCTACGATAGTTCCTCCAGTGTCTGCACATTGACAGCCGGTCCTGTGGAGGTCAAAGCAAGTTTCTTGTCTCCCGTCCTGCCAAACGACCTTTGCCGGACCAGCGTGCCACTCAGCTATCTGAACACATCCTGGACTTCCCTCGATGGCCACTCTCACAATGTCAAGCTCTATGCTGATGTCAGCAGCACGATGTTGACCAGAGATAAAGATGACGTGACTGTGAACTTTTTTGACCATCGAAATCAGTCCTCCATCCATTCACACATTCGACCTAGCACACTTCTATCGTGGCAATTCTCCACACTAAAGCCTCTCAAGTATGGTGAAAGCAGTGAGTTCGCTCGATGGGGAAGTCTTGTGCATGCCACCAGCGCCGGAAATGCCTCCGAATTGAAGTATCAGAGCGGCGGCGTCTTGGAGCTAAGGACGTCCTATCTTTCGAATCACAGCTTGTCGAATACTCAAGGCTCAACTCTCCGCAAGGACATACCGAACGATGCCGCTTTCGCATTCTCTCACAACTTTGGCTCGAAGAGATCTGGCAGCGCTCTGTACACTATCGGCAGCATTCAAGATCCCATCATTTCGTACGTCTCGTCGGCCGGCCTGGCTGACCTGCATCCCTGGTGGACAAAATGCTATAATGGATCGTACGAAATGATTCCGGCCCACTACGATGAATACCACGAAGCTTTGAAGAATTCTTCTGAGTGGGACTCAACTCTGCGAGCCGATATCGACAAGTACTACAGCTTCTTTCCTGTCGATGACAAGCAAGATGTGAGTGCCTTTCTTTCAACACATTGTTAGAACGAATCTCCGCGCTTCTGGCGGAGACGATGCTGACATCAATTGAAGATTAACGCTACCTCGAGCACCGTGAACGGGACGGATCAATTTGGAACACCTTACACATTCGATCCGAAGAACGGCTACGGTTGGCTCAATACCTCAGATCCCGAGCTTTCTGCAATCGCAGTGCCCTTTGTCTCGGAGTCTGACAGCTACTATGCCATTTTGGCACTATCGGCTCGTCAGGTGATGGGTGGTTATGTCCTTACTGACCGTATGCACCTGCCGAACGAGACCGAGGAATCTTCTGAACCAATGCTGTTCCAAAAAGAGATCAGCTCGAATGGCAACGTCAACACAGTCGACGTAATATTTCCCGCCATGCCTTTCTTTCTGTATGCCAATCCGATGCTGCTCAAATGGGGTGAGTTACAGCCGATGACTGGATACTTTGCGTGAATCATTGGCAGATGCGCGTACTGACATGAGATTATGAAGTGATGGACCCGCTTTTCCTCTACCAAGAGTCCAACTACTATCCCAATGCACATTCGATACATGAGTAAGTCTGTTGAATCCAAACAATGTACTATATGTGAGACATCTGCTGATTCCCACTGTCTTCGCATTCTATAGCATCGGCAGCCACTTTCCAAACGCAACTGGACATCTTGACGGCGCAGACGAGTCGATGACAGTTGAAGAATGCGGGAACATGATCATAATGGCATACGCAGTCTTCAAGTTCATGAACGATTCATCGAAAGGCTTCGAGTATCTTGACCAGCATTTCACTTCACTGGAGAGATGGGCCGGCTTTTTGGAACAGAATGCGCTGATCCCGCAAAGTCAGCTCAGGTGAGGCAATCCATGAGCAAGTCATATCCCGTCAGTCGCTGACTCTTGTCTGATCTCCAGCACAGACGACTTTGCCGGACACTTGGCCAACCAGACGGATCTCGCCATCAAAGGCATAATTGCTCTGAAAGCAATGGCGAACATCTGCGAAGTGATCGAAGAGGTAAATTGCCACGAATGGAATGAAACGGCAGGTAGGTACTATTTGCAATGGGAGGAGATGGCAATCGACCCTACTGGACGACACACACAGCTGTCATATCAACATCGAGGCAGTTGGGGCACGCTCTACAACACCTACCCAGACAAACTTCTTGGCCTCGGGGTCGTTCCACAGTGGATTCACGACCTGCAATCTGCCTGGTATCCGTATGTCAGCCAGACCTTTGGACTTCCACTCGACAGCCGAAGCATGCAGGCCAAATCGGACTGGGAATTGTGGGCCGCTGCTACTTGCCAACCCAGCACACGACGCCTCATTGTGAACTCGCTAGTGTACTGGCTGAACAACACCGAATTCCATGTACCCTTCTCGGACCGCTTCCAAACCACTGGCTATGGCGGTAGGCCTGGAGATGCCGATTTCATGGCAAGACCCGTGGTTGGTGGACATTTCAGTTTTCTGGCGCTGTTGAAGGCCGAAGAGTTGAAGAGAAGCTCGTCAGAGGTCTTATGAGAAGGGAAGACGAGAGGTATTGGAGAGCATTTGTATGGAAGATGCGGTCGTGGAAGTAACGTAATGCTACTACAAAGCCACAAATTGCAGAGCAAGGCAAATATGGTAGCGCCATCAAATACAGTGGGCCGACTATCACAGTTTATACATCAACGCCGTCATCAAGTTCGCCTGTCATACTAGCTAGTATACATCTCAACATCGCTCTCACCATGAGCATCTGGGTCATGTTGTTCAGTGATGTTCATCATGGATCTCGACGAAAAAGACTTCAAATCACCAAATGACCCAATCGCCGTGATCGAGTCACCATTCCCCATGTCTGGTGACCATTCTTCCAGCTCGTCTTCATCCCCAACATCGTTCCTGTACCCAGTCTTGGCTTTTCTCCTCGACTCCTTCTCATCTTGAGGCGTAATGAGCTTCTTCGCCTTATTCTCCTCGACACAGACCCAATCATCAATATCCCGCTTCTCATGGTCGAAATGGTCACCGATGTGTTTGAACCGGTTCTCCCACGCGTTCATCGTATCCTCGGGCTGCGCGATCAATGTCTTGCAAAAACCGCACCAGAAATGAACATGTCCCTCTCGAGCGAGATGGAAATTCTCGCATTCCTGCTCAATCTCATGCGCGGTGGTCATCTGATGCTCAGGGCCTTTGAGGTGGCGGATCATTTGCTCTTTTGCGAGAAATGGACGACGAAGACAGGTGCCGCCATCAGTTGGACGAGCGCGTCCGCATTTCCACATCTCTACGAGGTAGTGTTGGCCTGATTCGTGCCGTTTCCAGTCATTGCGCGAGCCGAATTTCTTGGCGCAATTGGGCCATGTGCAGCCGTAAGGCCGTGTGTGGCGTTTCATGTGCTTTCTACACGTCTAGATCAGCACATTGTTGTATGATTGCTGTTGTTTGGTATAAGGGCTGGGGGGCAACGACAATTGGTGGTGGCATACTTGAGGTCGCATTCGCGATGCTTGATCTTGCCGCATACTTCGCATGTATGGCCACTGGAGGAAGGAGTGGTGTCCGGCAGCGTCTGGAGTTGAATAGATGTCGGACTTGTTGAAGAAGGCGTGGGATAGGGCGCATGCTTATGCTGCTCATTTTCGAAGAGGTTGGAATGGGTCGATGTGTTGCTCGGTCGGCGCTTTTTGTTCGATATCTGGGCAGATAGAGGGTGCAGAAATGTCGAGACATTGTACGGCATGCTTGGAGCTTGGCTGAGAGGCTGAAGTCTCATTGGTGGTTTTGGAGTCATGAATTGCGAAGCATAGCGTTCCTGAGTTGCACTCATGTCGTTTGCGTGGCTGCCCATTCCGAGGAAGGGATCCTCCTGCATTTGCACAGCATCATCCACCGCCGGGTCGAAGAGAACATCATCCTGCTGCGATGTGTGCCGAGGAATTGTCGGAGGCGAGCCATTGAAGGTGTGATTCTGGTAGCCAATGCCTTCTCCACGATCCAATTGAGATGGATTGCGTGACTGCGACAGAACTTGAGACTGGTCGCCATACGTGGAGTCCGTGTCGTCTGGACGGTGAGCTTTGGATCTGACAGCTGTCAGTACATTTCTCTGCACATGAGTGGACTCTCGACTTACACATCCAGCAATTGACTCTCATCCCATCCATTCTTATGTTTACGTTTGATGTGGGCTTTGAAATTGTCTCGTCGGGGCCAGAACTTCTTATCTTTGCTGCCGTCATGTATACAAGCAGCACATATGTAACCGATCGAGTTACCCACGATAGGACGAAGGTTGTGCACGCTTTTCCGATGCCGCTCTAGATCATTGAGGGTCGCGAAGCCCTCCTTTCTGCCGCAGCCGTGCTCCCGGCACTTGTGAGGTCTCTCATGAGTAAATGAATGCTTTCTAACACGCCGATCAGTACTGTATACAATGCATGAATTGTTGTCACGCACCTCGCATCGGAAGCGTTCTTCGCCTTTCGACCACACTCCGGACAAATGCTCGTATGACTTCTGCGTAAAGCCCTAGATCCAGGGACCTGGTCCGACACGACGCTTTGAGGTGGTGCTGGATGGCGTTCTTCATTTTGGTCGAGATCGAGTCTGAAATCAGCGCCAGGTAGATAATTTTCCTCCAATTCCTTCTTGTTGAAACTGCACGAATCAGAAAATCGGTTCCCAGCAGTCGCGATCTGTGAGTGATACCCCGAGTCCACAGTCTCTGAGTCTTTGTAAGAATGACTGCGTAAAGTGCCTTGGTCGTGGTTTGGAGCTGTTTCGGTCATGGTGGTTCGAGCCATTGGCGCCATCTGGCCTGGCCATGCTGAAGGAACGAATCGTTGCACTTGCGGCTGACCGTTCCAAGGTTGGTTCTGTAGAGGCTTGATGAGCCGCTCGGGAGGAATCTGACCTACATCCTGGATCAAGTCATGATATTTGGATAACTCCAGGGTGTCTGGAGCAGATGCTCTAGGTCCAAACTGAGCCTGCTGAGTGTGTCCAAAGTCGTAGGCGTTGTGAGGACTAGGATAGTTTTGGAAATTCTGTCATAGCTTTCTTAGCCATTCATCCGTTCGCCGGGAACTTTCATTTCATACATTGTAGGAATCTCCGCCAAAGCCATTGGTACTGTTGCTCCCAAATGATGCCATTGAAATGGTCGTGTTTAATTGGTCTGTTGCAGTCAGTCCAGCACTCGATGTGTCACACTCATCCTGCCAGGCATAGTCTGGATTCGTCAGGCACGATCCGGGTTAACTTACTGGAATCTGATGTCTTTTGCCGGGCATGTCCTTCAAGCTGAATAGATTGGTTGGCACTTTTACCCTTGGGCTATCCCTCAAAAATGAGGCTCATTCGAGAATACCGAAGCCAATGGTTTTATGTCGCTTTCTCGTCCAAGGTACTCATACACCGACAAGCTGAGAGTCGTGGGGCTGTAGAACTAAGTGAGACAAGAGTTTCGGTGGACTCAGCTGGCTGGGGAAACCAAGAAAGAAAGGACACAAGTGCGAAGATCTGTCCCTAAGCTGGTGAATAGGTGCGGCACAGCCATGAAAAGGCAATGAAGCATATTGAAAGTGAGGCTACGGATCATGTCCAGACCGGTGAAGTTCGCATTATTCAAGTGCTCACTGCACAGATGAACGAGGCAACTGGTTGCCTTCGCCAAGATACATGTACATATGCAGAGGGGCTACAAGTCCGGGCTCTCTGATTGGCCCATCGTGGCTGCAATGCGGCTACTTCCTGAGGCCGCCCAAATACATGCTGCAGGACAGAAGCTATGGTATTTCGACGAAGATGACCAGTAGCGTATTCGTTTTTCCTCCGGCAATTCATTGTCGAGATTCGATGGACCAGATATTATGTTTTGCTGTACTTGTAGAAGGTATCCGACAATGAGTGGGCTCGTCAGGTATGGCTAGGTTCTAAGCAGCAAGGCGGCAGACATAACTCGCGCCTTCGATTTCTGCCTCACAAGCTGGCCTTTGAGTGAGCAGTGCGCAGTTCACTTCGCAGTTTGCTACGACGCTAATTCCAAGATCCATGTGGCGGACAGATCTCATGTCGTTCGAACTGGGCTGCACGCAATAGGCCGCGCCTTCCGCTTCCCGCGGCCAGTTGCGAAGGGCGAACAACCATACACGCTGCAGTTTACAATGCACATTCGGCCCAGCCTTTGTACAACCCAGTCTGAAAAGGTGCAATTGCATGCTTGTTGTTTCGTGTGCGCTTGCACCGCCCCAAGAGTCGTCTTGACACCTGCGCAATGATGTAGTTACGCGGATGTTCCACAAAAGTGTGTCGGTCATAAGTGCCGAATGATCAAGTCCACAATCAGTGCTACTTTGCAATCAGAAGTACAGCATAATGCCATTTCTGGAAGTCCATCGACAGGGTTGCTAGGTGTTGAGGGAAGGCCACCAGCAATGGCGGTCTCTCAGTGTGCAGAGCTCTTTCCACTTTTCTTCTAAGCGATGCTGCGCTGGCTTGCCACCCGTCCTTCAAGCTTCACTGTCGTACGCGGCTGATGTCTCTCTTGGTGGAAGACAACTCGTTTCTGTATTCAAAGCCGCGTGCCAAACGAAATATAATTTTAAGCAGAGTGGTCTGCTTTTCTGAGAGCACAAGAATGTTTGCTCATAGTAAGTCGAGTCTTGCTCAATACATGCTCGATGAAGGAGGTGAGATGCCGAAGGGCGGTTGCGATGGAGATAGCATTTCAATTGTGCAGAAATCGGGAAGATGCCGATGGTCACTGTTACAGTATCACAGGTGCTGTCCAATAGATACGGTATATGTTGGTCACAAGGTTTTTGGCTTTTCATCCACGAACGTAGTGTCCTTGTTTCCAGGCTTCGGCTGTTGCTTTCCAGAGAAATCCCAATTGTTAAGGTAGCCAGCGCCATGGCAGAGGTAGTTGGCGAAGCCCAGCCAGGCAAGATAGGGTGCCAGACACCAGGCGGCTGCTTCGTCAATTTGACCCCAGGTGTATGCCAGATAGCCGACAGTAGCTGTTAAGGCTACAATGTCGATGGAGGCTTCGATGGGTCGCTTGAAGCCAAAGAACAGCGGCGTCCAGATGAGATTGAGCCCCAGTTGAATGGTGTATAGGGTGGCGCCGTGCTGCGTGCTGTCAGTTCTTATCCTTCTATCGATCATATCTTGATAATTACCTTGGCAAGAACAGCCTTCTGCGGATCTATGCTATTTGTGCCGATAGTCCAAGCTCGGTATGCACCATATCCCATCAAGCCATATAGCGCAGTCCAGACAGGACCGAAAGCCTTTGGCGGAGGCTTCAGCGGCGGCTGGCGTAATGCCATGTAGGTCTTCTGCGTTTCTTTGGGCGATATGGAGAAGCCGACCGCTGTACCTGCAGCGATCGGCAGCAGGATCGCAGCAGCGGGCTGCTCGAACAGGATCGAGGGTAAAGTGAGGGAGGGAATGTGGGTGGTCATGGCGGGCGGAGAGGGAGGCTCAGCAACAACGATGTGTTTAAATAGTGTGGAAGAATTGGGCAGTATAAACATGAACATAGGAGCGGAGCGGAGCTCGACAGCGACATGGGTTAAAGTCATTCTCATTGGCGCTTTACCCGAATACTGCGCTCGCCATTTCTAGCGCCGCTCAGCTCGGCTCGGCCTCCTCGCACGTCCATGTCCACCTACATCTCCGCCGCCCGCTCCTCCTACTCCTCCTCCCAACCGTGCCGCTGCGTTGCAAGCTCGCTGCTCATCCATTCAGACCGGCCATTGTTCGTACGCCCCTTTCAGTCTTCTTACGGAGCCCACTGAGCTTCCTGCCCTTCTTCTTCCCGACTCCTGGCTCCCGACGGTGCTCAGCGCATTCGTCCCAGCCCCTTGTCATGTCCTTGTCCTGATTCATTCACACCATGCTGCCCTCTTGTGCCGCTGTATTTACCCACCACCGCGCCGCTGCCTTCTTCTCCGCCACTTCTTCTGTCGCCCGCACCATGCCCTGATTGTGCTTATCTAACATTGGCCATCATGGCAAACAGTCAACCACCGCAAACGCCGACATCTTTGCGCCTTCGATATCCTCTCTGCAATCGACCCTCCACGCATCAGACGGACTATCCGGGACAGAGAGCTTGCGACATTGAGACGTGGAAGGCTTGAGAGTGCGGACTGGTTGGCTTCAGTGCGCTTTTGCTTGATGGAGCGGATGCCGGCCTTCTAGAATATCGCGACTGCCTTACCGCTTCGCCCAGCGAAAGCGAAATCGTCACCGCTGCCAGAAAATGGACGACTACGATTATGGCAGAGACACGGACCTGGTGCGGTCCAGGGAGTCTCCGTCCGTATCGCGAACTTCGGGACGTGACAGGGACGACTATCGTGCAGCCGACCCATACCGTGACAACCGCCGTCGCTCGCCGGGTGAGTTGAGCTCCCGGCCTCGAATGTAACATGCAATACTGACCAATGCAGATCGTCGTCGCGATCGTCGACGTTCCCGCTCTCCAACTCAGATAGACCGCTACCAACCAGATCGCGTGCGCGACGACTATTCATACCCTCGCAGTCGGGATGAGCCTCACTCCAGACGGCGTTCATCTCCGCCACCAATCGATCGCTATGTGCCTGGTCCTGAGCCTGCAGCAGTTCTTGTGAACCCTCTTCCTGACCCCATGAAACTGGACTTTCAAGTTGGATTCACGTGGTTTGCAGAATGGTGGCGCACGGAGCAGCGCATCAAGGAGGAGAAAGAGCGAGCAAAGACTGGACGCGCACCACCTCGTCTGCGAGGCGAGCGTGAGTCTCGCGAAGATCGCGAAGCAGAGAGGCCAAAGATTCAGGCAGCCTACGATCAGTACAAAGAGAACCTTCAGAGATCTCAGGCCCAGACATTCGTCCGTTTGCACAAGAATGAGGATTGGTTCCGAGAGCGATATGTGCCGGAAGTACGGGAGCCGTTCAGGCGAAAGCTGGTGGACTATCGCAAAGGCTTATTCGCTCAGTGGGAGCAAGATCTGTCCAACGGCGTTTTCGATGACTTTACACTGGAGGGCATCTATAAGTCTGAGTCTAATGGACTTGGAGGAATTTTGGAGCGGGAAGAGGGAGAGACATCAGCTGCTGCAGAAGTGCTCGGAGTCGGCGACCTACTTCCATCGAAAGGTGGTGATCTCCGTGATCCAGCATCCATGCAGCCTACCCTGCTCATCAAGACCATCGCGCCGACCGTTACTCGGGATAAGTTTGAGTCCTTCGCCAAAGAGTACCTGGGTGATGACGAAGGTGGATTCAAGCACCTGTCCCTTTCTGATCCGAACCCACTCAAGAAATGCCACAGAATGGGCTGGATCATTCTGAATCCGGAATCAGAGCAAGATCCTGCTGCCGAAGAGCGTGCTGCTCCCCGCGAAGAGGGCGAGGCTGGCGAAGAAATGGACGCGACGAAGCCTGAGATGCCTAGCGGTCTCTCGAGCATCAGCGATAAGGCTCTTCAGAAGATCAACGGAAAGACCATTGAAGACCCCGAGCGCGGCAACTTCACTGTTCACTGTGGCGTGCACCGACCTCCCGAAGCGCCAAGGAAGAAAGCCTTGTGGGACTTGTTCTCTTCATCTGACCGGATCGCGCGTGACCTGGAACTTGCAACGCGACTTGTACGCAGACTTGACAATGAGCTGGGCGACGAGTACTTTGGAGTCGCCAAAATTGAAGAGCGCGTGCATGGTCTTTCTGAAAAAGGACTCTTGAAGCCTGCTCCGCCTTCGAAACCTGCCAAGGATCCGGAAGCGATGGCGGAGGACGCTGAAGAAGGCGAAGAAGATGAGGGCATGATCGAAGATGAAGATGAGAACGATGATGAAGAACTTCTGGTGAAGAAGAAAAAGCTGGATTTGCTCGTCGAGTACCTTCGTCGTGTCTTCAACTTCTGTTTCTTCTGCGTTTTCGAGTCGGACTCTGTGCATGAGTTGCAGCGCAAGTGCCCTGGAGGGCATTTACGTAGACCTCGCGCGAGCTTGACATCAGCGGCTAAGGAGACTGCACGAGCTAGTGCTTTGGGCGAGCCTTTCCCACTTCGAAGGAAGAACGACTCAAAAGCGGAGGGCGAGGAGGAGGTGGAAGCGGATATCAAGGAAGACAGTCCCGAGGAAGACAAGAAGTCTTTGATGAAGCCAAGCACAAAGACCACCCAGCAACTCCAACGTGCTTATAACTGGGTCAGAACGTTCGAGGAGAAGATCCTTCAAATTCTTGAACCTGACAGCGTCAATATCCGCAAGCTCGGCGGTACACCTTTGGAAGAAGGTGTTGAAAAGGAGCTGAACAAGGTATGTTCAAAGTCCGATTCACAAGCGTTCTCAAATGCTGACACTGTACAGTTTGTCTTGCAAGAGGATACCAACAAATTTCGATGCAAGGTACCTGAGTGCACGAAGCTCTTCAAGGGCACGGAATTCTGGCGCAAGCACGTTGAAAAGCGGCACGCTGATTTCCACGAGCGCGTGCGCTCAGAGGTCGAGCTTGTAAACACATACGTGCTCGATCCGGCTCACATTGCTCCTAGTAGGAGTGACGCCAACTCGAACGGACACTTTCCTCTCAGCAATCATCAGCCCACCGGCACTCCTCGCGGCTTCCAGCTTAACCAAGCATACCCGATGGGATTTCCAGGAATGCCTCCCGGTATGGCGACGGGTGGCGCGCCTGGGATGCCGGCTATGTTCGGTCATGGACAGCCTATGGGCATGCCGGGATGGGCAGGCGCCATGACAAGTGGCGTCGGGCCGATGCGCAATAATCATCGCAGTTACATGAACAATGGTGGATATCGCAACCCTGGGCCATATGCTCGCAATGGCCGAGGCAGAATGCCATCAATGAGTGGCGGACGTCCAATGGGTATGATGGAAGGTGGCGCTGCCACGATGGGACCAAATGAAGCGGTAGTAGGACGCAGTCTTCGCAGTTACGAAGACCTGGATGCAGACAAAGGAGGAGGAACAGGAGAGTTGAATTATTAGACGAAGCTTCCTCGCATTTTCGCGCATGGCATGGCATGGCCCAGTCATGGTATTATTCGGTACCAGGAATCAAGAATGTGGAATAGATTAAGGATGGATATGGCAAAGCATGACTGGTCCAGCGATGGCTTGTTCAGACAGCTAAACACCAGAGATTGAAACCGCCTTCAAAGCATGTCATTATCAGTGAGAATCACGTTGGGAAAAATAAATGGTGCGAACAGCGTGTCGAAAACGGCTTCGCTCAACATGTGGCTACTTTGCATGCTGCCTTCATTGTCGTGGTGTCTATGATCTACATGCGGTCATTGCGCTCTGCAAAAGGTTTCCAACCTCATTCAAACCGCCTTCTTCTCTTGTCACGATGCGCTTTGGGATCTCCCATTCCACGACTGGTGCCTTCTTCATCTCCTTGCCGAGCTCCGCATCCACGAGTGAGGCATAAGAATGGTCCAGAAAGTCCTCCAATTGATATTCCCGCTTGGTGAATTGTTCTCCAATGATCTTGGCCAGGGTAGCGACGTTTGGATGGTAATGTGCTCGCAAAGTCTCAAGTTCCCACAAGCTCGAATCGATGGCGCCGGTCAACATCGGATCTGACTGTTTCATATCGAATGGATCGTCCATGCCTTCTTCTGCGAAGTTAGGATGGGCATGATAGATGGTGTGCGCCGGATGGTAAGTGCGGTGGAGCATGAATGTGCAAGGTGGATGTTGCTTGAGTTGGTTGTAAACCCAAGGCACGATCCAGACAATTGCTCCAGGCGGAGCTTGAAGTGCTAGCCGTGAAAATCTTTTGATGAAGCTCGCTACCATTGCTGCTGGCAAATGGCTGGAGTTCAGGTAAATTTCGACTTGTCGGAAGAATCGACTTCGATGTTTGCTGTGTAGGACATCTTCATCAAGCAGGCTGTAGAGCTTGGTGTAGAAGTCTGGATAGTCCAGATTCTTCTCTGTGATGAGGTGGAAGAGGCCACTCAAAGCCAAGAGTGCCATTGAGCCGGCCTGGTTGAAAGAGTCTGTCAAGAAGTCCGCGAGCAGTTCCAGGTGATTGGCGAACCATGGCAGAACTTGCGTCGTGGAAATGGTCAAAAGCTTTTTGCGATTCTCGACGGTCAATTTCGAACGGAAGACTGCAAGCCACGCTTCCCTCGCCACCTTTCGATGGCCCGTGATGGACAATAGAGGGCTCTTGCCTTCTGGTGCCTCCCCGTACCAGTCTGCCAATTGATCCTCAGATTCGGGAATGCCCTCAATCTTACTCATGAGATCAACAGCATTGTTGGCTACACTTTCGGAGCCGTTCTCTTGCAGACATTGCTTGACCGCGACAAACGTGTAAAAGCGTACGTCGTCCTTCTCTTCCACGTACTCGTCAATGAACTCCTGTCGCGCCCCCTCTGCGTCGTCTCCCTGGAGAAGAGCATTTAGCAATGCGGTGAAAGTGCCTTTGGTGTTGCGCCACGACTGCTCTGCGCTTTTGCTGCTGCCGGAAGCTTCCTCCTTGACGATTCGCATGAGGAGCTGCAAAGCGGTGTTCTCTTGGGTTGCATGTGGACTTCCGATCCATGATACAAGGCTCGCAACGTAGTTTCGCAGTCGTGTTCGAAGTGCCTGCACGGTCTGGGCTTCTTTTTCTGAAGCACCCTTGTCCTTGGCCAGCTTCTCTGAGGCGATCAAGCGACAGAATGCTTTGCAGAGAGACACTGCGGCCAGCATAGCGCTCTCTGGCTTTTTGTCGCCTGCTGCAACCATTTTCTGCAGCTCATCTATGTTTCCGTAGTGCTTCGGCGCCTCGGTCACCCGCTCCCCTAGCAGGAGAATCTGCGATTTCTCGTCGTCCGTAGAAGTCTTCAATTTCGGTGCTTTTCGTGATTTTGCCTCCTTCACCTCGACACTGCCATCTTGACCACTTCTCTTGCGTTTCCGACCCTCGCTCTCATCTTCCACCACTCCTGGCATTTTGCCTGACTTTCTGCCCAACAAATAACTCAGCACATGTATCGAATATTTGGCCGCTGTTGCTGATCTCGAAAACTCGATCTGCACGACGGAACGATCCGCTTTTCCGAGCTTCGGTCGATTGAAGCAGAAAGGCGCACCTCAGCACGTCGAGCACAGCAAAGATCCGACGACCAGCACATCTCCTCACCACATCACTCACAATGGCTTCGCGCTTGGCTAAGGGCGCACTGGGTGCGTTCGCTACTCTAGATTGACTGCCGTATGGCATTGGAGCGCTGACAGACCTTTCGCAGGCGCCGTCCGGGCCCGCCCAACTCCCATCATCCCAATGCGCTCTGCTCTTCCCGCTGCTACCACCTTCTCGACATCCGGACCACGCTTCCAGCAGGCACAGCCACCGGCGAAAGATCCAAAAAGCACCGCGAGTGCTATTGTTGATGCGCTTCCCGGCAACAACCTCGCCTCGAAGACCGCAATCCTCTCCGCTGGAGCTGCCCTCTCAGTCGCAGCTATCAGCAATGAGCTCTACGTTGTCAATGAGGAGTCCATTGTGGCACTTTCGCTCTTGACCATCTACTGGGCCGTCTACACTTATGCCGGTCCTATGTACACCGAGTGGGCTCAGGGCCAGCACGACAAGATCAAGGGCATTTTGAACGCAGCGCGGGCGGACCACACCAACGCCGTCAAGGCCCGCATCGACAGCGTAAAAGACCTCAGTGGTGTCATTGATGTCACCAAGGACCTCTTCGCTGTGTCCAAGGCAAGCATTGCTCTATGATGAAGCTGCATGGGTGTCTTCTAACATTGGCGCAGGAGACTGCTCAGCTCGAGGCTCAGGCGTACGAGCTTGAGCAGAAGACCGCCATCGCTGCTGAGGCCAAGGCCGTTTTGGACTCATGGGTGCGATACGAGGGTCAAGTCAAGGCCAGACAGCAGAAGGAACTTGCCGACTCCGTCATTGCTAAGATCGAGAAGTCGCTGCAAGACCCCAAGGTTCTTGACCAGATTCTTAAGCAAAGCGTCGCCGATGTTGAGCGTGAGTTTAAAGAGAAGTTTGATGCACTTACCAAATACTGACCGTCTATGCAGGTATCGTCTCGCAAAAGTAGAATTAACAGTCACGTGCCAGCCGTGACGTTCTAGTTGGACGAGCTATTCGGTCGCCGAACAACTTGTACATATCATAGACATTTGCTGTGGAAGAAGCGAATCGACGGTTTCCTTTGTCACATCTACCCCATCTATCTTGATTTGCCCTTCCAATGACCCAATGCCAAGCACTAACCTACTTTTTCCTCGAGCGCAGCTGGCCGCGACAACAGCCGCTGGCCGCTCTATCGGATCTCGCGACTTTTCCCCGCTACGCAGCCACCTCTACTCTTCGCCATTTGACCTCGTCGGATTCCCATCAACATCCGAATTAGAACTCTACAAAGAATTAGCACTATTACAATGGTTGCCGCGGTCGCTGCGCCAAATACGACCCACAGTGAGGCTCGACAAGCAGCTCAGCAATATCTAAACACCCGCCTAGCTTCTGGAGCAGGAGCCAAGCTCTGTCGACCATTCACAGTTCCAGAAATCAACATCAGCCGCTCGTTCTCGGACAACTTAAACGACCGCAAAGCCGTTGCAAAGGAAATTCACGATGCTTGTACCTCTTCGGGATTCTTTCACATCACCGGACATGGTGTATCAGAAGACACTAGACAAGGCGCCATCGATGCTGCGAGACGTTTTGCCAAGGAACTTCCACGAGAGAAGAAAGAATCGCTTCACGTAAAGCATTCAGAGTACTTTCGCGGATGGGAGCCCGCTGATTTCACCTATGTCAACCCTGCAGACTGGAGCGCTGGAGACGCCGTGCCCGAGACCAAAGAGGGATTCAACTGGGGCTACGAAGCTGGCTTGGACCCCTCAGGCGGCGATGGACAGTACCGCGAGCTCGATGGAAAGGACGTCAATGGGAATGTGTGGCCTAAGGAAGATGACCTTCCTGGATTCTACGATGCGGTCAAGCAGTACTACGGAGAAATTTTGCAGTTAGCACGACATCTCTTCCGGCTCTTTGCCTTGAGTTTAGATCTGGAAGAGCATTATTTTGACGCCATGACGACCCATCCTGGTGGAATCGCCAGGCTTCTGTACTATCCGGCGAGCAAAGATCCTAGGCCTTTGGACCCGGTAAGAGAGCCATTGTGAGAGAAGACATCTGCTGATCTTTGAGTCATCGCTTTGCAGGTGCAGAAAGACAAGAAGATTGGTCTTGGAGCCCATTCGGACTATGAGTGTTTCACGTAAGTTGATCGGAGGCAAAAGAGCATCGATAAGAATGGTGCAATGGAGAAACATCTGTTTGTTGACGACATCCACGTTTTAGAATCTTGCTGTGCTCCACTGCATCGGGACTTGAGATTCTGAGCCCAGAAAATGTATGGGTACCAGCTCCAGTCGTTGATGGCAGTTTTATCATCAACGTTGGGGATTTTATGATGCGATGGACGAATGGTATGTTGGTCCAGTAACCGAACGCACTGAGACACTAGCTGAGATCTTTTCACAACTAGGGTTGTACAATTCAACAGTCCACAGGGTGGTGAATCGAACCAGAGACGAGAGGTATTCGGTCCCGTTCTTCTTCTCGATCAACTATGATCAAATGGTGGAGGTGAGTGTCTCGAATTGTTTTGTCACTTGCTCGAGCTATACTGACGAGCGAAGACGCTGCCCAGCTGTGTGACTCCAGACAAGCCATCGAAATATCCCCCAATCAGAGCTGGCGAGTACGTGCTTGAGCGACTTCGAGCTACCGCCAAAGATGGATGAGCCGAGCTAGAGGATCATGAAGTGTCTGGTGTCGGATCTGGATGAATAACAACTGTCGAGCAGCTGGAGAATGCTTACGTGAGGTCGACAAGCGAATTGTTTCGAGACCAGCACCGACATGGATGGCTTGTTGGGTCCCGGGTGAAAGCAGGTTATGTGTCGTGCTGTGACCATTGTTATATGCTCCCTGGCAGACACGAAACGAACGCGTCGGATTGACTCACAGACGAGCGACTCTTGATGTATATAGTTCGTATACGCGTTCTTGTAGCTACAACGACTGATCTACCAACAGAGTTGATCAAAGACTCGCGACTTGATTGTGGCAGAATAATGTCTCAACGTTCGAAGGCCGCGGGAGGCCGCAAGGCAATTGAAAAGCAGCCGACGGCGCTCCCTCAAAAGCTTCAAAGCCCGCGGGTACCCTGTCGAACCAGCGGATGGGTACGGAGCTTCAGCTCACGGCCGCTCCCCTTCGCGGGACTACTACCATCAAATAATGTACCTTCATCTACATCGCCACGGTGGCTGTCGAATGCAGCCAAATGTAGCCAGAAAAATTAGAAATCAATGCATCAACATTATACCATTATTGAGGTTATTGCTACACAATATCTGGGAGTATTAAAACTCAACAATGGCCTGCACCACAAATCGTGTACTGTCATACGACTCCGAGCTAGCTGCTGCGCACGCATTACAATTTCATGCTGTCACCGCTGATTTCTCTGGTTCTTGATCTTGAAGAAGGATGTTTCGCCAGTGGTCTAGGCCGACCCGGTGGTGTGAGGGATAGCAGGCTGCGTTGCAGCATTCACTGTGGTTGGGTCTGAAGTCGTTGGAGCGACTGGCGACTCTATCGTGCCAGTAGTCTGCTGTGGCGCAGCCTCACTCGGGGCATCGCTCCTGTCCACGACTGGACTGCCAACAGGACTCTCATCGTTTCCTGGCATCTCGTTTGTCGACTGTCCGGCAACGCTCGCAATGATAGAGTGCCACTTCTGTGCATCTGATGGAGTATGTGCCTTGAAGGCGAACTCATGAGCTCTGCCCATCTTGTTCATCAAAGCGTTCCCGCTAGTATCCTTGCCACGGACATTGAACTTGACACCATCAACAGCGCCGATCATGCAATCTGGGAGATAGAGCGAATTCTCCGGGCTAGGATCCTTCGCGAAATCATCATCTGATTTGAATTCGTGAAGATACTTCGAGGGCGTGACCACATAATAGCCCGCGTCGTACCGCTTTAGCATCTTCTTGCGTTCGAGAGAACCGGCAATAAGTGGCTGCGTAGCTTTATGGTCCTGGTTGGGGAATCGAATGCTCTCGACCGTTCTCTTTGGCCCATTGGGATCGATGAGTGTACCGACGTTGCGCTTGACGAAACCATTCCACTCGAAGTCAGGGGGGATGCGTTGAATCTGATGTATGTTAGGGGAAGAGAGAAAGCATAAGACTTCGGTAAGTGCTTACATTGCCGAGCATATCGCCGTACATCGTCCGAGTGCTCTCTGCTTGTTGAGAGACAATCTGGTTGAATTGCGCCATGCCCTGTTGAAAGGTCTGCAGGATATGAGCCTCAAATTGTGCAAAGTTATTCTGCACGGCCAGCATATCCTCGCGGTTGTTGTTCTCTTCGATGACTTGTTTATTGAGGCGATGGTACACCTGTCTCTGGAGGATGTAGGGATCATCGGCAGCTTTTACTGAACCACCGTGTGAGTCAAAAGCAGCAGTGTGCTGACCCAAAAATTCGATATGCTTCTGTGAAGTATTGCGTGCTTTGTCTACGGCCTTTGATCCTTTGCCTGCCCCTTTGCTAAGCTCCTTGGTTTTGTGCTTGATTTCGCTGTGCAGCCGCTCGAATATTGGCAGTACTGATCCCTTCAAGGAAGCCGATGTTTCATTATGCAGATTCACTAAGCCTTGGGTGTTAGACCTTATATTGTCAAACATTCCTGCGACCCCTCCAAGATTTTGGTCGAAGTGATGGCCCTCCTTGAGTGGATGGCTGACCGTTTTCAGCACTTTTTCGAAGTCTTTGGCGTTGTCCTTGTGCATCTTCTCGGTAGCTTGGACATAATCCTCGACGTAAGCACATGCGTGCTTCCATGCCTGCAATCTTTCGTGGAAGAGTTTGGTGGTCTCGCTGCTATCCTCATCAGGGATGGCCTCCTCCGAATCGAGCGTACTAGTACGAGTAGGCAGAGTGGACTGGTGCGAAGGAGAAAGTGGAGAAGTCATTGTGGCTCGAGTGTCACTAGCAGCCGGAGGAGTTGTCAGCAATTGTTGTGGTGTTGTGTTGCGACAGGATACCTTTGGATAATGCAGTAGCTGCCAAGGGGAAACTCACGAGTAGGGTAGTCAACAAGAAATTTGAAGGGTGGCAAGATTGTAGATGTAGATGGACGCGCAGGCAGTATCGCGGCGAACGCAGTCTTTATAAGTTGTCTGCTCTGCTCGTTGACACCCTCTCGATCAGGCTGTCTTCTTTGTTGGACTTTGAGGATCGCGTGAAGATCTGTAACGTCATGGGCGAACAAAACTTGACCCGAAAGCGACTTGATAGAGTTCAGTAGCATGCATTGAATGATAGTCAATGATTGGACATTATCCAAGCATTTGCACAGCCACGAGCTTCGATCTTCGAACGGCCTAGAATTCGACACATCTTCATCTCGGCAGTGGAGTCTATGTACAATGTGTGTCTATCCCTTAATTCTACGAAACAACACTGTTCCCTCTGACCGTGGATGAGCGTTGGCAGCAATATGAATTCAGATCAGGTGTAAGTACACCTCGCAGAATCCTCCGCTCAATGACATCCAGCATCTCTATGGGTTGCGCTCGTGACAGCAGGACGTTGTCAAGTACCGAAAGCCTATATTCGCGCCTCACCAATTGACGAATGCTTAAGCTATCATTGAGGCTGCATGCGTTCATCACACATACTATAGGGTGTGGCTCAAAACCTGTCTTGTGCTCCAACCTAGGGCCCGACTTCTTTGTTGGACGGCGACGGCCTCTATCTGGACTGGACTATGCCTCTCGTTGCAAACCTTTCTGTGTGCCAGTTCGGGAGGATAGTCGATCTTCCATCAAAAGCTCCTGCGCGTTACATGCTTCTGTGCAGGCTGACGGGCGAGCGCAATCCGTCGATGCTGAAGGACGTTTCCCTGTGGCCTAGATATGGCGTAAGGCTGGGACCGCTGGGTGCGAGGACTTTGCTACAACCTTCAAGTCGGCATAGACACGGCAAATCCGCAAGCTGGAAAAGCGAGGCGAATTCTGAGGGACTGTTTAGATGCGACATTTCGACGCCCTGGGGCGCTCTGACGAGAGCTACTCCTCTTACCCGTCATCTCAAGGTTGTGGACCCTGATCGGTCTACTCCGGCGAGGAAGCCGGCATATGAGTGAGTTGATCGAATCGGAGAGATCAGGAAGGCTAGAATGTGTGCTCGAAGGACGCATCCCACCGAGACGTCCAGATGCTGTAGCCTGTGCCCTGTTTTCACTACTTTGGTTCGTGTCTGCTGTACCCGCGCGGGGTATCTATGTGATTTTGGACAGCGAAGTCTGCTGTCGATTAGTGAGCGCATGTTTAGAACTAAGGTTTGCGATGAGTAAGATGGCCGGAGAAACGTGTCGGAGACTCGTTCCACGCGCTACAGACTGCTCATACGCTTGAGCACCAAAAGTCCTGGGCCTTGCTTTTGCTCGCACGATAAGAACATGCCACCCGCGCACCCAAAAGAATGACGAGAACGCTCGCCCGCCTTGCTGGGCAAAGCAAACACCGCGTGGGCGCGGCCGAGAACGGGTCTGCTCTACGCACATCACCTTTCAATCCACTAGAACTCCCGAGGTGTGGCCAGCATCGCCAGAGAATCTTGCAGACATGTCCCAGTCATAGCTACACTTCTACTGCTCTCCTGAGCCCTTTCTACTCTACTTGTACTGCTAGGCCCTCCTTCTCACTTTCCCTAGCAGCTATGCCGCATACTTCATCGGTCGCAGGCCCACTCGGATCTCTACCACTCCCATCCTTCCTCCACAAGCGAATGTTCTCCAGCACTCCCCAGGTGCGAAGCTTGCACATCAACAACATCAACCCTCATGTGAAAGAGGCCAAATATGCAGTTCGTGGTGAACTTGCCATCAAGAGCGAGCAGTATCGTTCACAGCTAGCCAATGGCGAAGGGAAAGATCTGCCCTTCGACTCAGTCATCAGCGCGAACATAGGCAATCCGCAACAGCTCGACCAAAAGCCGATAACTTTCTTCCGACAAGTCGCAAGTTTGATGGAGAACCCGCAGCTTCTAGAGCAAGAAGATGTGCTGAAGAATGGACTGGGCTACAAGAGCGACGTGATTCAGCGCGCGAAGAAGCTTTTGAAAGACGTGAAGAGCGTCGGTGCATACTCACAGTCTCAAGGAGCGCCGGGTATTCGGAAGAGCGTCGCTGAATTCATCGAGAGACGAGACGGATATGCCTCAGATCCTGAACACATTTACCTGTGCGGGGGTGCCAGTGCCGGAGTAAACGCACTCATGAGCGTCATTTGCTCCAGCCCGCAGACCGGCGTGCTTGTTCCTATTCCTCAGTATCCTCTTTACACTGCTACGCTGAGTCTGCTCAATGCTCAGGTTGTTCCATACTACCTCAAGGAGGAGTCGAACTGGAGCACCGATGTGGGCGATATGCGGGCCGCACTGAAGGAAGCGCAAAAGAAGGGCATCGACGTTCGTGCTGTTGTCGTAATCAACCCCGGAAATCCGACTGGTGGCTCTCTCGATGCCGATCACATCAAATCCGTTATTGAACTCGCGGCGGAGGAGAAATTGGTCGTGCTTGCAGACGAAGTCTACCAGACCAATGTGTTCGAGGGAGAGTTTACAAGTTTCAAGAAGTGCTTGCGAGAGCTGCAGAAGAGCGAAGCAAACAAAGACGGAAAATTTGACAATCTCGAGCTGGCCAGTCTGCATAGCGTCAGCAAAGGAATGGTTGGCGAATGTGGTCACCGCGGTGGTTACTACGAAATGGTTGGATTCGATCCGGAGGTTAGTAGTCTTGACACCCAGCTCTTCTCGATCTTACCGACCTGAAACTAATCTGCTACAGGTCGTCGCACAAATCTACAAATTCGTCAGCATTATGCTCTGTCCGCCGGTTGTTGGCCAATGCATCGTCGAGCTTATGGTGAATCCGCCTAAAGAGGGCGAGCCATCGTATCCGCAATACCGCGAAGAGTACGACACCATATTTAACAATCTTTACAAGCGTGCCATGGCTCTTTACGGCGCCTTTCAGGAAATGGAGGGAGTGGAATGTCAACCACCACAGGGCAGCATGTATCTGTACCCGACCATCAAGCTGCCGCAGAAAGCCATTGAAGCCGCGGAGAAAGCAGGAAAGAACGCCGACGACTTCTATTGCTTGAAGCTCCTGGATGCTACAGGTGTATGTATTGTGCCTGGATCCGGCTTTGGCCAGAAGGAGGGCACTTTGCACTTCCGAACCACGTTCCTTGCGCCTGGCACGGAGTGGGTCTCGCGAATTACAAAGTTCCACAAGGACTTCTACGACACATACAGATAGGTCGACCGATCTCGTCTACTGGCTTCAATTAGCAAGCAAGCAAGCGGCGGGGCGTCCAAGGAGTTTTGCATCTTCACTCATCGATGGCACGATATGGCACAGTAGGATAGAAAGGTAGGGCAAAAGTGGTCCTGAGTGTGGCTGGTATCTGATGCCAAACCAATATCAAAACCATTCCCAAGTCTCAATTGATGCTCCGTGTTCGGGTGTGCATGCTTCAGATTTTCTCGTCATTCCATGTCACAATTTCACTTTTGCACGAGCCCTGGAGTCGCTAGCACGTGTTACTTACAACAGAGCACGTGCACTCGGACTCGGACCTCGACTGCCCGCGGACCCCTGGCTTGGCACAGGACAGCTCTTCCATACCAAAGTACATAATCCACAATCACTTCTTCCAAGGTTGCTTGCTGTGCTCGACAACAATACCGTCGCCGATCTCTCCGCCGCGGACCTCGACCTGACCTCGTCCGCCCTCAAGCGAGTTGTTCGCACTTCATCACAATCTCTCTCTCACTCACAGCGAATCTTCGAGAAGGCCGCATGAGCTCTTGAGCAGAACCATTTCCCACACCGTCCGTCCGAACATCGAAACTGTCCAATTCCATCCGGATACCTGCACCCTGCACCAATGGCTACTGAGGCGCCAACCAACAGTGGCAGCTCTGCCTCCGCTGGCCTGAGCGCCGCGGAGAAGCTGATGCAGCAGCACGCCGCGCACGAGTCGCACAATCCTACCGTCGAGGAAGTGCCAGACGAGGACGCCCTGGCTCACGCTCCGCCTTCGTCCACTGCAAACTCGCTGCCCATCAGCACCGACCCGTCTCGGGTGGCCACACCTGCTGCAGAGCCCCCGGGCAAGGCTGCCGGCAAACAGCCCATGCGAGATGCTCCGGCAAAGAAGCCCGCCCTGGACACGCAGTCCGAGGAGCTGTTCCCAGCTCTTGGAGCGCCAAAAGCAGCTGCTCCCGCTGCTCCAAGCATGTGGTCCAAGAAACCAGCAGCTGTTGCCAAAGCTGCCAACGGTGTTCCCAACGGTGTGGTCAACGGGACCTCAGGTGCAACCGATGCATCTTCCCGGGCTTCGACCCCGATGTCTGGTCCTGTAACACCAAGCTCCACTGCCCCGTCCTCACGCGGACCATCTAGCATGACGCTGCCCGGACGCAACGCCGAACATATCGACCTTGCGCCTCATATGATGACGCCTCGCGACCAGTTGAAGAAGCCCATCGAGCACATCCTGCGCGACATCAACAAGCGCTCAAAGGCTACAGTCACGATGAAGTCTGGCCCCGGTGGTGTATACCGCTTTGAAGGAGTCGGTCAGACGGACGCCGTCCGTAGCGCGTTGAAGGAGGTGGCCACTCAACTTTGCTCTAAGCAGCAGGAGAAAATTCCTATTCCTGCGAGCCTGCGCGGCAGAATTGTCGGCAAGCAAGGCGCAACCATTCAGGCCATCTCAAAGAGGACCGGCGCACGAATCAACATCTCCAAGGACGCGCCTGTAGACGCACAAGAAGATGATGACCTGGACTCGACTGTCGACGTGCTGATCGAGGGCGATCCGTTCGCTGTTCAACTTGCAAGGCAGGACATTGAAAGAATCGTCAGTGAGCACACTGTCACCGCTAGCTCCCGATTGAGACACGTGCCTGCGGAGTTCTATCCATTCCTTGCTGCGCCCAGCAACCAGCGATTGAACGCTCTGCAAAAGACCCGTGACTTACGCATGCAAATACCACATTATCACACCTGGAACGCACAAGCTCAGCCCCAGCTTCCTGACAATCGGCAGCCAGTTTCTTTCGTTCCGCAAGCTGGATTGCCCATCTCGCTTTCTGGTGATCGACAAGCTGTGGCCGAAGCTCGAGCAGAAATAGATCGTCAAGTGCAGGAGCTTCAACGACAGCTCACTCTCGAACAAGTTCCGGTGGAGCGTGGTCGTCACCAATTCATTGTTGGTGATAAGGGCACCTCGCTCCAAGAGTTCCTTGCAGAGACGGGCTGTTCTGTTATTATGCCACCAGATGGCTCTGACGACGAGATGCTCACGGTTGTCGGTCCTGCAGACAAAATTGATGAGGCTACGAACAAAATCATGGAGTTGGCCTCAAGCATGGCCATGGCTAGCGCAGATATCCCACGTGTACATGCCAATGCTCCGAGAGGCGCACAGAACCATGCTCGTGATATCACTCGTTATCTTCAGCAACGTCAAGCCATCCAAGAACTAGAGCGCATACATGACGCTCGGATTGTGCCCGACAGTACCGGCAACTGGCACATATACGCGCGAGACGGCAAGAACGCTGTGAAGGCCCGTGCTGATGTCATGGCCCTCATTGCTGGCCATCCACCGACCCGATTCCATCCCGTCCAGGTCGATCCATTTTACCACCAGCATATCCGAGAGCATGCGGCCCCTAAGATTCGGGAGCAGCATGGCGTACGAGTTGTCGTGCCAGACGGTGATGGTGATATTCTCCTAGTTTTTGAGGATCGAGTGCCATCTCCAGAATACGTCCTTCCTCGCAAGGCACCAAAGGACCAAGAAGCGAGAGCCTTTGAGCAGGCTTTGCAGCAGGCACAACAGCAAATTATCGCACTTATGACAGGCAGACCTTCTATTGTATCGCGTGACCTGGACGCCCCAGCTAAATTCCATGACAAAATTCGGCGTCAAGTAGATCGCCATCATCAGTCTCTCGAAGAGGGTCAAATTCCAGTCCAAGTGACATATGGTGGCGCTCCAAAAGCGGCACCTGGGCGTGCAGCAGCTCCAAACGTGGGTCTTCGCGGACCCCAGGATTCTGTAGCGGCACTCGAGCAAATCCTGAGAGCATTCATCGAGCAAGAGGAGAAAGACGAGTTGGAGCGTGGCTTCACCCTGAGCTTCGACTTCCCCCAGCAGCACGCCAATCACCTAATTGGGCGCAAAGGCGAGCACATTAACCGTTTACGTGAGGAATTTGATGTCGACATTCAGCTCAATGATGGCAAGTGCGAGATCAAAGGTCCGGAAGCAAAGGCCAACGCCTGCAAGAAGCACATCCTTGCTCTCGCCAAGAAGCTTGACGATGAAGCGACTCATCGCTTGAACATCCCTCCAGAGTTCCACAAGGATCTCATAGGAGCTCAAGGAAGTCAAGTAAATCGGCTGCAAGATCGTTATGGTGTACGAGTCCAGTTCCCTCGCAACAAGCAGAATGATGATGATGCATCTGTCGCGGAAGGCACAAGCCGTCGTGACAACCAACTACCCAACGAAGTCATTGTCAAGGGTCCAAGCAAGGGTGCAGATGCCTGTCGCGATGAATTGTTAAGCTTGCTGCAGTACGTCAAAGACAACTCGCATGTGGCGACAGTGTCTGTTGCTCAAAACCAGCTGCCTTCCCTCATCGGTGCGGGAGGTAAGGAAATGGAAGCCTTGCGTCTCGAGACAGGTGCGCAGATTGATGTTCCAAGCTCGCGTGACACCGTAGGGCCGGACGGTCGTGTCGAAATCAAGATCCGAGGCTCGAAGAAGGCCGTTGACGAGGCGAAGAAAATGATTCAAGAGAAAGCTAAAGTGTTTGACAACACGGTTGTGCGCAATTTGGACATCGATCGCAAATACCACCGTCTGATCATAGGTCCACAGGGTGAGAGTTCTGCTGAAAACAATCTGACCATGACTGACCACTCGTCTAGGGAGTAACTTGCGCCAGATCATCGCTCAGGCTGGCGGGCCTGATGATGCCCGTCTTCACAATCGCATGATCCGCTTTCCGAAGACTGATGCTGATGGCACCAGCATTCGCATTGACGGCGAAAAGCCAGTGGTTGACAAGATTTGTGCCGCGATCGAAGCTCTTGTCAAGCAGCAGGAATCTCAAACCACAGCCATCGTAGAGGTGAAACCCGCGAAGCATCGACTGCTCATTGGCCGAGGTGGCGAGACTCGGAGGCAACTTGAGCAGCAGTTCAATGTGGCCATCAACATTCCTAGACAAAGTGAGACTGGTCCGCAGCGATCGCAAGTTCGCGTTACTGGTCAGCCTGAGGACGTGGAGAAGGCCAAAGCTCACATTCACGAAGTCACCAAAGATCAAGAGGGACAGACTGTACAAATCCCGCGACAATTCCATCATGTTATTGCAGATAACGGTCAATTCTTCCGCCGACTTCGAAACGATCACAATGTCACTGTCGACCACAGTGGCCAGCGACCGCCTCCTAAGCCAGCAGCCCCGGCTCCCAGTAGAGCTAATGGGTCAGCAATGCCATTAATCACCGATGATCCAACAGCAAGTGCTGGCAGTCACTCGTGGGAGGAGCGGTCTCTGCATGCTGCCGAAGAGGACGGTGATATTCCCTGGGTCCTTGCTGGACCGTCGGCTGAAGCGGTGGAAGCGGCAAGAGCCAAACTTGGTGCAGCGCTCGAAGCGGCCAGAAAGCAAGACACAATCGGATTCCTCATCCTACCTGACCCACGAGCATACAGACATGTCATTGGCCCGAGCGGTAGCGAGATCAACCGCATCCGCAAGAAGACAGGCACGAAGATCCAGGTCCCACGCGATCAGAACCAAGGCGAGGCAATCGAGATACAGGGTGAGAAGGCAGGCGTACAGGAGGCGAAGGACATGATTTTAGAAATCGTGCAAAAGCATGCATGAAGAGAGGTTCGGCAAAAGGGTTGTTGATGTTGGAGGCTCTCAATAGCAGCTATGATTGAGTAAACCGGCAGAAAATGGCCCGCATCTAGTCTAGCGTTCTCGTTGCTGTAGTATAGAGATTATCAACACAGTGTCGTCTCGTTCAGATGATCATTATTCCGCTCCGCGCTCTCATCTCATTTGCAGATTCTTGGCGCGGGCGGGATTGCTCCGCTCTCCGCTTCTCCGCTTCTTCGCTGCTGGACGTGATCTTCGCAATTCTCTGCGGTGAAAAAGCCGAATTCGTTCAATGTCCAAGCGAAAGAGAGACGGAGATGGCCATGGTGCAGGCGACCACATGGCAGCGAAGGACTACCGCAAACAACGGCAGATAGTCGACACATTTACGCACAGCGCGAAGCAGCTGGCCACTGCCTTCAAGCTTGCCAGAGGCTTCGAGAGGCAGAAGCTGGGCCGGCGGAAAAAACTTGCGGCGCGCGAGCAGAACGAGCAGGAGACACAGCGCATCGATGCCGAAGTCGCGGCGCTGAAAAGACTCGAGCCAACCGCGTCGGCACGCAACTTGCTGGCCAAGTCGCTGCTCAAGATCAAAGCAGTTGCGAGCCATCCAAATCTACCCGACGATATTGGCAAGCTGAAGCCAGTATCGACCGAGACTGCAACGCTCAATGTGCACGCGCGGCTGTGCAATTCCAACCCGGTGAAAGAGGCCTTTCTTGCCGCCGTTACTGCTGTGAAGCACGAATTTGGCATCCGTGAGGACCTCTCTGCGTTTGCGAGCAAGAAGCGCAAAAGGGCGAAGGATTATGCCTTACAAGAGGAGCATGCGAACAGTATTGGCGTGCAAAGCGACGACGAATCAGACCTGCAGTCATTTGAAAATCGACTAGCTTCATCGGAAGAAGGGAGTGATACGAGCCAATGTGCAGGAGGACGAAGCCATAACGAAGACGAGTCAAGCGGAAGTCTCAGTCTGACGTCCGACGCTGATGTTCAGGATCTAGAGCGGCGACTTGAGGAAGAGGGCGTGCGTCGCGGTCCTCAAGAGCCTTCCAGAAAATATACTCGTGCCACGACCGTCTCTGCATTTAGCGAGGCAGAAGACGAATCTGAGCCAGACTTGGGTTCGCCAAGACCAAAGGCAGCTGTTCAAAGAAAGACTGGGCCATTTATTCCCTCGCTAACTATGGGCGGATATATTTCTGGCGGGGAGTCAGAAATCGAAGAACTCGACGATTCCAAGCCTAAGAAGAACAGAAGGGGACAGCGGGCTCGCCAAGCAATATGGGAAAAGAAATATGGCAGCAGTGCAAAGCACCTCAAAGAGCAAGATCGCAAGCAAGGTTGGGATGCAAAACGAGGTGCGGTGGACGGCAATTCACGACAGCAGAAAGGCCAAAATGGCCCTCGTTTTGCAAAGGCGGCGAACGCACTTCCACTTGGGAGAAGGAGAGATACTAATACTCCTGGCAAGGCCGCTAAGAACGAGCCCATGAAATCAAGGGATGATAGTGGTCCTCTGCATCCTAGTTGGGCCGCTGCAAAGCTGGCCAAAGAAAAGAAAAGCGTACCTGTGGTGTTCACCGGCAAGAAGATTAGTTTCGATTGAGGGTCTTACACGGATGAACTTACACGGCGGCACTGCGCGCAGGACGGCTATCGGCTTCGGTGACATGAATGCGCGTCATCAGCTCGTGTGCAGAGCTTCGTGGAAGCAGATCAAAGCCATTGAGTCGCAATCATTGGAGCTGGACACATAGTTGCCGCGTTGTTCACGACGTCGCCTTTCCCCCAACTAAATCGTGAGGCAGAAACCCTGACGGCTACAGCTCAATGCAAGGAGCCGAGGTTAGTGAGTTGACAGTCATATCCTCGCAACATCTGCGCATCCTAGTGGGCAATAATGAATGGAAGTGACTGAAAGGAATCCCGCATAAGCCCGAGTGTTGCGCTTTGAGAAGCAGAGCAGAGTCAACCGTTCCTCCTTCCCGCGCTAACAAAGAGAGGTCATTGGATAGGCTCACTGCCTCATACACGTCGGATTCCACTATAGTCGGACTGGGTATGAGCACCAAGGCATTAGGAACAGCATATATTATGGTGAAGTACGCATGAAGGTAGGAAGGCTCATTACACCGAATAAGCTATTTCCTTCACCACATCTATCTCTTCATTAATCAAACCGAGGCCAAATAAGCTCATCACACAGAATCACCAACCCCGGCCCATGCCATGTTCTCTGCAACTTGTGCAGCCTGACATCTTCGCCTGGCGATGGCGTCAAGTTCAAGAAATACGAATATGCTCCTTCGTTAGTGGCCGCAATCATCTTCATCTTCTTCTTCTCCGCGACTACACTGTTCCATAATTCCTAAACGTTTCGAATCTGAACATGGTTCATGTTAGCATCCTGCCCCGGAGGACTTTGCGAAATAGTCGGCTACATAGATCGAGCGATCTCTGCGTCAGAAGCATATGCATGGTGGACTTTAGGACCCTACATCATACAGAGCGTCCTCTTGCTAGTTGCCCCCGCGCTCTTGCCAAAGAGCATCTACATGGAATTGGGAAGATTCGGACTTTTGGATCAAAGGAGAAGACCTGCTATTCATTCGACGAACATAGTTGACTAAGATCTTCGGGGCGGGAGATGTTATTTCGTTTCTCGCACAAGGAGCAGGAGCAAGCCGTGTTAGCGATCCGGACCAAGCAAAGACTGGGTAGCACATAATTGTCAGAGGTCTTAGCTTGCAAGTCTTATTTCGCGGCTTTTTTGTCATCGCAGCAGCCATCTTCAACTCCCGAATCAATCAACACTCGGCCCTACTGGCTTCGATCATGCCTTGGAGACGACATATGCCTTCTCTCTACGCTGTCAGTATTCTGATCTTTCTGAGATCGATTGTCACGACAAAGAATATTTTCAAAGGATTTGAAGGACATATTGTCTCGCACGAGGTGTTATTCCTGTACATCTCCGATGCGACTATCATGTTCTTTGGCCATGGTCGTGATGAATTGGATACACCCGAGCCAAGTAGCCAAGGGCATTTATCATCCGCGAGGCATTTATTCGCCTGGGTAGAGCAAGATTCACGCCGAGCTATTGTCGAAAGATTGTTCGATGCCTGCATTGTGCCGTCTCGCCCCCACGCCTTGTTCTGAAGCTTTTGACCCTATTCGCACGATGTAGTTTCAGGATCAAGCATTGCAAAGAGAGCTTGAGAAGCAGATAATGTATCGGCCATTCGATCCTACATTGCTTGCTCAGCTACTGCGTCTGCCCGACGAAGTTGACTTCACACTGTTCACAAGGCTTGCAGGAAGGTCATTGATCCTGGAATCCTTCGAATCCTTACATATAATTAGGAAAATGGATTCTCTCAAGACCTTGAATTGATGCAGTAGTAATAAGACGATTCCAGATCATCATCTATTACTACACATCACGGAAAAATAATGACTGAGAGTACCTTTGTTAGTCACTATGATCAAAATACATGCACCCATAAAATGTCGACAAATACCTCTGACTCTAGTGCGACAAGCATCAGACACAGAGCGCTCGAATTGTAAGAATATCAAGATTGTCCGTGCCATGGGGATACTGTCGCTGTAAAGGTTCCGCACGGTGTTGATATCCACTGCCAGATCTTGCGCAGACGCTGGTATGATGCCAGAGCCACAATTCCTTGGCATGGATCAAGTTGCCGAGCTCTTCCTTTCGACTTATCCGTGATCTGATCTTGGACTGGGTAAAGGCGCTGGACCTTTCGGGCCAATGCTGCAAGCACATGAGCTGACCGGTCTGTGCGATACAGAACCTCCTTCGCCAGTCCAACGCCAAATTTAAAATTTGGAACACCTGCTGGAGGAATGCTGTCCACCTGGATACCGTGTTGCCTGCGAGAACACACTTCGGAGCACTTCCCCTCGGCAACAAGCATGTATTTCGCGGAAGAAAAGAGGAAAGCTATTGAGGAGTAAACAGAAAGAATTTGAGCGGCATGATACTCACAGCGGAGAGCTGAATGGTCATGGTCCATGCGCAAAAGTTGTTTGTTACCCAGGCAGATTTCGAAAGGGAATCGACTGGCGATTTTCCTCTCGTCGGTGCGGGAAGAAGCTACAGATCTCTTCCACCACGCCGTTGTGAGGACATTGTTGGTATGTGCATCTGATGCAGAGGATGGAAAGCGGCCTCGAATAAGACTGTCAACGCTGCAATGTATAGCTATGCCAAAACGCCTCCCAAGCCCAGCTAACGACAGATGGCCAGAGTGTATGTGAAGTTCTCTATAAGGTCCATCTCATTGCACGGATAGAAGTCCCACCCACACTAAGCGTCTTTAGCGTTCGTTTCGCTTGATCATGCAGACCGGATGTGCCTCTCGATACCACGCCTTTTCCCTGAGCTCTTTCTTTACGACTTGTTCTGGTTTTGCTGAAGGTAGTTGTAAGCGAAGTAAGCGACCGCGGCGCCGACGACGACGACGGCATAGACCCCAACGCCAAGCCCACCGGAGCTTGGAGCAGCCTTTCTTGCATCTGCGACTTGTTGTGTGGCCGATTTTGGCGCAGGGTCGCCCTCCTGAAGCAATTATAGGTCAGCCATGCTCGTCGGTGGATTTCGGAGAGCCCGTACCTGTCTCTTCAGGGTGCCGATGAGCAAGCCCTCGAGGATCTCGCGCGCCTCGTCGCTGTGGCCGACATCCTCAAAGGCTTCAGTAGCGTCCTGACCTCCAACATCGAGTAGGACCTCCTCACCGCCGCTATCAGAAATGCTTGTCAGCTTCAGGTCTCAATCGCCGCCTAGACAAGCGTGCATATGCCAATGCCCGGTCGTGTAGGCAGCGCACAAATATCGGTTTACAGTGGAGCGTACGGGTGTTCGTCAACGAAGCTAGAGGAGTTGTAGACCTTGTCGTGGATCACCAAATAGAGGTCCTTCTTTGTGGTGTGTTCTGCGACGTCGGAATAGGTGAATTCCTTGGTGTCAGACATGATTGCTATGGTCGTACGATGGGCGAGGCGAGGCGAGGCGGAGGCTGGGAGCAATTACTGAGACGCGCGAGAGGAGAGGTGAGGTCGAACAGTGAGAGCAGTGTGTCAGAACTAAGACGATAGCAGTGAAGTGAATGCGATGGCCATAATGCCACTAAGCAAGCTTTCAGCAACGTTGAGTGGCTCGGCCGTCAGAGGCGGCAGATTGTGGGGGGTCAATTCGCTGAACATCGACCATCCAGGGCCTACAGTGCATTTCATCGGCAGCACGGTTGCGTCCCGCTGTATTATAACGGTTGTATGCTTCATGCTGGTGCCAGAGACGGCTCAGTGACTGCCAGACGTCTTGATCTGCTCAAACAACAATTCACTGCTCGTATCACACATCGATTGATACAGCCAGATTGTCAGGAGCCTCGGCCTTGGCGATCATCACATGGCACGCGTGAAAAGCGAGGAATCCGGCTCGTCCCGAACGCACAGGTACGAGAGCGAGCCTCTGTACGAGAGCGAATCGTTCTCTACACCGTCTTGCAAAAATTCGACGCCTTTTGCTCATTCTTCGAGGGCTTCCGACGTTGGCGAGTCCACACTGACCGTCGCAAGGAGCGTACAATATTTGCGTTACAATAATCTACTACTGGCTTGGACTACACCAGCATTCCGTTCTTGACCGAAGGCCCCGGTTACCGAAATCCACCACTCTTGATATGATAGTCCAACGTGGCCTCGCTCGTGCATAACATATCCTCACGGGGCCAGACTTTCCGAGCAGTGAGCTTTTTCTCGAACACTGGGCGATGCGCATCTGCACAAGGATCTTCTTAACTTACCCTCCTTCCTTCCAATTGAGACCACAAACTGCCTGTCACCACCCCTTTGTCGACAGCCCAATGGCCTGTGACGTCTTCCGTATATAAGTGGTGTCATTTCGCTGCTATGTATGCAGAAGAGCCTCACGCAGTCCATCGCCATGAATGGGCGGGCTGGGATGTAGTAATATTTCACGATCCCGATATACCAAGAAACTCCTTTTGAAATCGTCAACCGCACTTTGCGCCGGCGCTCCTCGTACCATCATGACTCCGTGCTGTTTATGATTTGCAACGCCATCCCTCTGCGCTTTGCTCCCTGGCGACCGCGTTGTCCAGGGTGCTGTAACCGCATCGATCACTCCATCTGCAAGATCAACTCCGCCTATGATCTGCAATCTCACGTGCGACATCCTTGCGCCTCGTGAAAGGACTGATTTACACGCCGAACGCTCAGTCGATATGCTTCATGCTAAAACGAAAAGTAAATCCTGGGACCAATGAGCCACGCAGCCAGGTGGCACAGATTTCTTGTGTTAGAGCCTTAACTGCCCTTGTTCTTTCTTTCTTCAGCTCTCGCGAGCCTCGCAGCTTTCACCAGTGGCGCGAGAGTCGCAAGTGGCTCCGCTGTCTGAATAAATGCATGCTACAATCTGGTCAGCAAAGATCAAATCAGCACAAGTTGCCCGCTCACCTTAAGGAGATCGTGCGCGGATGCTCTCTTCTCTGGATCAACCTTGAGTGCGAAATGCAAAAAGTCTCGGAACACCGGTGTCAAATTGTGTTCCTCCTTGATGGTAGGTGTGCCATTTGTGGCGATCAGGTATAGAGCTCGAAGCGGCGACTCGGTCAGGTATGGTGGCTCGCCTTCGATCATCTCTATAGCCATGATACCGAGCGACCAAATATCGATCTTGCGTCCATATTCTTTCCGCGTCACAACTTCGGGTGCCATCCAATATGGTGTGCCGACCATAGTCGTGCGTTTCATATGCGATTCGTTGATCTGAGCGCAGAAGCCGAAGTCGGTGAGCTTGATGCTGCCTTCCATAGACAGCAAGATGTTGTCGGATTTGATATCGCGGTGAATGACGCCTTTGGAGTGCAGAAATTGAAGACCGTGCAGCGTCTCTCTGCACACTGCCGAAATTTGTCCTTCCGACATCATGTTGAAGGTCACAACATCAGTAAGGCTGCCTCCCTCCATGTACTCCATGACAACCCACAAATCTCCCTTCACGAGGAAACTATCCATAAAGTTGACAATGTTTTTGTGCTTGCTGTCTTTCATAACCAGAATTTCGTTGATGATCAGGTCCTTCTTCGGCTGCTGCTCCAGGTTCATCTGCTTGATAGCAACACATTTGTTGGTGCCAACTTCGAATGCTGTGTAGACTCCTCCACTAGCACCTTGTCCAATTTTGATCAAGTTTCGGTACTTCTTGGTAGGGTCGGCAGTATTACATATATGCTGGAGCTTCGATACTACCTCGGCGTTCGTGATGGACTGTCGAGGGCGCTGTCTTGGCCTAGGAGCTGGCCCAACCCTCGGATCTACAGCAGGATGAGGCACTTGGCGAGACTCTGAAGGATGCGGTACTTGGGGCTGTTGGTTCTGAGTGTAGCCATTGTTGTTTGGTGGCTGGCGCTGCGACTGCGATCGCTCCAGGGATTGTTGCTTGAGAACTTGCTGTGCCGCTTTCATGGCCTGCTCCTGCTGCTGCTGATACTGGTGGGGCGACGAGATGGGAGACTGGTTCTGGTACGTGGGGCCAGTATTTGCACGACTTCTGTTGTGTGGTTGGGTATTGGATGAAATGTCGCTCACGGTAGGAGGAGCATATTTCACCGCAGGCAGGCCGTCATCGACTCTGGGCTGATCTCTGTGAGGGCTGGGAATAGGCGGAGCTGGTCGCTGAGGGACCATATTGGCAGACTGGGTTGGAGCTTTCGGCGCTGGTCGCATAGGAAGCAGATCGCCATTGGATTGTGGGCTGACTGGGCTCGACACGCCCATCCCGGCAGTGGACATGCCTCGCGGCACCGGTGGAGGCGCTCTTGGATTCTCGAAGCTCTCTCCATCGTTCTTTGGAAAGCGTGGGCTGGCAGGAGGGCTCATCATGTATCCAGTAGGACTCAGCCCTTGCTGATAATTGTGCGCGGCCAGCTGGCCGGGGCTGTCCTGAGGTTTGGCATGATCGAATTTGTGGTAGGTCCAGTCGTCACTACTCGTGTCACCTTGGTTCTCGTTGAAGAATGTAACAACATCGATGATAGCCTGGGGATTCTTCTTCTGCTCCTGTTCTGTTATGCCATTGGCCTGTAATGTTCGCTGCCATTCTTTCGGCAATCCCTATCGTCCAACATCAGTGTCTGCACAGCGTATATATAACAGCAACATATCTGTAGGCCTACTTACAGTGAACTCGCCTGTCTCTTGATCGTAGCCCACGTGCGTCACATGCACGGGATTCTCTGGCGCTGATATGGTCGGTTTTCGCGGAGCGCCGACCAAACTAGACATCAGACTCGAGAAGCCGCTCTTCTTCTTCAACACCTTTGCCTCTTTGCCTTCATCACTGTACCGCTGCCGTGGACTCCGCATGCCATTGGAATGGGGGTCGTCCATTGAGGCCCGGCCTTGGCCTGCGAGGATTTGCGACAGCCTCACAGCAGGGTTGGCGCCGGCAGGGGTCTGGACAGCGCGCGCTGGGTGCGACGACGCTGCTGATTGCGTTGCGGAGGCAGGCTGCTGAGCGAGGTGTGGCGAAAGCGAAGCCGACGGGGCTGCTGATGCTGCTGTTGATGCTGATGCGGAAGCGGAAGCGGAGACGGCAGATGAGTAGGAGACGGCGTTGATGGCGTGCAGCGCGTCGTCGTCAAAGCGCAGGCCGACCAGCTCCTGGGAGGTGCGGTGGGTTACTGATAGAGGGCGGATCGCGGCGTTGGTGCGGTGCTGGTGCAGGTGATCGCGGCGGAGGTGATGGCTACCGTTGCCGCTGTGATCCTCTGGCTCCGTTTGCTCTCGGTCTTGATTGTCGCGGGGCTGCTTCGGAGCTGATGGGGGGTGCGGGTGCGGACGGGCTCCAGTTCCAGCAGTCTGCTCCTGCGTCGGGGTCTGACTTGGGCGCGGAGCGTGGGTGTGGGCGTGGGCGTGGGCGTGAGCGTGGGCGTGAGCGTGATTGCGCGACTGTGACTGTGATGGCGACGGCGACGGCGCCTTCTTCTTCAACACCTTGCGCTGGGCCTGGTGGCTGTGCTGCTGCGGGTGATGGAGTGGTGCAGCTGGAGCCGTATTGTTCATATCGACAGGCACCCTTGAAGGTAGCTGGGCTCGGCCTGACAATCCTCTTTGCCTCTCTGGAAAACAACAATGCGAAGAAGTGTATACATTCACGAAAGAGAGCTCAGCGCAAGGATGCACGGCAAGCACAGCAACACCAGAACTACTTGTGATACGCTAGCTGCCTTCCAGAGCGTGCAGGACATCAGTGCAACTCCTGCCAGCATCCCTGTCCGCCAACGAACCTGCTCGCAGCGCAGCGAGAGCACCGACCTGCGAATGTCTGTTGACGGACAAGTCTGGGGCCTCTTGATCTCGCGCTGTCAGAAACTACTGCCACATTGCTCCATCGCTCCCGTCGCCGTCGCCCGCAGCGCTCGTCGCTCGTCGCTCGTCGCTCGTCTCTCTCGCACCACCGCAATTTGTCCAGCGGTCACAAGCGACAGGGGTCACGCTGCTGGTAGCCGTCGTGGCGTAGCAGTCTCTCTCTAATCGCAACGTGGGCTGCGAGTCTTGGGCGCGGCGCCGGAGTGTCGTGTTCAGTGACTTACTTCAGTCCATGTCAGTTGCCAACCACACCATACACGATACGTGCTGCAGCTGCAAGACCAGTCTGGCGTGCGCTGCACGGTATGAGAGCGCATTGCGTTTGCAGCGCAGCTCGACAGTCGACACGTCTCCTGCCTGGCCTGGCCTTGCAAACAGGACGGGAGGGGAGGGGAGGGGAGTACCTACCTGCCGGGCTTGATTCACGTTGCGTTCGCTTGTGCTACGGTCCCGCACCCACCTGACAGAGACGAATCGCAGGGTCTCGAGTGTCTCACATTGTTGACGTGACTGACTGACTGCGATGCGATGCGAGGGACGCGCGCGCGTTCGTATAGCAAAGCAAAGCTGGCACCCTTCCCACCTCCATACAATAATTACTGTAATGATGCCGTGCTCGGGCACACGATCACATCAAGAAATGAGGAGATTCTGCCTAGTTGGGCTTCGTACAGTCATACATTGCTTTTGCGTACAGTACTCTGCGCTACAGTTATACAGATCGCTGGAATCCACAAAATCCTTGGCCGCTTCATGGTAACCTCTGCTTTGCTCGCCCCTTGCCTATCTGTAAAAGTCCTCCCCAGAGTCACCGCTTGGCGCTCTTGGTTGGTGCTGTGAGTATTGCTGCTGGTATGGCTGATACGCCTGATAAGGTGGCTGTGGCGCAGATTGCACACCTGGGCTGGGTGGTATTCCCGGAGGAGGCGCACTCGGTTGCGGAGGTGCTTGCTGATGTCCAGCGTCTTGCTGAGTTGAGTACAAACTCGACGGTGACTCGAAGCTTTGTGTACGTTGTCGGTTCGGAAGTCCATCGCGGTCATTCCTCGGCGGATAGTGGTCGTAGCCTTGGGCTGGGGCTTGCTGCATTGGCAGAGCAGCTTGTGCAGAGGGATATGAATGCCTGTTGTCTATTGGCGATTCGTAGCCACTTGTTGCTAGTTCCTGGGGATTGCCGCTATTAAGTGTATGTATCGAGTTGGGTCGAATCTGACCTTGGAAGCCCGGCCCTGCATTGTAAGGATCATTTGGACCTAATGTTGCTGGGCCTTGGGGACTGGGTTTTCTTCTGACTTCTGTAGGTGGAGGTGCCTGAACGCCACCGGGTATGAAATGGAAAGGTGCGGCACCGTTTGACGGCGCATTCCCCGGGGAAGGGCCGCCTTGAGGAAGATAGGGACTAGTCAAGCCTGACTGCTGTGGAGGCTGCTCTTGAGGCGCCGGTGAGTAGTAACGTTGGGGATCCTGTTGTGGAGGCAGGTGCTGCTGACTCTGCTGCGCGAAATTTGGCGGAGGGTAAGGTTGAGCTGGCAGGGGCCCTTGAGGCGGGTAGCCTTGCAGACTTGGCTGCGTGCCGCTGTAAGGGGGCTGTTGATGTTGGTAAGGCTGCCTTTGTCGGATTGGGAACTGCTGTTGTTGATATTGTGGCTGGGCCATGGAGGCCTCCAACAGCGCCTCGTAATCTCGTCGTGCTTTTATGAACTTTTCGTTCAGCTGTGTGAAGTCATCTAGGGAACATTAGCAAATGCTCCGAAATGGTGCCAGACGAGCATACCCTTCTTCTGTGAGTACCTCGCGATCAGCTCGATCAGTTTCGGACGAATGCTCAGCGTGCGTTGATACAGCTCGCTGATCTCTTCTTCCTCTCGCTCTCCGCGTCTACCGCCACCTTCTCCGCCAATACTCAGCAGCGCCAACAACTTTTCGACGTTCTTTATTTCCCCGAAGACCTCGGACTCCATATGCGCGTCCCTCTCGAGCTCTTCTTTGGTGGGATCCTGGAGCTTTTCGACATAATTGAGTGGGAAAATTCCAGTTTGGCCTCGCAGACTGCCTTTCCACCAGTCCTTGTACACTGACTCCAAGACTGCAATGATATCACCTTTCCTGAAGGCAAGTTCGCCGGACTCAGAAGGAGTGAAATCGTAGAGCGCTCGGACTCTGCTGACAGTCGCTGCGGTTGTGCTTGTTGACTACACTGATCCCCATTTGTCGCGGTTGGTGCGCTGTTGCTAGGCCCTTTATCCTGCACGCTCAAAGCTAGTGCCATTTGCAGCTCTTCGTCCTCCTTCCTCTTGTCCTCGCTACTAATCTGCTGCTTGACAGGTTTGCTCGGAGGCATCAATCCCGGCTGTTGTACACGCAGTTTCTGGTATGCTTGCTCCATGATCCCCAGCTCGGGCGAAGACTTGAATTCCTCCGACCAAGAGCCCATGCGCTCCAGGACTTTCTGCTTGACCTGGCCATGTGTGGTGCGATCTGCGGCTAGACGTAGGAGTGCATCTGTAAAGGCTTTAGATGCGAGTTCGCGATGCAGAGGTGGCCCACAGTTTTGGGAGAGGGCGTTCGCAAGCTCAAGAGTGTATAGCTGGACGTTCGCATTGCGATGCGCCAGTCGCTTGATCAAGGCAGCAGTCGCTTGCGCTGGTCCTGATGAATTGGCTGACACGCGGTCGCATACATCTAGAATGTATTCCCAATTCTCGCTCGTGAGGTTCTCGTCAGTTGCTTTGACTATTCTCAATCGTTAGACTACACTTTGCAGCCACTTCGAGCATGGGCGCCATCTGCCTACCGACAGCATCGTCCATCGGAGAGCTCGTAGCTCGGAACATGTTGAGCGAGATCGATCGTAAGCGCAGGGGAAAGGCAAAGAGCCCAGAGTATAGTCGGCGTCCGGCTCCAGGAGTCTTTGGAGAGAAGAAGAAGAAGAATATGGATGCACGTAGCTGCCTGCAAACATGTGACTACTGCTCGACTGTGGATGGCGATGGCGAAGTGATCCCAGAGAAGTTCAACTACGTCAGAGCCCTGCCACGAGCCACAACTCTAAACTAAACTTCCCGCATGCCGTTCATTCTGCCACTCTGCTTGCTACGTGTTGTCTGTGCTTCATACTGCATGCTCCGTATACCGGCAGTCTACCGCAATTTGCACGGCTGGTCAACGGATTACACTGAGCTGCGTGGCTTCACAACAACGCGCGATCGCGGAAGGATATCATAGCTGATGCGAGCTTGCGGGCCTCTATTCGAGTCGCCTCTATCGAAGCAACATAGTCCGAACAGTCTCCGGGAAATGAATGCTTTCGATATGTAGCTCATTCGCACTGTACAATTCATATCATATCAGTCATCAAGCGTCTCGCCACTCAGCCAAGTAATTAAGTCTGGCTTCACACTCATCCCAGCCATGCTTGGCTTCTAAATCCCTGATGCCTCTAGCATTGCCACTTTCGAGTATGCTGTCTTCGTGCTCGCTCCAAATTCCCGGAACATCGCCCGGCACTCCTTTACCTGCTTTGGTCGATATCAACACAAGGTGTGCAAGATCCACTCGCATCGAGGTGCATTTCAGTGCTTGTACAATCGCCGCTTCTTTGTACCCTCTTACCTGCATAGTAGCCATCCAATCTTCGAGCTTTGCCGCATCATCCTGAGACGAAGGATCTTCGTCCTCGTCATCTGGAGATCGTTCATAGCTTTGGTCGTCTTGCGGATCGATACCTTCTGGTTGCGATGAGACTGCGGCAGGTGGGTTTGTTCGGCCAAGATTCAGCGTGGTTTCGTCGAAATTTAGACGACGGCTATCCATGGTCTCATCTGGTCCTCCATTGAAGGAAGGCGGCGGCATTCCAAAATCTGGCACTTGTGTTTCGGCATTGTAAATGTCTTGTGTCTCGAGAGCATGGCCTCCCCTTTTCGCTCCGCTGTAATGCCTGCCTTCAGAATGAACCGAACTTTCAAGTGATGAGCTAGGAGGAGACGCAGAGGAGATCTCTACGAAATTGCCGGAATTCGTGCCATGAGTGGATCTTGCGGTTGTGTCCAGAGCGGGTCCTCGGCTGTCGTGGCAAATACTCTTTGCTTCGAGAGGCATACGAAGTCGTTGGTCTCGCTCTGGTGAAGGAGTGAAACCGAAGCCGCCTTCAGGCTCGGCAAGGGTTAGATCTATTTCGCCTGCCTCTGAGCCAGCATCCGTGCCTTCCAAATCTTCACCATTGTACGTGTCTTCCGGGTAATTTATCTGGCTACTTGATGGAAAAGGCGACAACCGACCCGCGTGTTGCGGCGATTGATCCAGGCTGACGCCGTCGTCCGCCGACGATGCCACTCCATTGATTTGCGACAATAACGATCGACTTGCAAATTGACTCGAGGCTTCTGTCGTGTAGGCCTGCGGCGGCGTGGTGGTACGATGAACTTGTGTCTCGAACGGCAGGCTCTGCTCCTCATTTCTTTTTCTTTGCTGCTCAGGAGACATGGGCCAGTTCAAATTCGAATCAAGTACTTCGGCAACCTCTTCTTGGGAGGACAAATGTACGTGTTCGCTTCTCAGAGGCATATTGTCCGTGCTATCGTCCGCATGGGCGACGCGACTTTGAGCTGCCAAAATAGGTGTAGATGGCAGCATTTGGTCTTCATCGACTCCGTTTGAATGCTGTTCATCTCGGACCCCCTCAAAAGCCTCGGGCTGGGTGATGGGCACGCCCATGGTGTGTTGCAGAAACTTGAGAAAATCGCTTTGATCTTTCATCTCGTCATCTTCAGGCAAGTCTACACCACGAAGCTTGGGCTCTCTTAGCTGCTCTTCCTGAGCAGCGAGATTTGCCTCGGTCAGAGCGAAGCCGGCGGTTTCGATGGCTGCTGATCGAGCTTCCTCTCGATTTTGTTCCTCCACAGCGGCAGCGACTGAAGAGCTTGGAGTGTCAGACCGAGGGCGACCGAAGAAGTCTCGGCTCTGATGTTTTGGAGGTTGCACGTAGCCTTGTGACTCCACTTCATCCCGCTCGTTGACTTCATTAGTTGGCATGACGTTAGAATCGGTGGGATCCTGACGTTTCGCCGACTCGTATGATGCTATTAGATGATCGACAGATTCCGCTTGCAGCTGCTGTTCCGCAGCCTCGTTGACGTCGGAGGTCACTATAGCATCCCGGAGTACATCATCATGCCGATCGAGAGGAATGGCCCCTGAATCGGATCGTATTTGCTCCTTTGCAGTATGTAGAGCACTGTTGGAGGCATTGACTTCAACATCATAGGCCCGACGTGCTGTTGTGGTCTTGATGCTATGAGGTGAGCTGACAATTTGTATAATATCCCTACCACAGGCTGTGTCCGGCGTCGCGTCCGGTACATCCGAGGGCGATTGACTTATCTCGCGAGGAGGCGCAACACGTTTGTGCTTCTTACTCTGAGTCATTCCTTTTGCTGAAGCCAGTTGAGCTTGGGCGAGAATTTGGTCAACAGCCGCAGAGGATCCACGAATAGCTTGAGCATGAAGTGGTGGTTTCACAGAGGTAATATACAGCTCTTTCCACTCTTGCGATGTGCGCTTTGGATACGCCTTCGCGAAGGATGCCCAAGCTTCACCCTCTCTGTCTGCCGGCATATCTTCAATGAAGTTCACCTCCTTCTGGAGGAGCTCAATATCGTCTTGCAAGCCGTCACTACTCTCCACGCTTGGCTGTTTGCCAACTTTGCTAGGATGGTCGACCTTCTGACGCTTCCTTGGGGACTGCTTACGCGCGTGTGGTACAGCCGGCAAGGGCTCTTCTTCGGACCCATCTAGAGCTGCTGATGCTGGTCTCAAAGGCGCAGTGGTCGCGTCGGTTGCTTGTATACCAACAGGCGGCTTATCCATCAACTGTTTGACGTAGCGATCGCGCCAGGCTTGATGGGTGTGCCGTGGATTCGCAGCTTCCAGTCTCTTGTACATTTCATTGCCTTTCACCGATGCTCCTGCCGCTTTCTCACTTTGGACCCATTGCCACAGCTGTCTGTCATCCTCGGCCGTGAAGGGTGTTCTTGTGCGTTTAGCTGCTATTGCAGTAGAACCAATCTCACGGACAGATCCTTTCCTGCGTCCAGTAGCGTGGTCGCCAGGATTGGGCAATTGGCCGTCACGAATTGCTGCCTGTATGAAAGTGTACGAGTAACTGCCTCCAGGTGCATCATTGCGCATGTGGTCGGCAATGAGGTAGTCAGCGACGCGCTCATCCTTCACCACCTTCCCACCGTTGGCCTCGATGTCGGCAATGAATTTGTTTCGTTGTGGAACGCGTTGGATCAGGAAGAAGGCCAGACCGTCGAAAATCTTGCCCTTTGGTCCAGCACCAGTCTGCGCATTCGTGACAACTAGCGGCGCGTTCGCCATTCAATGCGTCTGCCTGTTCTTGATCCTGGCATGCGGATGCAGTTGATTGATGATGAGCGAGGGAGACGGATGGCGGGGAACAGGCAGGAACGCGACTCTCCACGCGCTCGTGCCTGATTCACTGTGGCTGTGGCTGTGTTGACTCTCTCGCGATGAAACATCATTCTGTTTCAATTTCTGCGCTCAACAAAGCAGTCGAGCAGGACTTCTACCCAAATTATTGCGGCCGTCTCTTCATACACTGCATTTGTAGTTCCCGATCCAGATTGAGCTGGACTGTCAGATCCGACTTGATCAGGACTCGAAAGATGCTCACAACATGTCCGCTCTTCGAAAGCTTGTCCTTGCGATCCTGATCTTATCGCTAATCACCTTCATCGCGCTGTTTGGTCGACTGCCGGCTTTCAGGAGAACACCCATGGGCTGGCTGAATCGACTGCTTTGTCTTCACATACCGAATGGCTTTCGCAAAGTGGATCGAACTCTCACCGGTGGCCAGATCACGCGCAGGAGCCAGCGGGTCGGACAGTACCTGTTTTATGAGAAGAATCCCATCGTTCTGGTATGCTGTGCGATCAATTCTACTACTCAAAGCATATAGCTAAGGTAAGAATAGATAATCTTTTTGGTTCTGCTTACAGGAAGTGCTGGGCTGTTCCTACACAACACACTGCACTTGCTTCCGCCTCATCTCCTGGCGCCTATTCCACCATTTCTGATAGCCCCATACATCTTCACATACCTCACAGTCTCATACAAAGCACACTACATCACAGCTTCGAACCACAAGGCGAGAAGCGTGGACTACCCTTACGACCACATCCTGTTCCGGCCCGGGAACGTGTGCAGCACTTGCAATTTGGACAAGCCAGCACGATCAAAGCACTGCAGCTTTTGCGGACATTGCGTGGCCAAATGTGACCATCACTGTCCATGGGTGAACAACTGTCTTGGACGAGGCAATTACCGCTGGTTCTTGGCCTTGCTGTTCTCTCTCGGCGCAGTTGAGATATATGGTGCGTACCTGAGCTGGCACATACTTGGACCTTCTATGCGCATGGACAGGACTACTCCTTTGGTCAGCTGGGCACGCTTGGAGCAGATAGGCAACGCAGTAGTGGTCGCGGTTAATAAGGGTGGCCTTTCCATTGCCGGTGTCGGTCTCCTTGCCGCGAGCACGGCGGGCCTTCCCCTTGGATTGTTGGCGTATCATTTATACCTGATCTGGGCTGGTAAGAGAGCGCATACATTCCCGGCACCTTCTTCATCAGAAATACGTACTGATATCCTTTGCTATCTCTAGGCATGACTACAAACGAGTCACAGAAATGGTCGGATTGGCAGGAAGACATGGCGGACGGGTTCGTATTCATGGCCAAAATCGAAGATTTAAGGACGCATCACCGTATGCGAAAGTACGGTGACGCTCTCGCAAATGGTCACTCGCGAATACATTCGCCAAATCCAGCGTTATTCGCTTTCGACGATGCTGACGAAGTGGTTGTACCGTGGCCGGTCAATACTGAGCAAGTTCTGGTAATGACGAAGGACGGCAAGCCACCGCGAGGACAAGACGGGCTGTGGAATCGTGTCTGGAGCTTGGACGACGTCGACAATATTTATGACCTTGGTGGCCTGCAGAACTTTTTGCAGGTGATAAACGGCAAATGATAGCGCCCTGGATCAGGAGACAGGAGATCATGTTTGCCAGAGCTTCTCAGCGCTCGCGGCAAGGTTATCTGCACAAAACAAATTCGACAGCGGTGTCGACAGGCAGCACGCGTAGGCGAGAAAGTATACATTACATTGCCAGACCTATTATAATGTACTTGCAAATAAGCCAATCAGGCTTTAGCGCAGTGCCTCTACAGATACATGTAGTTTTGGCAGGTCCATCTCAACCCACCCCTGCAAGGCAGTCTATTCTTGCGTACAACACCCGTGTCTAATAGTGCCACAATCTACTGTTGCTCCACATCTCAATCTAAGAGACTGCCCAGCCAACGCCACGCTAATGTCAATCCAGGGTATCTTCAACGAGAATGATAAATCGGAACCGGAGCTAATCAAATGGATCTTCCATTTTGACATCCTGCGCCCCCATAGCCTCGGCGCTCCTCGTAACCATAGTCTGGTCGTCTTGAACAGACTTCTCCTTTTCTGTCGCCGCGTCCGCGACGAAGCAACCCAAACCACTGAACGCCTCGCACAATGCTCGTTGCGTGAAAGATGCAACTTCATAGCCTCCAGAAGTGACCTTCGAATCCCTTTCTGCGCTTTCCAGAATATCCCAGACGTACCGATCTTGAACGTTGTAGTACTTCATGCCCTCGAAGCTAAGGCCACCGAATGGGTCAATTGGAGCTTCTGGTTCAGCCTTTACTTTGGCCTTAAGACCCTTGATGACGAGGTTGCTCGAGCCATTACGAGCATCCGCAGCTTGCAGCTGTTGTTGACGAGCAGCAGCATCTTGGCGATTGAGACGCTTCTTCAACATGACACCCTGCCCTTCAGTAGCCTTTGCCACTTGTGCTGGATCCTGTCCATTTTCCAATCGACGTAGCACATCTCTCTTGTTCGCTTGCTGCTCTTTCCGCTCATCTGCTTCTTCCCTTCTCGCTGCTTCTCGTCTCTGCTTTGCTTGTTCCCGCTCTGCTTTTTGCAGCTTGGAATATGACATGCTCTCCTGCTGTGCTAGCGAAGCATTTTCCGCAATCTCGGCTTGATGGGCTTTCTCGTACTGCTCGAATCTGCGCTCGGTCTCCTCCAAATCGATCTTATTGATGAGGTTGAATGTGATATCTTCGACGTCATTAAGGTAGTCGTTGTAGTCGCGTATAGTCTCGAACTCGTCCTCGCGGCGATTGAAGACAGAAGCAACTTTCCTCCTAATATCAACTTCGCGCTCGACTTGGATGTCCTCGAACGTCTGCTTGCGGAATCGATTTTTTCGCAATGTCTCTCTGCAGCCAGGTATGGGACATGGTTGTGGACCATGCGAAAACAAGCGGTCCACGCAGGACTCGCACATCTTGTGGTAGCATGCTGGGTTTACGAGGAAGCGCAGGCTGGCATTCAAGTAGCGACTACTTTTGCATACAGGACAGATTTCTTCAGAAGCCATGTTGTCAGTCAAAGGTCCGCGGTGGTGGTTGTGTATGTGATTGTGATGGTTGCGGTGGTCGAGGGAGATCTGTTTCATGCGCAAGGACAAATGCTCACCATCCTGTGCTGCATCTCCGCCGCCGCCGCCGCCAGCTCGCGCACCGTTGCTTGTCGAGACGGGCGACGAATTAGTTTGGGCGACGCGAGACATGTGAACGAGGCAGATCTCTGCTGTGTGAAGGAGTGAAGATGAAGCTGGCAGGCGTGCGACTGAGCGACGTCAAAGTGCAAGGTAGGTACCTTAGGGTCCGATCTGCGCCGAACCTTCTTCTCTCTGACCTACATCAGCCTAGCAGCACTCTGCATCCTCGAAACATCTTTTTCGCATTCCAACTCGCCCTTTCCAACCTGCATCGCCTCCATCGCCTGCCAATCCTTTCGGGCCACCCATCTGCTCTCGAGATCCTTCCTGCACCATTCAATAGTTTGAACGACCATTTGCGCCGAGCCGCCTCCGCTTCCACCTCCGACCTATACTTCATCGATTTTGCGCCATGGGGGAACAGGGCCACGGTTTGGATCACTCTCGAGATCCATGTCCATGGGTAGCACTATCAGACTTTGGAGGTGCTTTTTGTATGGGTGTAGGTTTTCGTCATCTCGCTGCGTCATATTTTACAGCTGATGAACTTTTGCACAGGCGATAGGAGGAGCAGTATGGCACGGAGTCAAGGGTTTCAGAAACAGTCCATATGGAGAGCGAAGAATAGGAGGTATGGACTCTACAATGACGCAAAGCGAGGATGATACATCATACTGATATCTTGCCTCCAGCCATCACGGCGATAAAGGCTCGCGCTCCAGTTCTCGGCGGAAATTTTGGCGTCTGGGGTGGCCTGTTCAGCACATTTGACTGCGCGGTCAAAGGCGTGCGTCAGAAAGAAGACCCTTGGAACGCCATTGTTGCTGGAGGCTTCACAGGAGGTGCTCTTGCAGTCCGAGGCGGTCCACGAGCGATTCGAAATGGTGCCATCGGTTGCGCTATCCTCCTAGCAGTCATCGAAGGTGTAGGCATTGGATTTCAGAGAATGATGGCAGAAAACACACGATTAGAGCTCCCCCCTCCACCTCCGAGCAACACATCAATGGGCAGCGAGGGTAGATTAGCGGCAGCTTGACTTTCGCCCCTCGCTGTTCGTGCTGTTGAGATGGCAGAATTGGGGCTCATTTGCGCCTGAGCCACTGGTGCGCTTTGCATCAAAAGGCGACTCTGCGGCCTTGACGACTATCAGCTGCCCTCACCCTCATTTTTGCTTGTTGAATAGAGGTTCATCGGGAACAGGCGAGGCGTTATATGTACAAGGCAAAGTCTGGGTTTAGCACTTCACACGAAAAGCATAGCGGAGCATCAGGTGTTGGAAGAAGGGAGGAAGCCGCTCGATGATATATGTTCGAATGGCTCAGGATCGCACTACACTCTACTGGCTCGAAGCCTTGACGGACGGAACGAATGTCTCGAGCTTCGCGTTATCGCATGTATGATTAGAAGGCGAGCAAAGCGATGTAATGTTGTCTGTACATAAGCATAGAGCACGACACGACTTACACCTTATTGTTGTATACCGGTTGTTTTAACTCACGTTGCAAAATGAATTTTGCCTTGGAAGGATTTTGGTCACATCACCAAATAAATGACTAGAGGCAGATATGCCTTGCAGATACGAGATCGCACTTTCTGAGACACAACCTGACATTTTCCGATGAACGTGTTATGGCCCGGAGACATTGACATTTTTGCTTCTGTGGCCATGACCTTTAAATCAATGGACTATTTGCCAGCCGGGCCGGTCAAGACTGCTATCGCGGCAAAGAGTGCCATCACGTGTCCTGAAGATCGTGGTTGATATGCACTCTGATGTGAGACGGATGTTGATGCGGAATGGCAAGTAACCGAGAAGAGTGATCAACCTGAATGTACTGACATCGAGAGGAATCTGCTGGGCTTGATCTTGCATTGGGTACAATACACCTTTACATCCTTCTAAAGGTGTTGCCACTGGCGCTTCGTCTTTCCTTCCCTCTTCCAACGTCTCTGCCATTGTCCGCGCCAAAGGGCTGCGATCTCCTCTTCTGCGGTTTGCTCGGTGCGAATGTGACCTCTTTCTCACCAAATGGCTTGTCATCTGCCGTGCCAGCACCGTGATTCCTTCGCCCGCCACTCGAGAGACTCGAAGCCAAATCACCAAAAGATCTGTCTTTTTGTGGTCTTCGTATCTTTTGTGTTGATGACGAAACGCGCATCTGTGGGCCTTGCTGTGACTTTTTACCAGACTTTTTGTAAGAAGTGGATCCAATTCGACCTTTAGAACCTGCGAGCTCATCGGGCCGTCCTTGTCGCTGTCGTTGGCGAGCATCTGCCCTGCTCTCTTCCCCAGAATCCTCGTCCTCGTCCTCGCCTTCATCGTCGCTACCACGAAGAGACTGTTCGTCCTCTTCCTCGGCCGCTGTGAGGCCATGTGGTATACCACCTTTCGCTGCTGGTACAGTGGAAGGATTGTGCATCGCAAACTCTCTACTATTTTCATCGATCTCAAAGTCCTCCTCTTCGAATAGCTTCTTGAAACGATCATCAACAAGTGGCTTGGATGCTTCGACGTCGGCATCTGAGGCTTTCTGAGGCACATGAGCCCCTTGTCGTAGGACGCGTTGGGCTTTGCGTCTTTCGTTCGCTTCTTCTTGTGCTGCCAATTTCTCTGCAAATTTGCGATTGACTTTGACTGATACCTTCTTCGACCCACGTATCCTGCTTTCTCGCTCCTTGTCGATCTTCTCTTGTATGCTCTTTTGCCGCTGTTGCTCAGCCAGGTCGGGATTGGTCAACAATCGAGCCTGCTCGTACAGCTTCTGCGCCACAAAATAGCCGTGCATGTACGGACGAAGAAGTGTCGTCGTTCCGATCAAATGGTCCAGACTAAGCTCACGAAGCTGCTTCATGTCCAGGAATTTGTAGTTGTCATACACTTCTCCTGTACTAGCTCCTGTAGCCTTGAATGCATTTGGATCATCTGCATCCTCGGCCATTTCTTCAACCAGGTTGTCCAGGAATGCACACCATTTTGGAGCGGGACCAAGCTGAGGGATAAAGAAAGCGTGCTGTTGGCGGCCTTCGTTGGCCGTCAGTATCATGCCACTTTCGGGGACAAACTCCACATGATTGAGGTCAACAGCAGGTTCTATACCAGCCCAATAATCGCCAGATATGCTGTCCCATAGCTTGATGCCTTTTCGATCTGCACTGAGGATCTTTCCTGATGACAAGGGCGAGTCGAGGTATTGTAAGCTGCGGACGGGATAGTCGTAGCCTTGGTTCTTCTCCAACAATGGGGCGGGCGACCGCAGATCGTAGGTCCGAATGATACCATTGCCGTTTCCAGTCGCGAAATTGAGGCCGTTGGTATGGTAGGTGAGTGCTGTGATGTCAGGCGTAGAATCGGAGTCCATGTCGGCCAGGGATTGTGGCGCGCGCAAAGTGCTCACACGATTTCGTGATCTCGGGTCCCAAAATTCGACTGTACCAAGCGACGTACCGAAGGCCAAGAGGCCATGACTCTCGTCGGCTACAGCAGCACAATTGACAGAACCAACGTCGATAGCTCCCTGAAGAGCTCCACCACCGAACGAATTCAGGTCGTCGCCACCCACATCGACCTCATAGCCTCTCATGAAGCGACCGAGCTCCAGGTTAAGGCGGAAGACCTCTCCATTGCCATTCGCGTTGACACCAACGGCAGGAACCAAGGCCTCTGCATTGCGCCGAGTGTATTTCAGATCCCTCCCGTAGCGTGGTATTCGTGTGGAATAGTGGAGGCCGGCGGGAGTGTGAAACTGTAGTGAGCGGTCGGTCTGGAGATGTAAAGACTTGGTATAATCGTGCGACAGTAGTATGAAAGTTTCGTTGACAGTATCGGTGTGTCTGGCGAAGGAGAGCGAGAGGTGTGGCAGGTAGTGGGTGTGAATCTGCGGCTTGTAGGTGCCTGCGTTACGCTGTCAGCCATCAGATCAGCGATTCGCATTTGGCATCTGGCATTCCACTCACCTGTGCTCATGACCCACTGGCCATCCTCGCTCACTCGCACGCACTGGCTGGCCTCGTCGAACTCGAAGTCCTGCAGCAGCTCCACGCGATTGGCATATTCCGCATCCTTTTTGAGACTGCGCTTTCGTTTTCGCGCGAGCCACTCTGGTAAGGGTCTTGCGGTGGATGCGCCGGCGATGGTGTAGACGGGGACGGCGCCGTGGCTGCTGAGCTTCATTGTTGCGACGACAGAGGCAGAGAAGCGACGGGTATAGTGTGTGTATATGTGGAGGAGGACGCGCACAACGCCTCTGACCTTGGAGTTTCTGAACTTTTTTCCGAAAAGCTGGCGATAGGATCAGGGTCTGCCATCAGAACCTTATGCTCCACATGACGTTAGCGCCCGTCGCCCGTCGCCGGTTGCCGTTGCCGCGGCCTAAGCACTAAAGAAGCGAGGCTGGCCCTGGCCCCGAGAGAACGAGAACATCCAGATGTCGCTGACATTCACGCATCCACACATTCACACGCTTCATACGCCGCCGCACAGCCATGTGCAGTGTGCCTCCCACAGCTGGACTGCCGCTCTCGCCGTCGCATTGTCCGCCGCTTCCGCCCTCTCCTGCACTCGCCCATGCACCCAGCAGCCCGTCCATTTCGAATCTTCCGCGCACGACGATATCACACTGATGTGCCTTGACAATAATCCCCACCCTCTACCAATGACCTGTGCGCAGACGCTCTAGCATGGACTTTCTGAAAGCATGCACCACCAACATCCACGCCGTAGAGAACCTGGTGCAGACCGCATACTGTGTCTACGATTGGGCCGAAGCAGCACCTGCTGCCTCCGCCGCCGAACGATGGGAGCACGCGCAAAACACCCTTGCTACCTTGAGGCGTGAAAACATCCTCTGCACCAGCATTGGCCACGCTGTTTGGATCTTTGGGCACTTCAATGCTGACCAGAAGGACATCTTGGACAACAGCCATTCCGCTTTCTCACTGTCCCAAGAGGGCACGCTTGAGAACCAACCCGCCCATGCTCCCAGCGGCCGAGCAGTGAGAGACATCCTCCTTGAGGCAATCGAACATGCCCTGGCTTTCACATTGGCACGACATCCTGCCATTGTCCACGTCGGACCTTGGCTCTGGCTCTATCACAGCGTGTGCGATCACGGCGACGACGACGACGACGATGACGACGAAGACGAACACGCTCTACAACAAGTGAGTGAGACGTCCATCATTCATGTCTACACCAAATTCACACCGAGCGGTGGCCTTTATTTAATTCCTAATATTATGCCATCGTCTGCCCAACCCCTGCCCATAGCACCACGTTGTGACCCTCAGCATGTGGTGTTGGCGCCATTCGGAACCGTGGCCACCATCCTGCCAGATTTTCATGACGAATCTGTGCTTTCCGACGATGCATGGAAAACAGGTCTGGCCAAAGCTTTGGAGCCCCATGGCATTGTCTTACCCGCTGGCACATTGTGGATTGCTGTCGAGCTAGAAAACGCAGAGACTACCGCCTGCATCTGGCCCGCAGCACTCTGCTTCACGCCTTATCGGCTACAGCATGTTCAAGACCATACTACTAATGCCGATCGGGATTGGCGCCGCTGGTTCATTAGCACAGAAGAAGGGACCATCTTTCGCAACCCTTTAGGCATGGCCGAAGAGTGGTTCAAAGGCGCAGCTGAACGGGCACGCAGTGGCGTCAATCTAGTCGATACGCAGGCAACGCTTCAAACAGACGATCGACCACTTACTGAGCTCATCCCTACCAACACTGCAGCCAATGATCCCACTACAATGACCTCGCCTCCTTTTTCTCAACGTGCTGTGGACCAGCAAGCTGCGATGGCAGGCATTTATCCGACGCCTCCAGACGGATATGCGCCAATGCCGAATGCCTCGCAGCTCAATTCGACCACTCCCTCGGCTACACAACCAGAACAAATTGCAAATTCCGTAGACTTGCCTCCGACTAGTGATGACATGCAATACAAAAGTGAAGATTCACATCACGTGGAACCAAACACCTTTGGGAATGAAGATCAGGACATGCTGTTTGGAGATGAGGACGAGATGGAAGACATTGGCGATGCTGATTTCAGCTTCTTCGACGATCATGACAACGATCCAGCAATCATATCGATGCGAGGGGCAGAATTGGACCACTCTCTCAAGTACGAACACGATCCTGGGGACCCCAATTCGGGCACGAATATCGACGACCCCCCGATTGAAGACGATCAGCCGTCGCTGGGCATTGACCCAACCAAAGACACCACTCAAACCGACACAATCGAAGAGGTACCTATCGAGCCTGCCGAGCACATGCAGGAGGAAGCAAGTCAATCGCCGGTGGTAGTTTCGATTCCACAATTTGGCCATTCAGTCGCCGAACCTGAGAAGCCACTCAGCCCATTCGGCATACGTGAGCGGCTACTGCCTCCTCCTGTCCCGGCTAGCTTCACTCAGACCGATGCGGTAGGTCAGTCGGACCACCGGCGGTCGAGCACGTTCGCGCCCATCAATTTCAGAGAAGGTCTCAATCTCAGCAGAAAATATTCCATGGTCACGGCTGCGCCTGAAAAAGAACCACTCAAACCGGGTACTATCTCGACATCTGATATTGGACTTCCAAATGCCCGCAAAAAGAATCGCATCGACGGCAATGATTCTTCAGACTCTGACACCGATGACGAAAGTGAAGGAAACTCCTACGAGCCTTCCTCCAGTGATATGGACGACACAGATTTACCTCCGCGACTTCCCTGGGAGAGCAGGAAGCGGAAGCGCCACGCAGACCAGGACAATTTACATCCGCTGTCTGGTTCCCTGCAGCGAATGTGGTCCGATGATGAAGCTGATGATCGAGGCGCAGGTCTTGGCATGCAGACTCCGATTGCAGATGTTCTGGCAGCTTACGTGAATTCGACACCGGTTGTGGACCTCCTTGCTTTCTTGAAGGCAGATTCAGAATCTGAGATAGCTGATCGTCCCCATTCTTCCGCTGGACCCACGGATTCTATGGAGGCTTTGAGCGGTCCACTGCCCAGAATGGAGACCTTTTACGGCTTCCCAAAAGAGGACCTCATCTATATATCTCAGATCATCAATGAGCAGTCTGTGTCAGCTCTCCAGCTTGACGCAACACGTGTCGGCGGTCATGAGGATAGAGTGGCCGAGCTGCCCATCGGGATTGCAAACTACATCTACACCACCATTGATAGAGGCATTGAGACGGTATTCCCGGACATAGATCAATGCGACCTTGGCAAAGTCGCGCTGACTAGAGAGCCGCTACGGCCCCCTACGAATCCCGGCAAAGCGCCACAGGGCCCGCCTCGACCGCCGCAGAGGACTGATAGCATGCTTCTTGGCCCTGACTATTTCCATTTACCGCCTCCCTATGTCAGACTTCAGAGAAGCTCGGAGATATGGGAACTGCTTCCCACCTGTCTGACGTTCTGGGAGACATTAGGCCTTGGACCTACCAACGGTGCAAAGAATGTGCGGGCGTTCTGTGTTTTTCCCGAGAACGAAGACCTGCAGCGCCTCGTGGCGGGATTTATGACCGATCTTGGAACCGCCTACGACAATTGCAAGCTCGGCTCCCACGTTCACCATAGAAATGTCAGCGACACCGATGAGCATGATACTTTTGAGGATGGAATGGCGCCGGTCGAGCTCAACGAGGATGCCTCGCTTGAAGGCGCCATGAAATCTTACGCTACCACCTGTGCAGAACTGGGAAAGGCGTTGTCCAATATCGCTCATCAGGAAAATGACCGAGCGATTGTGGTCTACATCCTCAACCCTTTCTTTGGGCGACAAGCGCAGCAGCATCTCTGCGCCTGCTTCTGGATTCTCTTCAAAGCCTACCGAGATAATCTCCCCAAGGCGCAAAGAAACCAAGCTGGCAGCGACATCTTTCTCCAATGCCTTCCTATCAGTTTGGTCGCCTCCTATGATACTTTGGTGGTGCCAGACGCCAGGCAAATGGCCATCCTAACTCGTGAGGTATATGATCGATGTCCTCCATGCGGTCCACCTTCCGACAATACATCTGCTCTTCCTATTCTTTCAGCACCAGCGGTGGAGCTTGCAAGCGCCGCGCCGAAGAGGATTGGCTTTCAGCTCGCGGCCGAACCGCCAACCGATCTGCTTCATGAGGGTTCCATTCTCCACATTGCTTACTCTGTGAGCAGAGACGGTCACTGGATGTCAGTCTGCTGGATCGACAACACCGGCAGACATCAGTCTAGTACTGCGTTCTGCCTTCGTGGCAGGTCACTGGCTGAAGTCATTGAAGATGTGTGGGAATGTACGCGGGACATACTGGCAGCTCGTCAAGTTCTTTGGCGCATTTTCATTGTGACCACGGACACACTTGAAAAGCCTGTCTTACAATGCTGGCGCTCGTTCTCTGCCAAACCTCGTACTCAAGCCATCTGTGTGACCTTGCTCGCCATTGACACAGATCCTGTCCTGCAGCTTTCACCGCCCGTGGCCAATGTGGATGGCCAATTCGAATCCAGAAGCGATGGAGGCTTCCTGACTCCAGCGTCCACACCGCAGGCCGGGACTTTCACCTCCTCGCCTGATGTTAACGGACAAGGAGGCAATGCGCCTCCCACTCCAGCGCCAAGCGAGACAGCTGCCTCTGCCGTCGAGAATGACCCGGATGCTCATCTCACCGATCTCACAGACGAGACTTGGGGAGTCTTACTGAGCCCAAAGCTCAACAATGTTGGCTGCAACGTGGGCCTTGCAAATGGTGCGTTGTTCAAACGAGTTGATGTCGCCGTTCCAGATGGAGAAGGAACTGCTGCAGACAAGCTCCCGTCGATTGGTGTCAGCATTCACTGGACTATTCAGGTGAAGCCTTCTGGTGGCGTTGACGAGGGCAGCGTCAAGCAAGCAGAGCTCACGCTGAGAGAGGTGTTGAGAATGTATCGGAATTTGGCGTTGTTGACTAAAGCAAGAGCGATTGCTCATGGTAAGACGAGTTTTGTGCCGATCCATGTTGCAGCGGCCGTAAGAGGCGCAGAGGGTTTGGATGGTATGCTGGGAAGTAGTGAAGATATGTAGAGAATCGACCACTGCCAAAAGGATTTGCTGGGAGGAGCCACAGTCCAAGTTCTTCAATTCCGCGAGCGCAATCTCTCGTGTATCGGCTGCACCTGAAGCATGCAGAGTCGATCGCAGAACTTCGTGAGAATAGGCGTGTTCGCGCCAGTATGCTTCTTGCTCTCAAGTGAGATGACTGTCAACGTGATGTGACACGGCAACCTCATCTCCCTCAAACAATCCACAAATCGGACATTTGGCAGTAGCGCTGCTGAAAGTAAACTCTTCATCTCGCCTTTCGCTCGTGTTTTCGCCATCAGAGGCCGGAAGAAATTGTGCCAAAGTCCTGGGAGGCGGTAGTCCTTCTTGCTGCTGCTGCTGTTGTCGAAATCCATCATTACCGCCAGCATCACGGTATTCAGTATTATAACCTTGATGAGATTGCGATATTGCCGGTCCCCCTTCTCCTCCATCACTCATCAATCTTCTTTGAACTCTCCCAACCCTCCCATCCCGCAATCTCACTTTGATTCCGCGCGGGTGATTGCCAGAGGATAAGATGTCTTGGACTATGCCTTGTACTTCGCGTCCAGTACCTTGGTCTTGTTTCAGTACGATGGAAACTGATGCGCCGGCTATGACTTGTTCTGTACCAGGCACGGCGTGATATTCATTAGGTCGGGTTGATGAATGTTGACTTCCTCCTCCACGACCTCGACCTCGACCTCGACCGCCGCGGGGCTGTTTAGGCTGACGGTTGCGTGGTCTGTTCATTGGAAATTGAGGATGAGGATATATTTTTGGGTAGAAGTTGTGGAAAGCGTTCTGAATTCGGTGTTGGAGATTCTGCATTTAAGGAAGGATCCAATTCGCCAAATGCTCTACAGTGCAGGTGGAAATCGAAGGCCTCGACAAGAAAAAAAAATCAAAAAACAAAAGTCATGAATTAAATCTAAATCTAAATCTAAATTGAATTTTCTTTTGCTTGCTAACAGCGGCTTGCGCAGAGACGTGACATGAGAATCTTCTGCTTTTACTACATGCATAAAATAGGTGGTGGTAGTGGTCAAGGCCCACCGACAGCTCAATCCCAGCGGTCTCGAAGGAAAGAGTCGCATAGCAACCAAATTATGCAAATTGCATGCATGCTGCCACACTCATTTCTTGTTGATTCGCTCCCAAACCTGCTTCTCTGCCTCCGCTAAGCTGTTGCCAGCTGTATTTGCCCAGCCTTTGACAGTGTTCCAAACGTTCGCGGCAGTATCATTCGCGCTATCTCCTCCTCCAAATCCCAAGTTATTTGCAAAGCTTTCCCGCCGTTCATGTTGATCTAGGCTTGCCCTCGCAGCGGAGCTAAGCTCCTGTGCATTGGTATCCTGATGATATCCTGGTGGATGACTGCCAGCACTGGTTTGTGGTGCAGGTGCAGCTCCAAAGTTTATAGTCGTTGGTCCATCTCTTGCTTGTGTTTGGGTTGTCGGCGTCGTGCCGTGGACTGGAGCGTAGTTAGATTGTGGAGGTGGTATAATCATTTGCGGCGGCGGTTGCGTGATATGCGACTGCTTGAGTGCAGCTGTCTCTCCAGCTTTGGGTGGAGGTGGAAGAGTTGAAGGAGCTGTCACTGTCGCGTTGTGGCCGGGAGGCACTGGTACTGCTCCCGGCGCAGGCGGAGGTGGACTATTTCCCGCCCTCATCGCAGTTCTCGTCGGAGTAGGATTGGGTTGAGCATTTGGTATGTATGTAGTTGGAGCTGGAGCGGCCGCGGCCGCTCCAGGTTGCGCCGGAGGGTAAGCAGTCGTTGAGGTACCGGTGTTCGCGAGCGATGGTTCATCATGCGGTTTCGAAGGCGTGATGGGATCATCTAGGGCGACCAAAGATTAGCTGAAAGCGCAATCTCGATGCTCGTCGTTCTGTACCAACCGATGTGGACTGGAATTGGTGGCATTTTGGCTCTGCCCGCGTGCCTTCGCTGGATTGGTGTGATCGATTTGCTTGACTGTCCCGTTCAGATGGTCTCAAAGCTTGATGTTGCTGCGGCAGAACTTTAGAACGCGTGCATTGTTGACAGCTTCCGGAAAGCTGTAAGGAACTGCAAGGTACGGGGTATGACTAAATTCATCACGTGAAACGCGTGAAACGGAACTCTGGACGAAGGGATCGGGGACACAGACAGGAATCTATACGCCTTCAGTACAGAACCAATTGTAATACAGTCAGGGTGTTGCCCAGGCCGGAATAAAGGTACATGCTCTGCGCTCTTCTGTGGAAACGCAACGCAAAGCTTCATGCTTCCACCTTCCCGCCCGAACCACTCCGGTAGAGTGACAACGCACTCGTCTTCTTTTCTTCTTTCTGCAATCGTAGTGGCATGCAGATCATTCCTTTTGTCATCTTGTAGCCATTTCTGGAAGATCGGAAAGCCCAACTCTTGGGGCGAGTCGCTTATTTGAACTTCTTGCCGAACATGAGGACCTGCATCTGGTCGTAGATGGAGAGCACACCAGCACCGGCGACACCACGGAGGATGTTGGCACCAGCACCCTTGAACAGCGACTTGACACCTTCCTTGGCAATGATCTGGCTGGCGGCATCGAACGAGGACTTGTACTTGACGGCCTGGTGCATTTATCATTAGCGTTCTGAGCGCATTGGACAGATATCAGTGTTTTCACTTACCTCGCCAGAAGTCATCATCATACGACGGCGAACAGTGTCGAGTGGGTAGGAAGCGATACCAGCACCGGTGGTGACAGACCAACCAAGGAGGAAAGAGGCCAGGAAGTTACCCTCGAGAGCACCAGTGAGGACGACAGGCTTGAGCGAGTCGTACATACCGAAGTAGAGACCACGGTAGACGACGATACCAGCAACGGAAGGACCGAAACCACGGTAGAGACCGAGGATACCGTCAGAGGCGAGGGTCTTCTTGTAGACATCGATGAGACCGTTGAATTGACGTTCTCCACCATTCTTGGAGTTCTTGGCGTCGTTGGCAAGACGGGTACGGGCGTAGTCGAGGGAGTAGACGAAGAGAAGGGAGGTAGCACCAGCCATCTGCGAGCTGTCAGTCATCGGCGAGGCTTTGCTGAACATGGAGGGAACTTACACCACCAGAGGCAAGGTTACCAACCATCCACCAGGCGTATCCATCACGCTCCTTCTTGTAGCCGAACATGGACTTGAAGGTATCGCGGAAAGCGAAGTTCAGGGCCTGTGTTGGGAAGTAACGGATGACGTTGGCAGTGTTTCCTCGCCAGAGAGCGACAACACCCTCATCGGCAGTAGTACGACGGAAGCAGTCCACGATACCATTGTACGGGCGGGCGAGACGACCTGACTTGATCATCTCATCCTAAGCAGCGAAAAAAAAGGGTCAGCGTGGTGTTGTTTCTGGCCGCGCTTTGGACAGAGAGCTGTTTCAAGCTCGGGGTCCGAGCAGCGCGCGCGATTTGAGGTTGCGACACTCACCTGGTTTTGAATGAGGAGCTTGATACGCTCAATTGGAGCAGCAGCAGTCTTCGAGACGGCGGCAGAAACACCACCCACTGCGCATTCGTGTTAGTTACGGTGTCCATTGCGCAAGCTCTCCCAGCTCTTATCGCCAGCTTTGCGGGGCGCCGGTCATCACAAGACCGGGCAGTCTTCAGCGGCGGGGAGGCGGCAGGTAGGTTGGACGTACTCAAGAAGTCGACGACGAAGCCGGGCATGCCCATGAAGGACTTCTCGGCCTGGTTGACTGTCGGGCAATTGATCAGCATTGTCACTGCGAAAGCTGGCCAGCCGCGCACGAAGCTGGGCTGCAACGCTCACCATCTCCCTTTGCCATCTTGACGGTATTGTCCTTGACTGGCGACCTGTTTCGGGGGGAATGAAGATGAATTGAGTGGAGTGTTTGATGGAAAAAGGAGGGATTGGAGGTCAAGAAAAGCTGAGAATGGTTTTTTTGAAGGGGTTGCGGGTTGCGGGTCAAGCCGGGAGAAACGCGAATTCCTAGCCGCCTGTGGCGATGCCATTTGTTGAGGCGTTGATGAATTGCCGGGCAAGTCGCTACTGCCTATGATACCTTAGTGCCTACTACGTGCGGTCTTCACTTCTTCCCACATTTTCCTACGCGACTCACAATCTGCTCGCGCGAATCGCTGCAAGTCGACTTGCTAGAGCGCAAAACACAATGGAAGCATTCGGTGTTCGGTGTCCACGTCTGAAGCCTCGCGTCGCTAGCCTCGGCAATAATACAGCAACAAATGGCTACAAGAACTTCACGGTGAAGACCTCCCTCTCTCTCACGGCCCATATAACAGATATTTCATCATTGTTCGGATCACGACATGTCTGGAAAGTGCATTGTTCATCGACACATGTACTATCAAGCCTGCTATTTCAAACGTTTCCATTCGCGACCAAGTGTGCTTCGACGGGGGTTTGAGGCTCGTCGCTGTGGCAGAAATTGGTGTAAACACTCTCCGGCCCACAAATCGAGTTGCTATGTGGAGCGACCAAAGTCGAAAGTTGTTGGCTCTGGGATGGCAATGCTGCAAGAACACCGTCGACGACTTGCCCGAGGTCTATGCCTTGAGCCTCATCGAGGTGCTTCCGGCTTCCGGCTGTTGATGTCTGGAATGTTTGCAGATATTTGAAGACACCTCTGCGCGCAGTGGAACACAAAATCGGTGGTTTGTTGACCAGCTCTGTTTGGTTATCGAGTCAAGTGCGACGATGTTCGATGAGCGAGCACCACTGCGGAAGCACAAGTGCCCGGAGAGCGGCTGGCACACTTCGATGCGACACAACTTCCGCTCTATACTACTAATAAGACCGAAAGTGCCTGTAGGAGCTGACATCCCTGTACTTGCAGCAGGAAGCATAGCCTGGCGCTCAGCTCGGGCAGCTCGATCCCAGCATTCGTGAGGTATCAAAAGTTTAAACTTCCTTGTTGTCAATACTCAAGGATCGCCAGTTCAGTGGAGTGCTTGGAGAGGAGGTAAGCCGCCGAATTAGTGGCTCAAGGGTGAATAAGGGCCATGGCGCCGAGAGGTTGCGTTCTGAGCCCGATTGCGCATGCTAGCAGAAGCCGCTGAGCTGCAGCTGCAATGAATCGCTCCCAATATCACGTCGCTAAGCTCACGCAATGTGACGGTATTGCTAGTGTCTCAGATCGTGAAATCTCTGTAGCCCTCTAATAGACCATCTGCAGTCTTTGTCACAGCAGACCACACAGGCTCGAAACGCTTCAGCTCATCGAAGGCAGGTATGGTACCTGGTGTGTTGGCGTCGCTCCACAGACACCACACTCTCACTCGCTGGCCTTTTGCTGGTATTTCTGTCCAGGACACATTGACGTGAAAAGTCTTGTCCCAAGTCCGACTCTCCAGCCTGATCTCCTTGCTGCCTTGATCACCTACTTCTGGCTGCCGAGCGTCATGTGGGCAGTTCTCAACGTGGACTGCGGAGGCCGCTTCTTCGAGCGCAACCCGGCATTGTTTGGAATTTATTCCACGAACGCTGAAAGTGGCCGTGGAAGCATTATGACTGATTTGAACTTCCATCCAATCACGATATGCATGCTTCTTGTTCGTGGAGTTCGCCGGTAGTGCCGGATATCCCCGCGGGACCACGTTAGGAGGCAATCCATAGAACTACGAAGAGATGTTAGCAAGTGCTATTAGACTTCGTGTCTTGGAGCTTGCTTACAGAGCATCCCAGCAAGCCGTTCCTGTTAGCTACAGCAGAATCACCACAGCGCAAAGGTTGACCAGCAGCGCTTGGCATCTCTGAAATGATATCCTGGATATACCCATCGAGGCCGATCACGGTGACGTTGTTGGTGCCGTTGTCGAGATCCATACTCTGTACAAAGTAGTATTTGAGTCGTGCGTCTCGAGAGAACGGGAATGCAACCAGATTGTAAATCAGGCATCCGACAAAGACCAGCAGGAGAAATGTCGGGACGTGGTAGGTAAAACGGTGCAGGAATGGAATTACTGGCAGTAATAGCAGCACTGTGAATGTCGCCAGTAAAAGATAGATGGGTAGAGGTGCATTGCCATCTGCAGGTGTCTGATGAGTTGCTGAGGTGATCATTAACGCGATGCTTCCAATGATGATGACATTGATTGGCACTAGGATAACGATCTGAATGAACCAAGTCCACTGGGGCAGGGAGCTGGACCATGCTTGCTCATCCATTACGGCGTTGTTGAGATATGGATCTTCAGTGTCTTCAGGTATTTCGTGTCGATCTGGGCGCTTTCTGCTAAATGTATGTTGACTCGCCTGGGTGTCTGCATGTTGAAGTAAAGAGCTTCTCTCGGTTGGCTCAGCTTCATCCGCCGAGCCTTGATTTTCCAGTAGTCTTCTCGACGATCGGCTTCCGGGCCTGATAGAGGTCGCATCTGTCTGAGCACCCAGCACTCTAGAGACGTACTTTGATATCTTGGGTAGAGCAAAAAGCTCCAGGTAGGACACCAGCAGTGCGATTAACATTGTCGCGTTGTAGATGACCAAAAAATAGCCGCTGGCGATGTGCAGCTGGTGTTCTCCTACCGTTGCCACAACAAGGAAGGTCCAGCTTAGAACATAGAGCCAAATGAGGCAGAACATACGATGAAGAGCCGTAGGTCTAATCTCTGCGGCTCCTGCTAATACAAACCATGCACTGGCTAACCAAGCAGAAAGGAACATGGACCTAAGGTGAGTTGTCAGCAGTTGTGCTTCCATTATGCTGCTCAGAGCGCATGGGGATTGATGCCGGGGAAGCAGTGGCGTTAGCGGACCATTTGTAACTTACCAAACTGCGTATTCGCTGCTGTAAATGATGTATGGGTTGACCTTTGTCAACAAGTAAGCGAGCAGCATGACAATTCCCGTGGCAACAACGAAGGCGACTAAGAAGCGGAAGAAGCCTCTAAAACCAAACAACCGCACTGCTTCATCATCGTCGGCCGAGTGGAGGTACCTTTTCCCTCCAAATGGGTACCATTTGTCGCTTCTACGAATGAGCACTTCAAGCAGGATGAGGATGATCGGACCGGCGACGAGGAGGCTGACAGATAGCGCAAATAGAGTGTTGAGTTGTCCGACAACGAACGCATGGCCGAGAACGTCGAAATAGAAGCCGTCTTTGGCGTGACCAGTGTCCAACTTGCCATTCTCGTCCTGTAATCCTCCTTCGAATTCGGAGCCTTGGAAGGAAGTCAATTCTTGCATGGTAGCTACGGCTGCAGAGAGCATATGCCACAGAGAGTCCGGATTGGTGTTCCTGGAGTCATCTTCATTCGTGTGGTATCTTGCTCTCGGCTCGTAGAAAGCCACGTCTAAGCCACGAAGGCCTAGCTCCTCGTCAAACACCGAGTAGTCAGTACCACTACGAATAAAGCCTCTTTTGAAACCATCACCGCTGACGACATTTCCGAAGGGACGTGGGCTCTTGGCATACGATTTGGTCACTTCAGCGTCGGTACTGCGGAAGAGGATCGCACGGCCGCCAGCGCCAGCGCCTTCTAAATTCAAAAATGTATGCTGCACGAGGATTGGAACGGGTCAGCAAGAGACTGGAAAGGGCGTAAGGGGTTCTATTTCGGCGGGCCTCACCGGAAATTGTGCCAGTGGATGTCTGACAAAATTGCGTGCCCCGTAGAGTCCATTCTCTTCTGCGTTGTTGAGAAGAGCCACAATTCCTCTTCTAGGTTGATTGCCAGATCTGGTGAAAAGTGAGATCAGCTGCAACACTGTGACCACTCCAGCGCCATCATCTGTTGCACCAAATCCAGATGAAACGCTGTCGTAATGTGCATTAACAAGAACACCACTGCTGCCTTTGTAGCGCTTAGTCTGATTCCACCAGTCTCCGGCTGTGTCCTCAGTGCCACGAACATACACGAGTATGTTGTCGCTTTCTCCGTAGAGTGTCACCGGTCTGTTGGTCCAATCGTCAAGGCTGGTGAAGTTGGAGCTATCATTTGCGAACACAGTCACTGCTCTTTCGCCCTCGACATCCGATGTCCACTTTCCATTGACGGCATATACACTTTTGTGGTCCGCTCCATTGTGCTTCAAAATCTCGCCGATTCTCTGTAGCAAGTAGCTCTTGACAACATCGTTACGCCGTGAGCCCAACGGGTGATAGCCGTCGGAAAGGAATTCGAGATCGAGCCAGGCCGCCGTGAGGTTGATACCGTCGATCGGTGCCGGATTCGCAGGAGCTGGCGGAACTCTGACGTGCACGACGAGCAGTGCTGCGAATAGGGCGATGTAGAACAAGGAGCCAATGATTGAAACCTGCAGAGGCAGGAACGCAAGTGGGTTCCAAGATCTGGTTCTCGTCATTATTCTGAGCAAGCCTATTCAGGCAGCATTAGGTCTGGAAGGCAGTAGACGAGTTCCACTGTCAGAGAAGGCGTACGGCGCGGAAGTGTTTACGTCTGGACAGACAGACATGGGATGGGGTACCTACCTAGTCGAGGTCGAAGCTTGGAGCAGGTTTGATAAGTAACCGTTAGACATCTCAGGGCTTCGTCATGGCCCAAGCTCCTGCAGAGGAACGAGGTCATGGGACCAAGACCTACAAACTGCCGCATTCTCATGATGTCTTCAGTACTCACCAGAACACCACATAAGACGTTGACTTGGACCAAGAGCAATATCGGCTTTCGCTACGCAGGTCGTGAAGATTGATTCCGAGGCCGCTTGCTTCTTTATATCGTTTCATCATGCTACAGGACCGCCAGCGCACAGCTATCACAACAAATCTGCCATCTATGTCCGTGCGAACGCAGTACAGGAAACGTGGGTATCACTTTATATCATAACCGAGCAATGTGCAAGCCTGCCTCTTTCCCGGAACACCAAAGCCATGCTTGAAACTGGAAACACCTTCTTCCCACCCAGTTAGTTCCATGCGCAATAACGCGCAAACCCTACTGATGATTTTGATATCCTGAATGCATCATATTCATCGGGTTCCATTCAGCCCCGCCGAACAGGCCGTGAATGTCGATGTTGGAAAGATTCTGCTGAAACGCTTGTTGGCCCGGCCAGTGCTCCTGTGGAGGCATTTGTATCGCTGGTGCAGAGCTATCGGGCTGTCCGTTGCTGTATGCCATGTGCTGAGGATATCCCATGCTTCGCTGGAACATCTGTGGGTGGCTTTGCTGAGGCTGCTGTTGGCGCTGTTCGATATACGGCGGGAGCGTGAAAAATTGAGCCTCAATATTCTCGTCACCACCCCTACCTGCCGAACCAGCAGGGCTGGAGTGGTCTATGCCGCCGTAATTCTGCTGGCCTCCAAATGGCTGCTGCTTGCCGTATTGGTGATTGTTCTCAAAGGTTGTCAGCGGTTGATTCGGGTAGACAAAGGGCTCATCGGCCGCAGGAAACATCATCGTTGAAAGGTCTGTCAAGGCCGCATTCGCAAAGTTAGGTGGAACTGAGTATTGCTGCATCCCAGTCGCCATCGGCTGTGAGAGACTTCGTTTTTGTACGGCAGAGAAGGCGCTCGAGTCATAAGCTCCGCTGGTAGGTGTCTGTGGACCATAGGAGGAAGCGTCGGACTGAGACCAGCAGCCTTCAAAGGGCGAGGCGGTTGCCGATGCATTGCCATTTGGCATTTTTGGAAACGTACTGGCCCGCTTGGCACCCGGGATGTCCTGCGCGGTCGTGGAGATGTCGGGGTGACTTCTCGAAGCTTGCGCACTTGCAAATTGTTGATGTGGCCCTTCATCGAATGTCCTCTTCTTGGTAATGCCTGGGTTCTGCCGACCCTCTCGCATCCAGGCTGGTAACCTTTGAAACACGATATTCAATGTGGCTGTGCATCTGTCAGCAGCCATGCTACGTGATGCCAATGAAGCCAAGACGTCTCTGCCTTCGATTGCATCCTTCATCACAGCTTCTGTGGTAGCGTTGTCGGGATTCTCAGCGGCGAAATACACAAGCGCGAGAATGGAAAAGAAGGTTGTATACATGATGAACCAGAAGGCACCATTGAGCAAGCCTCTCTGTTTCATCTGCGACGCAATGTGGATGATATTGCGTGATACGTTCACAAACGAAGCGGCGCATGCGTATGCGCGTTGATCGACCGGTTTCGAGCGTTTCTCCATTGCCACGAAATGAAGGAATGGTCGGTAGAGAAGGACTTGCGCGTGCGCATACGACAGTCGCAGCAGCTGTTGAACTCGCGCATACCTAGGAGGCGCGTCGCATGGTGTCAAAATTGGCGGTAGGCTGTTCTTCCAATCTTCGAGTTCACCCTCGATCTCACGGATTGTCGAGAATGGTATTGAGTACGACTTGTCGGCGGAGCTCTCTGCACTCTGTACCTTGATCGGATAAATCACGCGCACGATTTTTTGGAGTATCAACACCAGGCGTGTGTGAGCATTGAAGGCAGTGGTCAAAGAGACCACACCTTCCGGCATTGCCAAGATACCATCCTTGGTGACATACTCGTCGTCAACTTCGGTTGGAAGTTCCTGATCAATGTCGTCGTCACTGAGTGTCTGTGGAAGCCCCAGCATAGCACCAACGTAGGTATCCATTTTGCGCACGACCCAGAACACTCTCTTTCTGCTTTCCGCCTCGATGGGGTCGAAGCGTCCGGCGGCAGCACGATGCAAACCCATCCTCAAGGCTGATCTCAGAGCCACGCCAACGTAAGCATAGCATTGCGACATCTTTGCTGACGATTGAAGGAACAGAATCATGAAGACGACTGCTTGGATGGAAGAGAGATCTCGACAATCAGCAATGTCCATCAACTGGCGAGCGGTCTTGAAATATGTGAAGCCCTGTTGAATAGCGCTTTCGTAGCCATCGCGGTCTATGCTACTTTCGTCGTCTTTGCCAAACAGGCTGCCGAGTGCAACAGCGCTGTAGAACAAGGGGAGAAATTTCTGGTCCTCGTTATTGTAATGATCGGGAGGCTTGCTGTATATGCTGTCGAAGCTTTCCCAAAACGAAGGCTGATGCACCATACGCAAAAGCGCAGCGGCATCATTCAGGGCATACATGCAGAGCTGTCGAGCCGTGTCTCTCGGTGGAAGATCTGTGCTAACAGGAGACATCTCGCCGAGCGGCGATTCAGCGGCTGATCTGGGCGAGTCGAGCAATTGCGACATGGGCCTTGTTTTCACAAACGGCGTCGCCATGGTGTCAGGCCCCATGAGATCGCCCAGCTGCTCACGCATTCTTCTCACAAAGCTGAGTCCTGATGAGTGGCCGTGGTAGTCCCAGTGACCAGTCTCATCCATGTCGAGCTGAGCCACGGCGCGGACCATGGACTCTAGATTGGTGTCTGATCTTTTGTCGGCCACTGGTGCGGGAGGTGGACGAGCGGGACGAGATTCCGCGGCAGCAGCAGCCGCATTGCCTTTGCCTGGTGCTCCAGGAATCCAGCCCTGGGCGACGGCGGCATCAATGCCAGGATCGTTCAGGTCAAGATTGGGTATGAGAATGTGAAGTAGTGTCTCGGCACGATGCACTCGATGTTCAAGATTCTCCACATACTGCGGCGCGGGATTCCTTCGTCGATTGGACGGTTGATCGTAGGTGCAGTCTGGGACATGTTCAGCTTGAAGTGTTTACAAAAGTGGGCTGAATTCATGGCAGACCTACCATAGCTATACACTGTGCAATGAGTACATGGCTGCTTTCCATCGCACTTGATTTTCTTCCGCCTACATTCATCACAGGCGCGAGTAACCCTCCGGCGCTTCTGCAACGGACCAGGTGCCTTGACCGGTGGCGCATTTTTGCCAGCTGGACCCGATGAAGGAGAGCCCTGGGCGGACTCCGTCTTGATTTCCTGCTGATGCTCCTCTTCGCCAGACTCTGCATCGCTCAGATGCTCGTCGTATTCTTCAGGCGACGCATGCTCCATGGCCATTGGCTTGCTGTCACGGGTGACAGTGTAGTCCAGCTACCAGCAGTAGTGAGCTCCAGGCATTGAACGCCGTCTCGCGGGATATGTGGCCGGGAGGGGTGCAGAAGTAGGAGGATGTAGGAGACACAGTCAGGTTCAGGACGGGCTGTGGGAGTGGCGTTCTCAGAATGTCGCTTGGCGGTTGGTCGGTGTCTGGGTCGATGTAACGGCAGTGCAGCGCCAGGGAAGGGCTTGAAGAGGGAGAGTGGCAGAGGATTCAGCCTTGTGCCGACGCAAGAGACCAAGTCCAAGTCCAAGTAGTGGATCCCGGTGGCAGTGGCAGAGGCAGTGGCAGTGGCAGAGGCAGAGGCAGTGGCAATGCAACCAGGTCAAGCGAGCGCACCGCGGGCGGGCTCTGCTTCGTCCGAGCCCTGGCAGAGCGACAGACGTGCAGAAGGTGCGAGTGGAGGATAGCAGAAAAGTGGAAGTCGCAGCTGAGCGATGCTGTCAGCCAAGCCGCGGCGAGAGTTTAGTGGATATAATACTGTAGTGCTGCGCTGCATGCCATGCCATGCCATTCTTCGCGCTTGAGGTGCGGTGCGGTGCGGCGGCCGATGACCGCAAGCCCAATGATACAGTGGAGGAGTCGTAATCAACATCAACACAGGCGTCCGCGATAGGAGGAGGCCTGCGTCGCCATGCTGTTCTCAGCTCTGCAATAGGGCGATGTCGCAGCGCTGCGTGCGGACTTAAGCGCTGGCCACGCTGCGAGCGGGGGTGCCTTACCTTCCCTCGCTTCTCTATCCGTTTTGAGCCCAGCCCAGCCCAGCCCACAGCGTGAATTCGCAGACACAGCTTAGAAATGCGCTTCCTCCGAGCAGAGCAGACTCATCTCATCACTCGCAGCCGCTGCCGCTGCAACACTGTCCGTCCGTCACGTCTGTCAGCCATTGTGACGGCCTGGTCCTTACCTCGTCGGCCCTGCCACTGCCACACGGTCACCGTCACCGTCACCGTCACCGCACCGCACCGCACCGCACCGCACCGCACCGCACCGCACCGGTCGCACGCTGCCAGGGTCTTCAATGTCGTCATGCTTAGGTACATAGTATTTCTCGACGTCGTAGGCCCACTTGCAGACACCACGGCAAGCACGGCCACTGCGGCTACGTGCGCCACGCCACGATGCAGGTGCAGATCTCGCTCAACGATGTACAGCGTCTTGACGCATCGGAAGGCTATTTCTTAGCGAATTCGCTAATTTTACGCCCCCGGCTAGGTTTCACGCTTTGCCTAACAAAACTTGGTGTGTGGATGTGCTAGTAGCTAATAGAAGTAGGCGATTAGAACGTTAGGTCGACTGTAGGCGGATTAGTAACTCTTAAGGTTAAGAAGGAGGCATAACTCGAGGCCGTATAGAAGGCTCAATTTAACGACTATAGATAACAAAGTAGACTCTATCTATTTACTAACGAGTATAGCCGCTATTAGCATTAATAACGGCTTAGTAGCGCTTAGGCATACTATTAACCTACACTCGTATTTGCTAGAAGGTAATCTTGCTATATTCTTTAAGGATTGCTAGTAATAGCTTACGACTAACTAGCCTGTCTCTGCGCCGTTTAATAGCCTCTTTTATAGTACGCTAGAGGTTCTTAATAGGGTTTAAATTAGGTAAAGAAGGTAGCTATACTATACGGACAATGCGATAAGAATTAAGTGCTATTATTATATAACTAGCTCGGTGCGAGGTCGCGTTGTCTTACTAGAACAAGGCGAATTCGAGGTGCTATGCTCTATTATAATAAAGGCTCGAGTTGTTAGTAATAATAGTATTTAATCGGTCGAGTTCTTTACGGACTTCTAGCATAATACGTTAAGAATAGCTAGCGGCATTAATATTGCCTTAATCTAAAGTATTCTATAGAATAAGAGGTCCTTTGCCGCTACGTCTACTAATATAGGCCTATATTATCTAGTAAGGAAGGCGTTAGAAGCGAGGCCTCGAACATACGTCTCGGTTACGCTTACTAACCTATCGAGTTACAAAGAGCCGCTTATATAATCTATTACGCATAGTATACTCGTCTAACTATAGAACGTTAGCCTAATTATCGGTTGTCTAGTAACGGTATAACTATGCCTATTCTAACCTCTTTTGTTATATTAGTATGCTATAGAAGGGGCGAGGGCGTGCGACGTAGCGGCGGAAGCTAAATCGACGGCAAATTCGAGATATAGTACGAGGACAGCAAGGTAGGTTTAAAGCGTCCCTTATCTCGCAGAAAGTTATCCGTCTCGTAGTAGCATTTTATGTAACGAAGCTAATAATGTCTCTCTATTATTAGGTTATAAAGATCGTACGCCGCCGGCGTAGTACGTTAATAAGAAATAGGCTTCTCGAGTTGTCGACTAAAATAGGTACTAAATCCGGGTCTTCTTACGATCGATAGCGACAGACCCGCGGAGTCTGCTATTCTATATATATATTGTAAACAGTCTTATACGCTCTCTTTAACTACTTAGTAATACGAGAGACTAACTATCCTACTACTCGGTAGAGGTGTTTAATAGCGTAGCGAAGTTTGTATAGAAGGACGACTCGCCGGTAGATTTAGTATTCGAGGCTCTAGCTCTATTAGGTAGCGATTTCGTACGATAGAAGCTCGTAAGGAGTCCTAAATAAGAGCGTACGCAGTAATAGAAGTGCTAGCTATCTAGCAGGTCGATTAGCGAGTAGAAGGAAGCGCTAGAGTATTTATTATATCGATTAAGAAAGCAAATTAAAGCCGGAGGATTAAGATAAAGAATTAGGAGTTGCCTCTTCTAGACTAGTAGCTTTACTAGTCAATCCGGCAAGTTCCTGCCGAGCTAGTAAGATTACTAAAGTGCGGGGTATAACGTCGACTCGAGAGGTCGGACTCGGAGGCTTAGAATCGCTAGAATCGAGGTTTATAACCTCTACTAGTAGATTATAGCGCTGCAAAGCCTCTTATTGCTTAATTAGCTACTACTAAGAGTCGTCGTATTTAGGTAGTCGATTATAGACTAGCGGCGGAAGGCTTAGTATACGATTACGGTAGTAGAAGTATAGTAGACTAGTATAACGTAGACTAGCGGGTCTAGCCGACGCTGCGCCTACCCTTATTGCCCTTACTACGACTTTATATTCTTCTTGTTCTTCTACACTTAACTAAGGCAACCGACGGACAGGTGCGTCTATAGCGCGCGTAGTACGAGCGATAGCATTATTAAGAGTCGAAGGAATAGGATAGGGGGCTAGACGAGAGGTTAGTATACGGACAGCGCCTATTCGAAGGCCTAGTAGTATCGATTAGCGCTAGAAAGCAGGCGAGGACACAATACTTAGTATAGGACTTCTAGCTAGTAAGCTACCTGCCTCGGAAGCCAAGTCTCGAAGGACACCTATTAAGTTACGCTCTCGCTAGCTACTATCTAGTCGACTAAGCAAGAATAGCCTCTTAAAGGTGCTAGTACCTTCCTGTTTAGCTAGAGGTCTAAATACCTCCGGAAGGTTGGTATAGCGTTAATCTCGAAGTAGTCTCGCGCTATAAGTACGGATAACACCTAAGCAACCTCTTCTGCGGCTATGCTAAGCATAGTACGCGTTAAAGTAAGAGCAGGGCATTATAGGGGAACGAGAGAGAAGCTAACTATATAGTATAGGACTCTATACGCGTAAACACTACTAAAGTTGCCTATATATCGACGACGCGTCCTCTATAATTACACTCGAGCCCCGAGTTTAATCTAATAGAGACCTACTCCTAATTAATTAACAAAAACCTCCTTCGTAGTTCGAATTCCCTCCTTCTTCCTTCTATTTACCTATAGGCACTGCGCATTATATAATATATTATAAATCTATAGAAAGATAGTCGTCTTAAAGGCTAGTTAGTCGGTTTTAGTAATATACGTAATGCCAATCGGCTAATTCCGGCAGTCTGATTTAGGAATGTAATAACTAGGGTTACACTCGGTCCGCAATTAGAGCCTCGCTACGCATACTTTGTATAGTAAAGTGCTCCTCGCCTATATAGCGTCTTAACGCATTAGAAGGCTATTTAGTGTTCCGCGGCGCGATCTCTCGCACTACGGCCCCTTTCCGCGAGGAGCACTTTACTATATAAAGTAGGCGTAGCAAGGCTCTAATTGCGGACCGAGCGTATCCCTAGTTATTACATTCCTAAACTAGAGGAATACCCGACTGCCGGAAGAGGCCGATTAGTATTACGTGTATTACTAAAACCGACTAACTAGCCTTTAAGACGACTATCTTTCTATAGATTTATAATATATTATATAATGCGTAGTAGCTATAGGTAAATAGAAGGAAGAAGGAGGGAATTCGAACTACGAAGGAGGTTTTTATTAATTAACTAAAAGTAGGTCTTTACTAGATTAAAGTCGCTACTAGCACTACTAGAGAGGGAGCTCGAGTATAATTATAGGGAGGCGTAGAGGACGCGTCTTTAATAAATAGGTATTTTCGGTAGTATTTATATATATAGTATCCCCTACTAAATAGTTAGCTTCTCTCTCGTTCCCTACTATACCGTATACTTACTCTAATACGTACTATACCTAGTATAGTCGTAGAAGAGGTTGCTTAGGCGCTATTCGTACTCGTAGCGCGAGACCTCTTTAAGACTAACGATATACTAACCTTCTAGAGGTATTTAGACCTCTAGCTAAATAAGAAGGTATTAGTACCTTCGAGAGGCTATTCTTACTTAATCGACTCGATAGCAGCTAGCGAGAGCGTTAAATAATAGGTATACTACGTAACCTAGCTTCTAAGGCTAGTAGGTCGACAATTAGGTCGCTAACTACTAGTATTATATCCTCGCCTACCTTCTAGCGACAATCGATACTTCTAGGCCTTCGACTAACTTCTCGTCGTATAACCGCTATCGGCGCCCTCTATTCTATTCCTTCGACTCTTAATAATACTATTACTCGTACTACGTACGCTATAGACGTACCTATCTATCGGTTACCTTAGTTAAGTATAGAAGAATAAGAAGAATACGAAGTCGTAGTAAGAGCGATAAGAGTAGGCGTAGCCTCGGCTAGACCCGCCGGATTGCGTTATAGTAGTCTACTATACTTCTACTACCGCGATAGGATACTAAGCCTTCTACCGCTAGTCTACGACTGTTTGCTAGACTATAATAAGTCTTAATAGTAATTTAACGATTAATAAGAGGCGTTATAGCGCTATTAGCCGCCTATAGAGGTTATAGACCTTAATTCTAATAATTCTAATTCTAAATACCCTAGAAGTCTAACTCTAAGAATTAACGTTACCCCTCGGACTTAAGTAATCTTACTAGCTCGCTCGGAGCTTTCCGGTGCTACTAGTAAAGCTACTAGTATAGAAGAGGAAAGCGCTTAACCTTTATTACAATTTTTATCTTTTAGCTAACTCTTTTAATCGATATAACAAACCCTTTAGCGCTTTATACTACTTGCTAATCGACCTGCTAGCTAGCAAGCACTTCTATCCCTTCGTACCCTCTTATTTAGGACTCCTTACGACCTTCTAACGTACGAAATCGCTATATAAACGAGCCTAGAACGCTAAATCTATTAGAGAGTAGTCCTTCTATATAAACTTCGCTACGCTATTAAACACCTCTACCGAGCGGTAGGATAGTCGGTTTCTCGTATTACAATATAGTTAAAGAGAGCCTATAAGACTATTTATAACGTATATCGTAAAAACTAGACTCTAAGAGTGTGCCGCTATCGACTATAAGAAGACCTAGATTTAACTAATAACCTCTCGAGAAGCCTGTTTCTTATTAACGTACTACGACGGCGACGTACGATCTTTACGACCTAGCAATAGCGGGACATTATCCGCTTTATTATACAAAACGCGACTATAAGACGGATAACTTTCTATTAAATCCGGGATATATTAAACCTTCCTTGCTGTCTATAAACTATCTCTCGAATTTGCCGTCGGTTTAGCTATAGACGTTGCGTCGCTCGAGCCCGCCCTTTCTATAGCTAACTAATATAACTAAAGAGGCTAGAATAGGCACAACTATACCGTAACTAGACAATTAACGACTAGGCTAACGTTCTATAGTTAGACGAGTATGCTATACGCAATAGATTATATAAACGGCTCTTTGTAACCCGCTTAGTTAGTAAACGCAACTAAGACGTGTGTTTAAGACCTCGCTTCTAACGCCTTCCTTATTAGATAATATAGGCCTATATTAGTAGCCGTAGCGGTAAGAGGCCTCTTATTCTATAGAATATATTAGATTAGGGCAATATTAATGCCGCTAGCTATTCTTAACGTATTGTTCTAGAGGTCCGCTATAAATTAGACTGTTTAAACACCCTTATTCGCGATAATAACAACCTCTATTACGAGAGGGTAGAGCACCTTATATTTGCCTTATTCTAGTAAGACAACGCTTTCTTATACCGAGCGACTTATACTACTATAGTACTTAACTAATACCGTGTTATCCGTATAGTATAGCTACCTTCTTTACCGGATTTAAACCCTATCGAGAACCTCTAGAAGGTAATAAAGACAGCAATTAAATAGCGACGAGAACGGCCTTATAGACGTAACCTAGCGATAGCAATCCTCGAAGAATATAGCAAGGTTACTACTCTATAGATAAGGAAATAGGTTAATAGTATACTTTAGCGCTACTAAGCAGTAATTAATGCTAATAGCGGATATACTCGTTAGTAATTAGATAGAGTCTACTTTGTTATTTATAGTCTACTTATTAACTTAAGCCTTCTATATAGCTTTAGCGCCTTCTATACGGCTTTAGCGCCTTCTATACGGCTTTAGCGCCTTCTATACGGCTTTAGCGCCTTCTATACGGCTTCTAGTTATGCCTCCTTCTTAACCCTAAGCGTTACTAATCGACCTAGTAGTCGACTAAGGTTCTAGCTACCTACTACGATTAGCTTACTATATCCCTACTTACTAAGTTTTATTAGGCAAAGCGTGTAACCTAGTAAGGGGTGTAAAATTAGCGAATTCGCTAACAAATAGCCTTCCGATACGTAAAGGCGCTATACGACGTTCGAGCAGGTCTAGGAAACCAATCCCTATCCGTAGTAAGCCCCACCTTCGATTTGAGTTTGGCTCAAATGGAGGCTTGCCTGTTTGCCTGTCCGCCTTCCAGAACCTCTTTCCCTCCTCTTCCACAAGCCCATGTCACTTCCGGTCACACTACCCGATCTCGAAGCCATCCCAGTCTCTGTCAATGAAGCTAGCATCTCTCAGCACACCTGGACGCTGTGCTACTATCGATGATGTCACACATACATTGCAGCCGCACACAAGACGAGAATGCGTGAATGCCCAAGACAGATACTCTATCCACTGGACCTCAAATCTGGCACCACATGCCGTGCCTGAAGAGCTGCATAGCCAATTTGCAGAGGAGAACGAGAGGGCAGCCTGCTAGGCCAAAATCCGACTGCTGCTAGCCACTACCTACCTAGTAGTACTGCACCCTAGCTTCAGCACTACTGAGAAGCGAACAAATGATGGCCAGTGTCAGCCTGTCCTCGACGGAGATGATCCTCGAACGTAGCAAAAGCGCGGCAGAAGACTTGGTGAACGTCGGCCATGATGTGTTGCTGCACATTGTGACTGCATAACTAGCGAAAGGACGCATTCGAGATCACTAGGAAAGCTGACATGAGAAAGTACCCAGCCATGCAGGCAACGACCCTGCTCATAGCAGCCGTAGCATGTGCGCCTGCGGTACTGGCCCAATTCATCACCCCACCGCAAGATTTGACCGCAGTCCAAGGCAACGGATACCAAGTACGATACAAGGAAGTAGAGAGTGGGATTTGTGAGAAAGTGTCAGGCGTGCGATCTTACTCTGGGTAAGTCAGGACCTTGAGACTACGCCGACATACTGCAGTTGCAGAAGACTGCTGTCCACGGCTGAGAGGACCTTCCAAAGTCACTTGCGAACATCATAGCTCTCGACGGAGGCAGTCTCATTACTGACGGACTACGTGGCTTCTACCTTGGTGATGGCTAATTTTGGGCAGCTATATTGACGTTGAGGAGCATCAACACCTATTCTTCTGGTTCTTCGAGGCCCGAAACCAGGATCCTTCATCAGCACCTCTAACAATATGGTTGAATGGTGGTCCAGGCGATCCTTCAATGTCTGGACTGTTCTCAGAAAATGGGCCTTGTTGGGTTGACTACAACGGCACGTTGCAAGTCAACGAAAACTCATGGACCAATGTCAGCAACGTTATCTACATCGACCAACCGACAGGTACCGGCTTCAGCTACTCCATTCCTGTTAATGGCTACATCGATGCGGATACGGGATATCTCGTGGAGTTGCCGAGTGCAGTCTGCCCAGACTATGCCACTGCTGACTATTGCGGCACTTATTCTTCCAGCAATGTAATACATACTGCCAACAGTACGTTGGCAGCAGCGCCATACATCTGGAAAGCTCTGCAGGGTTTCACTGGTGCTTTTCCACAATTTGCTCGGAATGGTCTCTATATCTCTAGTGAGAGCTACGGGGGGCATTACATACCAGTCCTTGCCGACTTTATTCTTGATCAGAATGTTCGCAAAGAAGGTGCTCATATCGACTTGCGAGGTCTGTCTGTTGGCAATGGTAAGAAAGCAATAACTCCAGAGCACCCTAATGTCTGAGACATTTGCTGACCCTCGAGTATTACTTTTCAGGTTGGTTCGACCCAATCATTCAATTCGAGGTGAGTATTTGCTTCATCATGCCTCTCGTCTTACGTCTTTGCATTCTCCAAGGAATGAGATCGAACATTTAGGTCGATAGGCATGATAAGATTTGTTGGCAGGGTGACTGATTAACGCCAGTCATACTACAACTACACCGTCAACCCTGGTAATAGCTTCAACTTTCGTCCCTTCAACGCATCGACTCAAGCTCGAATGGAGAACGCTCTCTACGGCGACGGCAATTGTCTCGATCAGCTCTATGCTTGCAATTATGGGCCAGGCACCGACGGGGTCTGCTCTGCTGCTGACAACTTTTGCTACGACGAAGTTGAATATGTATTCGACGCAGTTACTGGCCGTGAGTATATCTTTGTGTACGAGGCACGACTCCAGCCGAATTCGTGCGACTGAGGTAGCAGTGTCAGAGATGGCAGTGCGGCCTTATTGCTGTGCTTCGGAGTGAGCATCGTCTTGAAACAATGCTGACCTTACATCGATTGTTTTTAGGTGATGAGTATGACATCCGCGAAGTGACTCCAAATCCATTCCCCTATATATCTTGGGTGGGATACGTGAACAAGCCGGAAGTCCAGAGGGCAATTGGAGCCTATACTAATTTCACTTACGCTGTAACCAATCTTGGAGCTGGCACCGTGGCAGCGGCCTTTGGAACGACAGGGGATGACGCGAGAGGGTTTGATATCATGGCCAGAAACCGGAGATTGATCGACAGTGGGGTTTACGTGGTACATTATGCTGGTGATGCGGATGTAAGTTCGCTTCTGTATACCTGTTGGGCTTTCCCAGGAGATCCTTTGCTAATACGGCACCTAGTACAATTGCAATTGGATTGGGGGCGAAGAAGTGGCCAGGCAAATCGATGCACCGGGATTCTCTTCGGCTGGGTATCAAAACCTCACTACTATCAGCACCTTCGTTGCGAACGGATACCAATCCACTATCACAGAAGAAGTTCACGGCGGCAAGTATCATGAAGCAACGGCTCAGGAGATCCCGGGTCGATAGAGGTTTCAGGACACGTGCTGACCTTTCTGTGCTTTGACTTTAGCTGTCAAACAGGCCTCCAACTATGCATTTGTCAGGATATACGACAGCGGCCATCAAGTTCCTTTCTACAAGCCTAAGGCTGCACTGGCTCTTTTTGAGAGGCTAGTGAAGGGCACTGATCTCGCCACTGGACAGGAGAGGATTGACCAAAAGGCCAAGTATGCAAGTGTGGGGCCTCAGAGCAGTGACTACCGCAATGACCCCAGCACGATCCAAGAGCATGTTCTTGATGAGAGTTGTCTTTGGGATCCTGAGACCAACATGCCTGTGTGCTAGCGGCGGCCAATTACGTAGCTCGAAAGCAATATAAGACGAAGCAAGCTCATGCAGCCAGTGATTCGGTTTGTGACATGTCGCAGTACGCTGGCCTCGTTGGACTTCGAAGAGCTACTAGGTAAAGACTTTGATAAGCAAAGAATTCAAGGTATTCATTCAAATAAGTTCAAAGGATGTTGAGACAATAAAGAGCATCAGTGTGTTGCGTCTGTTGTGGCCGGACTATGTATGATTTGGCTATGCACTCCCATCTGCTTGAGATGGCAATCCATTCGATAGTGGAAGCCATTCTCACAAGCCCGTCGATGGAGACCAAGGCGAGAATGTGATGACAGCAAATGTGAGGACAGTCATCCTCCCACGAGGGACTCGTTGTGAAGTGTCATGCATACGTTTCAACCTTTTGCGACATCTGACGCTATCTGAACGCCGGAACTGCTTGAACCCATGCCAGAGCTGCCAACCAGCTACAGCCCTAATGATCATGCATCACAGCCAGAAACAGCAGCTATCTTGCATCATCTCAATCAAGAAACGCCCACCATTCCATCAGCGTCTAGTATCCGTACTGTGCAAGCTGCTTGGTTACATCGCTTGACACCTTGCTCTGAGCCTCGACCAGGTTCTTGCGTGCGGCCCTCTTCTTCTCGTAGTATGCCTGGCCCTTGACCTTTCTCCGCTCCTCGAGGCGGGCGACGACGTCCTGGTACTTCCAACCGAACTCGTGGCCGAGACGGCCAACAGTGCAGTACTTGCGGCCTGGCTTGAGACGGAGGACACGCAGGGCCTGTGGGACGACCATGCGCTTCTTGTGGTCGTATGGTGGTGGGATGCCCTCGAAAACCTTCAGACGCTCCATAGCCTTTGCACCACGCTCAGTCTTGTGTGGGATCATGCCGCGGACGGTGCGCCAGAACATCTTGGCTGGAGTGCGGAAGTGCCACGGACCACCGCGGGTTGGGTTGTAACGAGTCTGCTTGCGGAGGAAGGCGGAGTACTTCACTGTAAAACATGAATGTTAGTATCCTGGAACGTGGCGCGTCTATCCATCAGGTCGCTCGCAATCCAAAAGAAGTGCTTTCGGTGGTGGGAGTCGGGGCGGACGTACGCTTGGCGCGGAAGAACTCGCCAGAGATGTTGAGGGCTTCGCAGCGGACAACAACGATCTTTTGGCCGTTCAAGAGCTGCTTGGCCACGGTCGAGGCCAGACGACCAAGAAGATGGCCCTTGCCGTCAATGACAACCTGTAGTGCATATTCTCAGCATAGGTCTACTCTCCTCTCCTCCTGCTTGCCCTGTCGGTGTGCTGTCCACATGCGAATGCCACGCTGCTCCATTGCTCTTTTGTATGGGAATCACGTACCACCGGCTCGAATGTCGACATTTTGGCAGATGGCGTTGTGGTCGGTCGTTGGGTGATGTATGCGACGGGCGTGCGGTCGTCGTCGAAAATTGGAGATGCTGGCTTGCGCTTGCCGTGTGCTGCGATTTCGATCTTGGCATCTCGGCAGCATCCGGCGGGCTGCTGTTCAAAATTTGATTCAGCGGCTTTGACTCGGCATCCGCGCTGCGCTGGCGTCACCGACAGAGTTCTTGATCGTAATAAGTTACAGGCCTCGATGACCGCAGCGACAGATCCAGCACACTGCGTCACTCGTACTGCCACCACGGCCAACCCCGTCGACCAGCTTAGTCCTCCACCTGCCCACCGTGGCGTCGCTCTACGAAGCGCTGCTGCAGGGCAACTTGAACTTGTCGACTCTCGTTCCCCTCGCCGCCGACTTGAACAATCTCACAGCTGCTCTGACCAGGACCGTCGAGCGTTATTATCTGCGCTTTGCCCCGACCAGCACACCACAGCCGTCACACGAGCCGACCACAGCTTTCGAGAAACTCGCCACGGCCTTGATCGACTTTGCATCTAGCCGCACCGCATTCGAGAACACGTCCATCTTTCTCGCCCTCAGCACTTTCGTCTTCCTCATCATGTCTTGGGCCTCGCGCTTAGGCAACTTGGGCCGCTTCTCGCCATTCACGCGGTCGCCGCCCCAAGGATCAACAAAAGTCAGCGATGCCGATTTCAGCTACATTACCGCAGACGACTTGCGCAGACATCAGGCAGAGTCCATGAATGCACAGGGAGACACCGAAGACTATGGGCCGCCACGTGACACCGATGTTCTGATACTACGAAACAAGAAGCAAGAATATGCTGTCCACTTTCCCGCATATAGCATTGCAAAGGGGGAGCTCAACATTGGCCAGGTACGAGATCAGGCCGCGAAAAAGACTGGCGTAGGCGACCCCCGTCGGATCAAGCTTTTGTACAAGGGCAAGAATCTCAAAGACGACTCAAGAGCTGCCAAGTCAGAAGGTCTCAAGGATGGGGCAGAACTTATGTGCACGATCGCCGAGCCCATGTCCCCCAGCGATAGCGACGAGGACGATGAATTTGGAGACGCCTTAATTGAGTCGGGAACTGCTGATGGCGAGACAAGGCGGAAAAGGAATAGAGGAAAGAAGACCAGGCGTCGAAACAAGCGGGGAGAGCGTGACGGCGCGTCTGGAACGTCCACGCCCCAGCCCGGCCAACCTAACCTTGGCGTACCAAACAGCCAGCAACCTTCCCGTACACAATCTCCACGTCCGGCAGCATCGCCTGCCTCGCCTTTCGACAAGCTGAACGCTCTTCACCAAAAGCTCCAGAGCTACATACCTGACTGTGAAAAGTTTCTTGCCGCACCGCCGACCGATCACGCCAAGAAAGAGTTTGAGCACAAGCGGCTGACCGAGACGATACTCGCTCAAGTGCTCCTCAAACTTGACGGCGTCGAGACTGAAGGTGATGAAGACGCTCGGTCGCAAAGGAAAGCTCTTGTGAGAGAGACTCAGGCCGTGCTCAATCGGTTGGACGCCATGATGAAGTCATCATAACGAACTTTGGTTCACATCCTCCGTGTGCCTGGGCCTAAGCATCTAGTACTTGAACCTTGTTTTGCATTTTCGCTTCGCATGGTCTTCATATGAGCGTTCTGCATGAATAGCATGGCATGGGAACGGCGTTCAGAAGCGAGATAGATTGGATAAGTTGGAGAAGCGGGATTTGCTCGGCTCTTGAGGGAGAAGCGAAGATGCGATCTTGCAGTGGCATGACATCTCCTGCGTGTGTTGCAATATCAACAACCTGTTTTTGCATCTGCATCCACTCGACTCGTTTGCACCGTTCTCCCGTCATGCCCGCTGTGTTCAACCCGTCACTTCTGTTTCGGCCGCGCGCACGCATGGTGACGGCTGTCGTCAGGCTCTCCAAAGCGAAGCGTCGTTTGCCAAACCGACAAACCTTCTCGTATCTGCAACGACAGGCGAAAGCAACGACATCTGCATTGACCAGGTCGGCCGGTCCGTTGGCGCGCTTGTTTGTTTACTATCAGTATCCGCGCCACGTGAGCCTTGGCTTCTCTACCCACAGCGGCCACAATGGGCTCAACTGGATGACCGAGGGACGAAACTCTTGGCGCTTTTGTTGCGCCTCGACACAGCACTAATTACTTGAGCAGACGAAGTTGATCACGACAATTTGATCTGCGCAGCACCTCAACACATGCTCCACCTACACTTCCGCCGCTTTTCGTGGTCCTGCACATTCGCGGGAGAGACTATCTGGCTACTTGACCGCCAGAATCCACAGTGGCCGCACTATGAAACAATTGATTCTCCACAGTGCTCCGTCTTCCCGGCTCCACAGAACAACGCCCGTGCTCAGCCCAGCTCCGCAGAACCGCAACCTTGTCGATCTTGCACAAGCAACATCGCGGTTCTCCCATGCGCGCATGCTTCAATCGCTCGCTCGCCCGTAGGTAGACTTATTAGGTTATTATACAGGCCTCAACCTGTCTCTCTCCGACCACTTCTTCTCTTAGCTGCCGCTACTATACTTGGCACTACAACTTGATGTAACTGATGTATTCAGAAGGAGGACTAATCTATGTAGAAGTCCGAAGATAGAGTGCAGCAGTTGCAGCCTCAGGCATCAGGCACGTGATGGACCCTGACACCTAGGCATACACTCCAAGTCACCCCCTCAGTACGTGCATATCGCTATAGAATGAAACAAACAACACAATAGCCATTCTGTTAGCAAAGTAAATAAGGGGTATTAGGTAAGCAGAAACAGGTAAACAAACTAGACTACTCTTAGGTTATATAGATAAAGCAAATAAAGGCCCTTTCCTCTTAGTATTTAGTAGCTAGCTTTATAGCGCTCTTAATAGCGGCCTTGCAATCTACTAGGTTTAGTTGTTTAACAAAGCGGCCGTACTTAGTCTTGTTAAGCGGCTTAGTAAAGCTATCGGCTATCTAATTATATATACTAACCTATTAGACGATAATAGTACTATTAGCAATCTTCTCTCGAATATAGTAGACACGAGTATCTATATGCTTTATGCGGCTATTAATAGTAGATTTAGTAATAGCGATAGCGGACTAATTGTCCTCGTAGAGCGTAACTAGAAGAATATAGCTCTTATAACTAATTTCTTTTAAAGAGCGAGCTAAGGCAACTACTTCCTTAGCCCCTATAGTAAGCTAAATATACTTAGCCTTAGTTAACGACAGTGTAACGAGCGTCTAGCGGCCGGACTTATATAATAGAGGTCCGCCTACGATAGTAAAGTAGAAGCTGCCTATAGAGCGACGAGTAACTAGATTATTAGCCTATAAGGCGTTATAGTAACTAGCGAACTTAAGGTCGTCTTCGTTTAGGTTGCCTTAGAAGCGCATACTACGGCTAAGGGTGCTAACTAGGTACTTAATTAGCTAAAGAAGCGCGGTATAATGCTCCTCGGTCGGATTAGAAATAAATCGTAATAATAGGCCGGCAGTATAGTAAGCATCCGGCCGAGTAATTATTACTAGCTAGAGGGCTTTACTAATACCCTCCTAATACTAAGTCTTAAAGGCGGCACTAGCTATATAGCCTTTAGGTGCGCGTTAAATAGATGTTTTAACGTAACGAGGCGCTATTAGAGTAGCTAGACCGATACGGCTACGTATACTATACTTCTCGTAGAGCCTATTTAAGTAGGCGTCCTAAACGACGTAGATAGTGCGCTTATTACGGTCGCGGATAATGCGCATGCCGAGATAGTAGTAAAGGTCGCCTAGTTCTTATATATTAAAGCGCTCCTTTAGCAACTAAGCAATAGCTTCTAGTACTAATAGGCTATAGGCGATAATAATTATATTATCGACGTAGATAATAATAATCGAGCCGCTAACAACGTGCTTAAACATACAGACGTCGGACATTATTAGAATAAAGTCCAGGCTCTTTAAGTACTTCCGAAGTTCTTTATACTATAGCATTAGTAACTGCTTTAGACTATATAGGGCCTTTAGTAGTAGGTAAACTATGCCCTTGCTACTACGGTCTTTAAAGCTATATAGCTGCTCGACGTAGATCTTATACTTATCCCCGATAAGCGCGTTAAGGAAGGCAGTTAGAATGTCGTACTGCTTAGCCTCTAGGTTATAGTATACAATTAGACTAAACAAGGCTCGAAGTGTGTAAGGCTTAGCAACAGCCGCATAGGTCTCGTTATAATCCTGTCTTTTAACCTATATAAAGCTACGGACGACCTAACGAGCCTTAAACTAGCTTACCTTACTATTAGCGTTACGCTTAATAGTAAACACCTATCGGCTACGAACAACCTTGCGACCTTCTAGTACCTCTAACCGAGAAACGTATACCTATATATAGTTGTCGATTAGTAACTTGTATTTAGCCTTATAGGCTTCCTTCTATTGCGGCTAATATAGTAACTAAGTCGCCTCCTTATAGCTCTTCGGAATAGGAATAGTCTCCTTAGGCTTGTTAGACTGTTTAGCAATATAATAGGAAGCTATAAAACCCTTAACATAGGCTATCGGTATGTTAGCTATTATACGTCGAGTTAACCGCTTAATACTACAATTAGCTAGATAGCTACGCAACAGGTTACGAGCCGACTTGTTGCTACGTGTCTTACGCGTAGAACGATTACTAATAGCTTTAGCTAGTCGCTTAAACTTAGGCAACTAGCCTAGCTCGCCCTTCTTAGCGTTTAGATTATATGCTAGCTCTTCCTCGGCTAACTAAAAGCTATCTTTATTACTTAAAGCTAGTAGTTAAACGTCTAGAAGGTCGTTATCGATTAGTAACAGATTAGCGACCTTATTAGCTATTTCCTATATAGGTTCGTCTAGAGGCTCTTCTTACTAGGCTAGAAGCTGCTAGACTATACTAGCGGCTTCCTATAGCGACGGTGCCTCGTTGCTTATAGAATTAAATAGAGCCGGCATAATAGACTCGAGTGTAACAAACTCGTTCTTAGCTAGGTCGTTAGGATTAGCGTATAGATTTATGCCCTCTAGAAGCAATAGCTTACTAGCCGTCTTAATAAATTAGACATCCTTTAATAGAATAACCTTATACTAGTTAGGGAGGTAAATTATGTATTTTCCTAAGTCTACTAAGTCCTTAGCATAGCCGACTAGCTTGCTAATAAGGCCTCTACTATCTATCTTCTTTCTATAAGCAACTCTGTAATTATATGTAATAGCAGTATAGCTATAGGCACGAAGATGTTAAAGGCGTAGCTGCCTTCGAGACTAATTAAGCTCCCTAGCTATAATAGCATAGGGGCTAAGACCTTCTAAGGTTCTAGGAGTGATATTAAGGACCTATATAGCAGTAGTAACTATATACGGCTATAGGGCCTTTAGCAAATTCGTATAGAGCATTATCTTCCGAGCGGTCGTATATACGATATAGTTGCTAACCTTAGCTAGGCTATTCTAAGTAGAAGAATAAGGTGCTATAACCTGCAGTACAATGCCCTAATTACGAGCCTAGCTTAATAGCTAATTTCCGCTGTATTTACTCCCTCTATCGAGGCGGTAGATTAGGATCGAATAGCTAGTTTGTATACGGACGTATATACGATAATCCTTAATAGCTACTATAGCCCCTAACTTTAGTAAGCTAGTATATTCGTATCGATAGGCTAACTTGGCGTATATAAACAATATAAAGTAGCGTTCCTATAACAGACTAGGGTTAGTAATAGATAGATATTTCATTTGCCTGTTATAGTGCCTTTCGGCCTATGTAGGTCTGTTTCTATATATTGTTTTAGGTAGGAAACCAACTTAGTTGGTAAAAACCTCCCTCCTGTCCTATTTATAAGTGTTAATCTTCCTCGTTTCCTTATTTTCCTTCTTCTAGGGTGTACTAGTGTTATAGTTGTTACCCTCTAACTACCTTGCCTACTGCCCTGCCCTTCTTTCCCCCTCTTCTTCCCTCCTTCTTATCTACTCCTTAGTTTCCCTTACTAGTACGAATTATTGTACAAATCCCTATTTGATAATCCACTTTACTATCCTCTTTAGGTCTTCTTTGCTCTAGATTAGCTTGTCGTATTCCCTTTCTATTGCTTTTAGTCTTTAATTACTTCTGCCTTCTAACTACTAAGGGCAGACTAGCAGTATATGCTTAGGGTTCTAAGATTAGTAGCTATATTAGTACGCTCTGCTTTCAATTCCTAGGACGTTTCTTCTAAATAGGTAAGACCTAAGTCTAATGTATTTAGATCTGATTTGGATAGCTAGGCTTGCCTCGGCCCTGTTTAGGTCCTTGTAGAGCTAGTAGTTGTATTAACCAAATTTGATTAGTGCCTTTAGGGTTCCTAGTCTAACTTGTGTTTTGTTCTATTCCTGCTCCTATAGGTATCTAGCAATTAACTCTGCTAGGCTTTGTTTCTCTCCCTTTAGCTTATCTTCCTTTAGCCTTATGTTTGGTCCCTAAAGCTCTTTCTCTAGCATTTCTCTTATTAAGACTCTATATTGCTCTAGGTCTTTGACTTTCTAGGGAGTTATTTGTAGTCTGTCTC